TGTCTCCTATGTGCCTTAAACATGCCTCCCCTGTCAAAACTAGGTCTGGATCACACTTCAGCCCTTCTGTGCTTTTTAAAATCATATATGTTTCCTTAAGGCCCTGGTCTAATTTCTATGTTGCCATAGATCCCTTGTCTTTCTCAATCTGTTCTCTCTCTACACCTTTTGGTGCTTCTTTCTCAGCCTCTTTTGATCTAGCCACTCTCAATAGTTTGTTATCTAAGGTCATATAGATATATGGCCTCTCCTCTGTGGGTTTGGCTTCTTGTGATTCCACTCCTTCCCACAAGCTCTTTAAATTTTCATCACGTTGCTGTTCCCTTTAGAAATAATCTGTGTGACTGTGTTGTATCATCACTGGGAACTCTTCCATATTGTTACTATGAGAGCCAGAAGCCATTTCTGAGGTAATTTCTCCTCAGAGTTTCCCGCCTTTTTGCTCTGGCCTCTAGTTACAACGTTAATTCTCATACAGTGTTCTGAGAGATCATTCCCTATCAACACAGGGATTTCTAGGCTAGGCAAAACGCCAACCCTCCATTTTCCATTAAAGGTGTTATAATGGACTGGGATCTCAGCTATGGGGACTTCGAAGCTCGGCCCATGTATCCCCTTCAAACGCCACTTCAGTCCTGGCACCATTTGTTCTTTTACTAGCTGAGGGCGCACTAAAGACACTTCTGCACCAGTATCCCATAAACCCATAAGTTTTTCCTCATTTACTTGAACTTCCTCTAAGTAATCTCTACTCACACCCTTATCCATACTCCAAACCCTCATAATTTTAATCGGTTCTTCTTGAGGAGCAGGATTTTCTGTTAGTGGCCGGGCCTTTTTAGCTACTTTGATGTACTTAGGTGGGGTCACAGGTCTAGCATTTGTCAGCTTTGGGCATGAGGCTTTAACATGCCCTTCTTGATGACAGTGGTAACATAGGATTTTACGTGGTGCAGTTCCTGAGCTGGTGTCCCCCTTTTTAGGATTCTGACCATCCCTGTCAGCTCTTCCTTTTGGAACCCACTCCTTTGGCTTTCTAAACAATGGGGAACCTACATCAAGGTCTCCTTCCATTTCGTCTAAAACAGATGCCACTTCTGCTATCGTTTGAATCCTCTTGTCTTTTATAAACCACCTCATCTGGGCTGGAACTAGTTTGTAAAACTGTTCTAAGCAAACCAAATGCCTCAGTTGGTCAAATGAGGAGACTTTACTGCCTTCAAGCCACCTTTGTAAAGCTTTTTCTATTCTAGAGCCCACCTGTGAATAGGTTTCACCATTCTTTCTTTTAATTTCTCTGAACGTCTTTCTACTTTGCTCCGCTGTTAAGCCACAGTGCACTTTCACCCTTTCCTTAAATATAGCATCGTTTGTACACTCTGTGTCCCTCAACTGTGCATATACTTCACTAAGCTCAGGGCATATCAAAGGCCTTATATGTGCCATCTTTCTTTCCTCAGGCACCTTAAAATCAGCACAAGCCCTTTCAAAACTTGCGAGGAAACTTTCCACACAGTCCCCCTTGAGTACTTTGGGAAATGCTTTATTTGAGAGGCTAATGGCTCAGATTGGGTTTCACTTGGACTGGATGTGGGTTGTCTTTCTTGAAATTTCAACTCCATCATCCGTTCTTCAAGCTTCATTCTCCCCCTTTCTGTCTCAATCTCCAGTTGTCTTTCTTTCTCTCTTTCTCTAGCCTCAAACTCCATCATTCTCTCTTTCTCTCTAATCTCATGTTTCATTTTCTCAGCCTCAAATTCCATCCTCCTAAGTTCCATTTCCATTCTCATCTTTTCCAATTCTAGGGAAGTAGTCACAATTTCTAGACTCTCTACTCTTTCTTCAGTCACGGTCTCTAACATCTCAGCCTCCTGCCTCTCCTCTCCTACTGGAGTTGCTGAGGTCTTTTTATTTTTAGGTGGAGCCATCACTACAGGGCTTCAAAATGGGGTTTCTGGGCAGTTTCTGAGTTAAAATTACCTCCAAATCACTTTGGGACAAACTTTTACTTCAGGTTTTTGATCTAACACACTGGATCAAGCCTTAAAGTTACTTTCCCGCCACTGAACACCAATTATATATATATATATAAAATCAATGGGTATATTATAACTCAAAAATTTTAAATCACACCACTAGTCATCAGTTTAAAGGATCATAGTTACCAGTCCCACAACTAGACACAACTATGATGGAATATGATTCTGGCACAGAGCATTTATATATATGTGTGAAGTAACGTGTATGTATTTTGGTAGATTCACTGCCACCACCCAAAATACTTTCATTAAAGAATGATTCCCTGAGGTAATCATCTTCCCTGCCCACCAGCTTTCCCTTAAGCTCCTTGAGATGACTGTGAAGTAAAGATGGTAAAACAGCTAGTATTATTCCCACTGGAATGAATCACTATTGAGGCTTCTTTAAAGTTGAACTAGAGAATATGCTTATTGATAATACAGAACAAGCAACTATTTTCTTTAATGAGGCACACAAGCTTGAATGGTTTTTAAAGTACAATAATCTTGATGGTTACTATAAAGAGTTTCTTGACTTAGATATGAGTAAAACTCCGCACACTACAACAACACAGTAGCAGTGAGTTCCCCAGACAAACCTAATCAGGTTGTCCCCAGAGCAATTAGCTACACTCTAAGCAGAGTCCTCTAAAAGCTAATCTACTCTAACCCAGAGAGCAAACCACTTGTGTAAAAATCCACACAAGCACCCAGGTGACTACGTTGACCCTCCTGGTCAATAATGCAGCCTTGCCTGTCACAAAATGCTCTCTCACAGAAAAATCTAAGCTCACCAAAAATCTACCTCTCTTCTCCTCTGTTCCCAAAACCAATCTCTCTTCTCTCTCTCAAGCTGACACTTTTCCCTCTCTGTGCTTAACTCCTCCCATATGTCCTAACCAATCCAGAGAGAGCTCCAGCTCCTCCCCTTCTTCTCATTTTACACTCCCAAGATGTCTGCCTTCTCTGCCTACACTCCCAAAATGGAGGCCTGCCTACTGACATCTCAGGCTCCTACTTCAGCCTACGAGGTAAGAATCATTACATGAAGCTTGCTGGAGAATACAACGGTGTGTTTGTGTGTGTCAACTGTAAAATGACATGCATGAAGCTGATTGGTCGGGCAATGCATAGGGTGATGGCTGAGCCTGGAACTTTTGGATACTGTTGCAAATTTGTTCAGGCTTGAGCTATGCAGCTGCAGAGAGACAGACAGATTTGCTCTTTGGCTGCTGAAAGAAGGTCTCTCATATGGACAAAGACATACCATTTTAAATCTCTCTAAAAGGACAGTATGTGAGTTGGGCCAACTGATCATATTGTACATATATTGTTCTGAACTAAGAAGAGTTCAGGTAACACAACAGAGATGGGAGGGGGAAAGTTGGTAAGGATAATCGATGATGGAATTTAAAGGTTTCCTTAGCAACAAACAACCCAAAGTTCGGTCTGTAGAAATAAAGCTATGTTATAATCTCCTTGTTTCTGGTCTCAATTGGGAAACAAGGGCAGGAATATATTTAAAGGAAGGTCTGCTTTAATATTTTAGATGTTTTTCTTGGATGCCTTTAAGTCACTTCCAGCTTATGGCAGCCCTGTCTCAGGGATTTCTTGCCAAGTTTTGTTTGAAGAGGGTTTGTCGTTGCCTTCCTAAGAAACTGCGCAGGTTCTAAGCTCTGCCAGGGAGGCCGTCCTCTCGGTCCCGCCTCCATCTCAAATATGGCTGATGGGGACGAGGAAGAGGGCCTTCTCTGTGGTTGCCCCCAGGCTTTGGAACACCTTCCCCAAGGAAATCAGGCAAGCCACCACAATTCAGTCTTTTTGCAGGGACCTGAAGACATAGCTCTTCAAGGTGGCCTTTGATGATGGTTAAGGTATCATCTATATTGGCTGAGCTAAATGAAGCTCTACCCTAACACATTACCCCTGATATTTTTAACCTGTCTTGTGGCTGGGACGTTAAACTCGGTTTGTATGTGTTCTCGAAGGCTTCCATGGCTGGAATCAATGGGTTGCTGGGTTGCTGTGAGTTTTCCGGGCTGTATGGTCATGTCCCAGAAGCATTCTCTCCTGACATTTCGCCCACATCTATGGCAGGCATCCTTAGAAGTCAAGGGGTCAGTTGGAAACTGGTAAGTGGGGTTTATATATCTGTGGAGTGTTCAGCGTGGAGGAAAGAACTCTTGTTTGCTTGAGGTATGTGTGAGAAGAATCAATCAGGGCCAGCTAACAGCTCCCGACAAAGGATTCCCCCAGGCAGCAACCAGCCAGGCCTTGAAACTGCAGGCCATTAAATGCTAATCAAGGTGGCAAATTGCAACATTCACAGGTACCTCTAGCAGACAAGAGTTCTTTCATTTATTTATTTATTTAATATTTATTTACAGTATTTATATTCCACCCTTCTCACCCTGCAGGGGACTCAGGGCGGATTCCAATGTACATATACATGCCATAGACACACAACACATATATACAGAGGCTATTTAACATTCCAGCTTTTGATGAGGGTATTCTGGCCACCAGGTGAGCTGTCGCTTCACTGTCCATTTGTGACACTGATGAAGTACTTCCTTATTCTTTGCATGCTTGCTGGATATTTTTATGGTATCATAAATTAGTTAAATTAGCCTCCCTGCATACGTGGTACCTAAATGTCCTACTTGACAGATGCAACTGTCTTTCGGGCTGCAAAGGTTGACAGCAAGCTACACAAATTGGTCGGATGCTCACTCCAACCTGGCCTGGCTTCGAACTCATGACCTTTTGGTCAGTAGTGATCTTAATGCAGCCAGCTGCCCACAGTCGGGTGCAATTCTGGCTGTTAGGAATTGTGGGAGTTGAAGTCCAAAACACCTGGAGGGCCGAAGTTTGCCTATGCCTGTTTCCTGGCGTAATGAGGCCCTCCAGGGAGAAGGGGGCGCTGTTCCGCTGCGCTCGTGGGTGTTTCTGGCCTGTGTGCCGGGCCCCTCTTCCGGCGCAGGGGCCGGAAGTGCCTGTCAGGAAGCGGCAGGGGCCTGTCTCGGGAGGCCGGCGCTATGGAGGGTCGCGGCAGCGGCTCTTCGGAGCACCTGGAGCGGCTGCACGAAATCTTCCGCGGCCTCCACGAGGAGTTGCGAGCTGGGCCGGAGAGGCTGCGCGGGAGCCAGGCGGTCGGTACGTGAAGAAGGAAAGGCCCTCGGACCGGAGCCTTGGAGGCGGGGAAGAAGGAGGGGACAGATGAGGCCTGGGCACACTTCGGGGGTTTTGAACTCCCAACTCCCACAGTTCCTAACAGCCGGAATGTTACTGAAGTAGCCTGAAAAGGGCTGTCATCCACGAGGTCATACCAGACGTGGGCAAACTTCGGCCCTCCAGGTGTTTTGGACTTCAGCTCCCACAAGCCCTTAACAGGCTATTGTGGGAGTTGAGGTCCAAAACACCTGGAGGGCCGAAGTTTGCCCATGCTTGCGCTATAATAATGCAGTGAGGATGGTCACACTACACTTCTAAAGGGTTAGTATCCCACTTTAAACCCACTGGCTGCCTCCTCTAAAATCCTGGGATTGGCACTTTAGGGAGGGGCCTTTACAGGCCTCTAGCCAGGATTTCGATTCGGGGGGGGGGCTGAGTCTGAGTGAAAGAGGGTCTACCTAGCAAACCTTTTGTATTGTTACCCCAATACCCCCATGCATATGGGATATATTGAGAATGGTGATCAGATCATGATATGAATAAACATAACAGTTTAAATAATGCACCAGTAAGGCCTTTTCGCGAACCACCATGAGAATTTCGGGGGGGGGGAGGCTGAAGCCCCTCAAGCCCCCCTCCCCGCCAGAGAGATCCTTATCCTTATTACATTGCAAACCCCAGAACTATGCAAGAGGCAGCCATAGGATTTAAAGAGATGCCCATGCTTTAAAGTAGGGATGGGCAGACGTTGACCCTCCAGCTGTTTTGGACTCCAACACTCACAAGTCCTAACAGGCAGTTAGGACTATGGGAGTTGAAGTCCAAAACACCTGTAGGTCCCAAGTTTGCCCATGCCTGCTTTAAAATGTAGTGTGATAATCTCCAGTTGTATACGATTGTAGCACAAGTATTCTATTCTAATTACTATGGCAACATCTCGTGGAATTCTGGGTTTTGTAGTGTGAGGCCCCAGAGCTCTCTGGCTGCAATCTAAACAGCACTTCCTAAACAGCAGATGGAAACAGGTCAGTTAAACTGGAATAATAGTACTATAATACTGTAGAACAGTGGTTCCCAACCTTTGGTTCTCCAGGTATTTTGGATTTCCAATTCCCAGACGGGATGCCATTTTACAAGCTGTTAGGAATTGTGGGAGCTGAAGTCCCCAAAACACCTGGAGGACCAAAGGTTGGGAACCACTGCTTTAGAACTACTGTATTTCATTGAAATCTAGTGCCCACCTGGTTTGGCTAAATTACCTTCCCAAAATTCGGGTGTGCATTAGATTCATGTAATATGATTTTTTGTGCTGAATCAAAGCTAAAGGCGAAGCTATTTCAGGAGCACCTGGAGCTCCTATTTGAGGGACATCATCTCTAATTTAATTCCCATGGCTCAATGCTATGCAATGTTGGGATTTATAGTTTGGTGAGGAATTAGCATTCTTTGACACTCCAGTCACTCTATAGCATTGAGCTAGGGCAGTTAAAGTGCTTCATTCTACAGCATAGAGGCACCCCAAGGTTCCATTGCTTAAAGCTTTGGTGTTCTAACACTTTTGTTTTTAAAGAAGGAATTATAAGTGCACAGCAGACCTTCTTTGGCCAAATTACAAAGAGTGCACTTTTGTCACTTCGCATTACATTCGCCAGCAAATACTTTTTTTTTGGTTTCAGGGTTTTGAAAATTGAGGTCCGCATTAGATTCGATGGCGCATTAGACTTGAGTACATATGAGTATAACAGTGTGGTGTAAGGCCCTACGCTGTTACAGCACTGTTAGTTGCAATCCTGTGGGCCTTTGCAGTTTATTGAGGTACCAGAGCTCTCTGACTAGGAATCCTAAAAGCCCCTCCTTCACTGGTAATCCCAGGATTCCATAGGATGTTGCCATGGCAGGTACAGTGGAACAATGCCACTCAAGTGGGAGTGTGATAAGGCCCTTCACTGGTACAGCATTGTTATAAGACAGAGCTTTCCAACCATGTCATGCTGGGCACACACCTTTTAGATATGTATCATTTCACTAGAGGTTAAACCAGCCCCTTCTAAGAAATGTGGACAGATTTATTAATTGGAATGATGAAATGTAGAAAGACACAAAATATTTCAGGAAAACCTTTCATTTATATATATTTAAAAATATATGATTTGTAAGATAACACACAGTTCTAAGATTTGTGTCATTTCATTTTACATTCACACAACACACCTACACACTGCAACCAACACTTTGGTGTGAGGCAACACAAAGTTTGAAAAGCTCTGTTATAAGGACTTAAAGAACATTTGACAGTCAAAAGTGATTGTCATAAAGCAGTGGTTCTCAACCTTTCTAATGCCGTGACCCTTAAATACAGTTCCTCGTGTTATGGTGACCCCCAAACATAAAATTATTTTCGTTGCTACGTTATAACTGTAATTTTGCTACTGTTATGAATTGTAATGTAAAATATCTGATATGCAGGATGTATTTTCATTGTTACAAAGTGAACATAATTAAAGCATAGTGATTAATCGATTATTTGGGGGAGTATGGACAACGGATGATGGGATCTGCAGTACCTTCAAATGATTCAGCTCTGACTTCCACAGACCACTGAGACCCCCACAAATTACACACCTGGATCAAACTTGCCACAGAGAACCCCCATGACCAACAGAAAATACTAGAGGTGTTTGGGAGGAATTGACAGTGATTTAGGGTATATGTAGTTCACCTACATCCAGAGAGCACTGTGAACCTAAACAACTGTGGATCTGAACCAAACTTTGCTCGAATACTCAATATGCCCAAATTTGAACATTGGTGGAATTGGGGAAAAATAGACCTTGACATTTGAGAGTTGCAGTTTCTTGGAGTTACAGTTGCATCTGCAACAATAGAGCATTCTGAACTCTACCAAAAATGGAATTGAACCAAACTTGGCATAGAGAACTCCCATGAACAACAGAAAATACTGGAGAGCTTTGGGGGAAATTGGCCCAGACTTTTGGGAGTTATAGTTGCACCTGAAATAAAAGAGTATTCGGAACTAAACGAACAAGAGAATTGAACCAAACTTGGCATACAGAACTCCCATGACCAACAGAAAATACTGGGGAGCTTTGGGAATAATAGGCCCAGACTTTTGGGAGTTATAGTCACACCTGTAATAAAAGAGTATTCTGAATTGAAACAAGAAGGGAATTGAACCAAACTTGGCATACAGAACTCCCATAACCAACAGAAAATACTGGCAAGCTTTGGAGAAAATTGAACCAGACTTTTGGGAGTTATAGTTGCACCTGTAACAAAAAAGAATTGAACCTATCTTGGCACACAGACCAACAGAAAATACTGGAGAGCTTTCGAGAAAACTTGACACCTACCTGGCAGGCACCCCAGTCCCGGATTCCGTGAGGATCCTGGCAGGTGGCACGTAGCCAGGCGACGTAGGCCCCGGGGTTGGGCTTAGGTCTGGCACGGAGCCTCTTATCCGGCTCGCATCACTGCCGAGTCCAGCAGGTGGTGCGAGCCAATGGTTTTGAGTGGCAGCAGAGTGGGAAACTGCCCAAATGTTTTTAAAATAGTTTATTGGGTCCAGCAGGCTTTGGCATGCCAGTGCAGCCTGCTGGGTAAAACTGGCCTCCACTCTCTCCACAATTTCATGTCCCTGGTTTTGGAGAATGTTTCATGATGATCTGACAAATTTCACTTTTGCGCTAAAATTAAGAGTACCAGTTTGAGTGTTGGTATGCATGTACCCTGTAGAATTAATGAAGTTTGACACCAGTTTGAATGCCATGGTTCAATATTATAGAATTGTGGGAGTTGTAGTTTTACAAAGTCTTTAGCTTTCTCTGTCAAAGAGTGCCAGTGCATCGCCAAACTAAAATTCCTAGGATTCCATAGCAAGGAGTGGTGTCAGACTGCATTAATTCTACAGTGTAGATGCACCCTTTGACTACAACTCTAAAGGCCATGGCTCAAATCCCCACTAGGCCACAGAAACCTGTTGGGTACTTGAGGCAAATCACATTGTCTCAGAGGAGGGCAAAGGCCTTGTCTGAAGAAATCTTGCTAAGAAATAGGTTTGCCTTAGTGTCATCGTGAATTGGAAATGACTTGAAGACATGCAAAACAACTAAAACTAAAGGTCACATAATGCAGTCTTAAATGCAACAGTCCATCTAGAATAGACACATTGCATCAGTGGGAATGTAGTAGGTGGTTGGTCAACATTTGTGTAAGTTGCGTTGAGTCAGTAGACCTGCTCTATTTGAGACTAACATTTGATGACAGATTCTAGCTTTGCTGCAGCTCGTTATTAAAGCTCTTTTGGTCTTATTACTAGGACTACTTTCTCCAGTGATGTGAACTATTTACAAATATGTTGATAAAATCTGTTTAGTATAGTTGACAGGTGAGGAGTACTCTAGGCCCTAAGATTTCAGGTCCAAAACCTCACATCTCAAGACAGCCCCAAGGGATGCTCCAAGAATTAGGCTGAGTAAGTGCTGTTAAGCATCAGCTGCAGTTGCTTGGGACAGGCAATCTAAATAACAACCCCAACTGGTTTGTGTGTGTGTGTGTGAGTGAGTGTCAGGAATGACTTGAGAAACTGCAAGTCACTTCTGGTGTGAGAGAATTGGCTGTCTGTAAGGACGTTGCCCAGGGGACGTCTAGATGTTTTATCATCCTTGTTGGAGGCTTCTCTCATGTCCCCGCATGGGGAGCTGGAGCTGATAGAGGGAGCTCATCTGCGCTGTAAATATGAGAATATTTTGTTGTTGGAAATTAAGTTTTCCAAGTTCTTTGAACATAAGAAAAATTAAATGTATTCCAGCTTTTTAACACTTCCCTAAATGCTGGTTTTAACCTGTGAAATTTGAAGTCAAAACCTTTTTTCAAACATGAAGTTTTGTATTGCTCCCTGCTTTTAATAAGGCCACACACTGGGTACATATATATTTAAAACTATCAGATAGTGAAATCTTCCCTCATCTCCCACCATTATAACCATAATAAAGCTTTTGAGGAGGAGGGAGATTGTACTTATGTTGATAAGAGCAATACAGCAATAAAACCATCAGGGTAATTCTGTCTGTGCATATCTATTCAGAAGCAAGTCCTGTTGGTGTGGATGGGCCTGCGGGGCTGGGAACAGCACTTATGTTCTTTCTGTTGTCACAGCTGCCAGGGAACTTGAAAGCTCTGGGTATATGGCCCTTGTAGATGCACCTAGACACAATTTAGAGGGTGAAGTGGAAAACATATTAATATTATTGGCAGACATAATCACTAATGGCCCATTACAAAGTGCCACAGCTGTATTATTTGTGCAGCTCCATGTACATTCTACCTCACTGACAAAAACGTGTAGGTAGAGAAATGTTATTAGCTAAATCTCTGTGTAGTAATCTATGAACACATCACTCACTCCACATGATATTTTGTTTCCATTGGTCTGGTGACTGATAGGGCCCCTGGCTGAGTGAATATGCAGATTATTCTTAGAATGAAATCAAGGTCATAAGACAGTTTTCATGAAAACAAACATGATCACTTTAAATCTTACACAAGAATGCAGAAATCTTGCGACACTATTGTTTTTGTGTGTGTTGTTTTTCTTTGACGGATATCAGTCCTTTATATGTTACATATTATATCTTTCAGAAGAGAAGAAGAAGCTGATAAGAGAATTTGATGAAAAACAAAGAGAAGCACATGAAACGGTAAACATATAAATTATAAATAGAGAAAGAACATGTTTAAAACACACATGGTGTGAAATGTAGTTAGATTACTTAAAAACATAGGGTTTAATCCATTAGTATTAAAATGGAATGGAAATTCCATTTATTATTATTATTATTATTATTATTGTCATCATCATCATCGACAACAACAACTTTCCCTTCAGCTACCTTGTCTTCCAGCAGACCGTAGCATTTACCTAAGAGCTGTTTGCAGTGACTGTTTCCCCCTTCTGCCACAGACAAGAACTGCATGGATTCACATGGCAGATAGATGTTGATCCAGTAGAATTTTTAATGCTTTTCCTTTAATTAACTGATTTTCATACTATGTCACAAAGTTTTCAAAGTTTCTCTTGGCTTGAAAAAGCCATTGCCGAGAACCAAAGGAAGATGTTGTTAAAATAAAGAAACATCTCAAGCCCCATACATTACTTCTACAGATATTTCAATCCTGGTTTTGCTTTAAGAACCTACATGAGCAAAGATTCTACTCATGTTGTCAATGAACATTTACTTGTCCCTCAATTCTTAATTGTAAGAAGGTCTCATATGGGTGAGTTTGGATCATGTAATTTTAATATTTTTTATTAGGTGGTTTTAATTTTTATGTACTCATGTCTAATTGTTGTTATATCTTATATTTAATAATCTTACTGATTTTAATGCTTAGTTATATGTTTGTTGAGATCTATGATTTGGTTTATTTGTATTGTGATGTAATGAATTTTGCCATTATCGTAAACCGCTTTGTGTCCCCCTGAGGGTGAGAAAAGAGGTATATAAATACAGTAAATAAATAAATAAGCTATGGACAAAGAGCAAATTCTATCTTTTTAAACAATCTTCCATTTGTCTTTGTAGTTTTGTCCTGTCTAGCAGAACAGAAAATACTGGGGTTATAATATGTTTTCTTAATCATAAAGAATAGTCAGCTGGTATGTTTAAGTCATGAAGTCTGGGTGAGGATAACAGTTTTGTTCACTTAGGTTTTTGGCACACTGACCATCTCAGATTTGGCTGAAGTAATTCAAATATATATATAACTAAAATTTTGCTATGTGTTTTTTTAAACTTAATAAAGTTACGGGAAATGGAAGATGAACTGAGATATGCTCCAGTGTCTTTCAACAATCAAATGATGGCCAAAATTCGGACATACAAGAGAGAGCTTGCCACATTCCAGAGGAAGATGAAAAGTATAGATTTGGGAGTGACCTCAGGTGCATGTGGAGACCCAAAATTTGGAGTCTTCTCAACAGAAAACGAACAGAGTGTGAGTACTAGGTATACATTAACCATGTTTAAGAGGTTTATTATTAATAATGGAAGAGCTCTTGAACTGCAAGGTGTTGTTACCCTTCCATGTTTGTATAACTTTTTATATAATTGGGATTGTGTTGATAGTGTTGTTGTTGTTCATTCGTTCAGTCGTCTCCGACTCTTCGTGACCTCATGGACCAGCCCGCCAGAGCTCCCTGTCGGCCGTTACCACCCCCAGCTCCTCAAGATCAGTCCAGTCACTTCAAGGATGCCATCCATCCATCTTGCCTTGGTCGGCCCCTTTTTCCTTCCTTCTTTCCCAGCATCATTGTCTTTCTAAGCTTCCTTCTTCTCATGATGTAGCCAAAGTACTTCATCTTTGCCTCTACTATACTTCCCTCCAATGAGTAGTCGGGCTTTATTTCCTGAAGTATGGACTGGTTGGATCTTCTCGCAGTCCAAGGCACTCTCAGAACTTTCCTCCAACACCACAGCTCAAAAGCATCGATCTTCCTTCGCTCAGCCTTCCCTAAGGTCCAGCTCTCACATCCGTAGGTTACTACAGGGAATACCATGGCTTGGACTAGGCGGATCTTTGTTGCCAGTCTGATGTCTCTACTCTTCACTATTTTATCGAGACTGGACATTGCTCTCCTCCCAAGAAGTAAGCGTCTTCTGATTTCCTGGCCACAGTCTGCATCTGCAGTAATCTTTGCACCTAGAAATACAAAGTCTGTCACGGCCTCCACGGTTTCTCCCTCTATTTTCCAGTTGTCAATCATTCTTGTTGCCATAATCTTTGTTTTTTTGATGTTTAGCTGCAACCCAGCTTTTGCGCTTTCTTCTTTCACCTTGATTAGAAGGCTCCTCAGCTCCTCCTCGCTTTCGGCCATCAGAGTGGTGTCATCTGCATATCTGAGGTTGTTAATGTTTCTTCCAGCAATTTTCACCCCAGCCATGCATCCAGCCCCGCACATCGCATGATGTGTTCTGCATACAAGTTACAAAGGTTGGGTGAGAGGATGCAGCCTTGCCGTACGCCTTTCCCAATCTTGAACCAGTCTGTTGTTCCGTGGTCAGTTCTCACTGTTGCTACTTGGTCCTTGTACAGATTCCTCAGGAGAGAGACAAGGTGGCTTGGGATGCCCATCCCACCAAGAACTTGCCACAATTTATTATGATCCACACAGTCAAAGGCTTTAGAATAGTCAATGAAGCAGAAGTAGATGTTTTTCTGAAACTCCCTGCCTTTCTCCATTATCCAGCGGATATTGGCAAGCTGGTCTCTCGTTCCTCTGCCTTTTCTAAACCCAGCTTGAACATCTGGCAACTCTCGCTCCATGTATTGCTGGAGTCTTCCTTGCAGGATCTTGAGCATTACCTTACTGGCATGAGAAATAAGGGCCACTGTACGGAAGTTTGAGCAGTCTTTCGCATTTCCCTTTTTTGGTATGGGGGTATAAGTTGATTTTTTCCAGTCTGATGGCCATTCTTGTGTTTTCCATATTTGCTGGCATATGGCATGCATCACCTTGACAGCATCATCTTTTAAGATTTTAAACAGTTCAGCTGGGATCCCGTCGTCTCCTGCTGCCTTGTTGTTAGCAATGCTTCTTAAGGCCCATTCAACCTCACTCCTCAGGATGTCTGGTTCTAATTCATTCACCACACCGTCATAAGTATCCTCAATATTATTATCCTTCCTATACAGATCTTCTGTATAGTTTCGCCACCTTCTCTTGATCTCTTCAGCTTCTGTTAGGTCCCTGCCATCTTTGTTTCTTATCATACCAATTTTTGCCTGAAATTTACCTCCAATGTTTCTAATTTTCTGGAAAGGTCTCTTGTCCTTCCTATTCTGTTGTCTTACTTCCACTTCCATGCATTGCTTGTTTTAAAATAGATCCTTATCTCTTCTGGTTAACCTCTGGAATTGTGCATTTAATTGGGCATATCTCCCCTATCACTGTTTCCTTTTGCTTTCCTCTTCTTGGGCTACTTCCAGTGTCTCAGCAGACAACCATCTTGCCTTCTTGGTTTTCTTTTTCTTTGGGAACGTACTTTGTTGCCGCCTCCTGAACAATGTCTCGGACTTCTGTCCATAGTTCTTCTGGGACTCTATTTACTAAATCTAGTCCTTCAAATCTGTTCTTCACTTCCACTGTATATTCGCTAGGAATGTTAGTGAGATCATATCTAACTGGTCTGTGTATTTTCCTTGATCTCTTTAGTTTTATTCTAAATTGAGCAATAAGAAGTTCATGATCTGAGCTACAGTCAGCCCCAGGTCTTGTTTTCACCGACTGGATGGATGTCCGCCACCTTTGGCTGCAAAGGATGTAGTCAATCTGATTTCGGTGTTGACCATCTGGTGAGGTCCATGTATAAAACCGTCTTTTAGGTTGTTGGAAGAGAGTATTCGTTATACACAGCGAGTTTTCCTGGCAAAATTCTATCAGCCTGCGTCCCGCTTCATTTTGTTCTCCCAGACCATGCTTGCCTGTGATCCCAGTTGTCATTTGACTTCCCACCTTGGCATTCCAGTCTCCTGTAATGAAAATAATGTCTCTTTTTGGTGTATTATCCAGTAGGTCCTGCAGATCCTCATAGAACTGATCTACTTCTGCTTCTTCAGCAGCTGTGGTTGGGGCGTATATTTGGATCACTGTAATGTTGAAAGGCTTTCCTTGCACTCGAATTGAGATCATTCTGTCATTTTTTGGGTTGTATCCAAGCACCGCTTTAGCTAATTTCTTGTTAACTATGAAGGCTACTCCATTTCTTCTATGTTCCTCTTGTCCGCAGTAGTAGATCTGGTGGTCATCTGATGTGAAGTGGCCCATTCCAGTCCATTTCAGTTCGCTGACCCCCAGAATGTCTATCTTTAGTCTTGACATCTCACCAATAACAACATCCAATTTGCCCTGGCTCATAGATCTTACATTCCAGGTTCCTATGGTGTGTTGATCTTTAGAGCATCGGATTCGTCGTTCACCTCCAGTACCGTCGGCCGCTAGCCTTCCTTTCGGCTTTGAGCTAGCTGCGTCATCACATCTGGGGCTAGTGTTGATAGTAACATTGCAAATAAATAGAAAACTATATGAACTTTTCAAAAACTTTTCACTCTTCTTAAAATCCAAGAGAAATTTGTCAGGTTAGACTAAGTGGGTTGTCTTGCTTAAATAAGAATATTTTTTAAAATGCATTGAAAACTTAAGGTTAGCTGGAACATGTCAAATTGATAATGAAAGAACATTCTATAGAGGCGGTGCTATCACCCTAAACATTGCTTTGAATGACTACTAAGAAGACATCAAGAGCATGAGAAACTACAAGGGCACATCGAGCCTAATTCCTAAGCCCTGTTTTGTCACCAAACAGTCAATATTTTCCTTTACCCTAGTGATAGCTAGGAAACAACATATGTTGGGTTGTTGTCTGTTGCAAAGGACACATTTTGGTAATCGTTTTGTAACAAAAGGGAAAAAGTTCCTCTCACAGTCAAGACACAATTTAGCAAAGAAGTTTGGAATTTTCTTGACATCAATTCCCTCATATTTCTTACATAAGTAGGGGATTTCACAATAATAAATAAGTTGACCTACAGTGTCTTCTCCATCCCACCCCCCACCCAGTTCAGTATGTATCGTCTACTGAAATCCTTTTTGTTTTTATGTGCCTTCAAGTAATTTTTGATTCACAGTGACCCTAGGTTTTCTTGGCAATATTTGTACAGAAGATGTTGTTTTTGCCTTCCTGTGAGGCTGAGAGAGTAAGATATGACCAAGATAATCTGTTGGATATCTATGTTACAGAGGAGATTTTAATGAGGTTTCTCGGTTTTATTTTAATTATTCAAATGCAATGTATTTTAATTGTGCCCTATCTTCTGTTTTTGCTGGGCTTCATCCCCATGTATGCTGCCCTGAGTCCCTTCGGGGAGATGGTGGCGGGATAGAAGAATAAAGTTATTATTATTTTAATCCTGGTCTCTTGGGTAGTAATCCAGTTTTCAAATCACTACACCATACTGGTTCTATGGAGAGCTGACTGAGTATATATTATACGTTTATATACATTTATATTAGCATGTGCATATAAAAACCAGTGTTGAGTAGTAGTTTGAGTATTTAGCTACTGCTCTGGAGACCAAGGTTTCAATCCTTGCTCTGACATGCAAACTCACTGAGTGACCTTGGGCAAGTTACACTCTCTCAACCTCAGAAGAAAGCAAAAGTAGAGCCTCTCTCAACAAGTCTTGCCAAGAAAACTCCATGTTAGTTTCACCTTAGGTTTGCCATAATTTGGAAACTACTTGAAGGTGCACAACAAGAAGTCCACACATGCTCAAGTGCTCTCATACACTCTTTATTACGTTACTGTTAAAAGTAAAACTCTGTCTTACTGTTCTGTACCTAAAATTCCACAGCCACTCATTAGTTCATAAAAATTATAAACAAGAAGGATAAATAGAACTTAGGGAGAGTAGAGACACATATTTGCAGCTCAATATCCTTTCTGATTAGGAAAAATGGTCTGAAGGAATTAGCATGACACTTTTATCCAACTACCAGTGTTTTATTAGAAGTTTGCATGCCATCACCATCTCCCGGATACTGCTATTATACTCTAGTCTTAGTTGGTCACTTAGTTGGTTAGTTGGCTCACTTGATACAGTTGGCTTGCTGGCTTCACTGGCCATTTAATGTCTTAATAACTATTTTAATGAGTATTGTGTACTTAATGTTTTTATACAAGATGTAAGGTTAAGATTGGTAGGTTAAGTTTCATTTAAATTTTGTTTAATTTTGTTGCAGCTGTTGTTTCCTTTTGATATTTGATTAGTTTGTTTTTGGGTTTTTTATTTATGAATGTGTTTGCCATTGAACATTTGCTGTTTTTTGTTGGAATCTGCCCTGACTCCTCCCAGGGAGAGAGGACAGAATATAAATAATAATAATAATAATAATAATAATCATCATCATCATCATCATCAGCTTTTGATACACAAGATTGGTACACAGCAAACAAGATCACTATGCTGGCTGTTGTATTGGATCACATGTTGGACACTTCCCAAATGTCTAGGACTATGTGATGTCTCAGCGAATAATGCATGCAGATCTGAGTAGGGAGCCCTTTTGCAGCTGACAGATAGTAATTTTATCAGTGCTGATTATTTTTAAGTGCAGGCCAAGTCTTTAGGCACTGCACCCAGTGTGCCAAACATCACTGGGATCATGTTTACAGGCTTGTGCCAGAGTCTTTGCAGTTTGATCTTTAAATCCGTGTATCATGTCAGCTTTTCTAATAAAAATGATGATGATAATAATAATAAATCCTAGACACTTGGAAGTATCCGACGTGTGATCCAATGCAGCCAGCAAAGTGATCTTGTCTGCTGTGGTCTCATCTTGTTGTGTTTCAAACAATAATAGATCACATTACTGATGGATTGATTTTGTGAAAGCTGTCCTTGCCCTGATTTTGCAATACTTGAGAGCATAACAGGGTCTTTTGGAAGTCATGCATTTGTGGAGTTGGCATACGACAAAACTGATATGATGGCAACTTCCAATAATAAAATATGTTTGTGTCACCTTCCATTGCAAGATGTCCTGTGAATATCAGGGGCCTGGTTGGTATAATTTTAGAATGTTGCCAATGACAATGATTTTGAGTTGTCCGTGTTTCTTACATTTTCCAACAAATGACTGAAGCCAGAGAATTCTCCGTGTATGAAATAATAAATGGACTGATGCATTTTGTTTTTTAAACACAGGAACTGCCCTTTTGTTTGCTTCTTTTTAAGCAACTAATAGTATTACCTAGTGCAATTGAATAAGCAAACCCATGAGTTGTACCAAAATTTTACCAAACATTTTTAGAAAGTAGAGACTGCTTCCAGCTTGGAGAATTAATCTTGCAACTTAACAACCTTAGAATGTACCAGAAGGTAAAACATGTTTTCTGCCTCTTTAAATAGGTCTTAATTGTCTCTCTTAGACTCAAGTACAGTCTCAGAGGGTATTGCTGCTTCAAGGAACAGACAGCTTGAACCGAGCCAGTCAGAGCATAGAGCGTTCACATCAGATTGCTGCTGAAACAGACCAAATTGGTTCTGAAATCATTGAAGAGCTTGGCGAACAGCGGGAGCAGCTGGAACGCACCAAAGGGAGAGTGAGTGCACAGAATTCAGCTTTAACACCACTGTCAGATCTTTTGACATTGTAAATCACTGTGTTACATATATTTTCATATACATATGGGAACCTGAACAGCAGGCTAGGGAAAATATTTGAAAAAAGCATCCTTGGCGGGGAAAAAATCAGCCATGAGTACATAATGTTACTCATTTCGCAAGCTTCCTTTTTACCATTCCTCCTGTAGTTAATCTAGATATCCCACATTGTGCTAAATTCATTTAACTTTGCAGCATTATTATATTGTATTAGAACATATGAAATTAACTTCATATGAAATTTACTTCATATAATTCAGAATTATCAGATTTCTGTTCTCTTTGGCACATCACTGTTAAAAAGTAACAACTTTTAAAACAGTAATGTGCCAAATAGACTACAGGTCTAATAAACAACTTTTTCAGCTAGAAATTAACTGGAGATTAAATAAGGTCTTCTGATATTCTTCACCCCACCTCATGACAAAAAACACCTTATGCAAACTATAATATTCTGCATATTTGCTTCTTAGGCATAGCTATGAGAAAGGTATAAAATCTAAGTTTTCTTAGTTTGGAATGTGAACATTATGAACACAAAATGCTAACTTGTCAACAAAGAAACCATACAACTACTAAAAACAATGATTTTGACAAGAAATAATTGTATGTATATTTCTTTTTAGTTAGTAAACACAAGTGAAAACTTAAGCAGGAGTCGGAAAATACTACGCTCCATGTCAAGAAGGTCAGTATGAGAATCTTTAGTTCAGAATCTTTAGAGATATGAAACGCTAACTGTATCTTGATTTACATCCAGTCCTCATACCATGATTGTAGTCATTACTTCAGTCCTGAGCCTAGTAGGCCACAGAAATACTGTATTTCTTCAGTTCAATTTTTCTATATAAACATCTCTAAAATGATATGTGTCTTAGAATCGCAGGTGTATAATCCATATTTTTGTTGTTGGTGATCCTGACATTAGGGTGCAGCTTACGATCAAAGAAATATGGTCAGAGTTCTGAGCACCTTTCTGAGATTTCTAAGGATGTCCTTCTCCAGGCTGTCATTTGCCTATAGCATACAGGAGATTCAGCAGACCACCCTGATCCAGTGCTGGCTTTTTTATGTATGGCAGCTTCCATGCCAATACTTGCTATAAATGAAAACGAGGGCAAGGATATCAAGAACTTTGTTCACGTTTATTGCACTAACTGTATGAGACTTTCATAGATCACATTTTAATAATTATCAGTTGTTTTCAGTTCTTGCCAGGGTTGCTCTTCATATGATTATTGTGACTCCATTTGCACAAAAGCGTGGAAAGCATGCAGATACCAGCATCCCTGTGGATGTTCCAGGTCTTTTCAGAGGTTTCCTTAGGGCTCTCTATTTCACTATAAAGGTGTGGTGGAGAGGCGATACTTCTGGTAATCAAAGGTTATTTAATTCATGCCTCAAGGTGAACAGAAGGAGCAAAAGTGAAAGAGGAGATACTCCTTGGCAAAATGCTCAATGGAAAGAATGTCCTGCACAGATGTGTCCAGAAAGCATCCAAGTAGGCACATCCTTAGCTTCACTGCTCTTTGTGCTTCCTGGTCAGTGAGAAGACAGCATGCGATGGAGTCACTCTTTTGGCAGAATGGCAAGTTGCAGGAGCTTTGTATAGGATCCAAAGATTCTCAGGGGAGAGGGGCAATCAGAAAACCAGGGAATGAAATAGGATTCCAGTCTATTTGGAACCAAAATCATGGTTTGGTTTCTCACCTTCTATTGTTATGAGCAATTGAAATGATACCTGACTTGAGCTTACATGTGGATACAATTGCTTTCTTTAGTTTTTAAAATCATTTTTTAAACTAGTTTATTTCCTACTTACAGTTTAATACCTTATTTCCAGGCGTTATGTTAATGAATTACGTTGTATATATGTTCAAGTGGTTAGCACAATGGCTCTCCTTTTCCCTCATACAGCTAATATCTGGTAAAGTAGTTGTGGAGATGATTGTGGCAGTAGTGTCACAGTCATGATTAGACAGTGAGTTCAAACCAATTATGGAGGAGTAGTTTTAACTTTCATTTTCTTTTCTTTTCTTGATCAGTTCATGATTGTGACATTATTGCATTGACTGTAATTTCCCCCTCTCTAATCTATTTTACTGGGCACAAGCTGCATGGGGAACAGGAGATCCATTATGCCAATAAGCAAAGCACAGATAAATTACATTTCCATCTGGTTTGGGGAAGGATCACTTAATTATACCCAACATTGCAGCTAGTACAGGATTCCAATCTATATTGTTTGATAAAGAATCTCAGGAACAGTGAGTTCCCGTAGAATTAAATGTCACTTGTTCTTTCACTTCTCGTCATTTTTTTCCAGCAATGATGGAAGTCCTAGATCTGCTTAAGTGAGAGTAAGATCATAACACAGTAGGGCTGAGGTGTTGCATCGAGGTGCCTGTATCTGCAGATTTATGCATTTATTGTGCTACATAGTCTTTGTGTTGAATGGCAGGGTTGTATTACACAATTCAACACAACCAGGCCCATAGTGTACATCCATTCCCAACTCTGCTTCAGCAATCTTAAACTGAATGCTATTTGTTTTGCATCAAACAAATATTCAGCTGCTTGTGTAGGGAAATATACTGCATACACAAATCACCACCAGCATTCCAGATTAGAATTTGGTTTTGAACTTTTGAAATATCTGTATCATCGTAGTGCCTTAGAAAGGCAGTAATATCAAGAAGCCAAATGTTGCTCACATTATTATTTCTTTTTTAGGCTTATGACAAACAAATTGTTGCTTTCTGTTATTATCATTCTGGAGCTTGCTATCCTGGGAGGCGTTGTCTACTACAAGTTCTTCACCTGAACTTTCAAGACACCCAGCTTCCTGCCTTGATGTCTTCCATCCACCTTAAGGACTATGCATGGACATTGCCAAGGAACAGTTCTTAAACCGAACGGATTATGTTTTAAATGCAGTTGTAAGACACTATTAACATGCTGCCAGCCTCACAGCATGTTCACCTGAGAAGTCAGTGGGAGGAAATGTAGCTTGAGGGACAGGAGAAAAGACAAAGGACTGACATAAAATTGTGTAATTACAAAGTAATAAACATTTGTCTAAAATGACATGTCTAACTTGTAACACAGCTCTTTGGTCACACAATGGGGAAAAAGAACTAGTCTCTGCAAATTGGTGAACACTTCAGAGCGTAATACAGTCTGTTCTTTGCCCGTCCATTTCAATAGATCACTAGAATGTAACATAATCCCCGTTGCAAAGCATCTGCTGGCCTCCAGCATCTCAAATCCGCACTTGCTCTTCACTGTCAGATTCATCCGGGGAACTAGGAGTGGGGAGGCCATCGAAAACAATGTGTGCCCCTTCTCTTGTTTGGCCAAAGCATGTGGCAATCACTTCCACTGCAAGGTTAGCTGTGGCAGCCACGTCTTCCTGGGATGTTCCAAGCAACGGATTTACTTCTACAAGGTCCACAGCTGAAAGCAGGCCTGGGAAATTAAAGGCAGTCACAAGAGAGAAACAGGAGAAATGAATTTTTATAAGAAGCTAAAACAGGTTGTTGGTACTATATGTAGTGCAATGGGTTTTGAATAAATCAAATCTAGTTGTATGTTGGCTGTAATAAACTGTTTGCAACTGTTAGGATATGTGTTATTCAGCATCACCTGATAGTTTTTTGAAAGGCAATACAAAGATAGTAACTACAACTATTTATGTTCTGTTTTGGATTATGGCATCACCAGTGGTGTGCGACACAGAGCAGTGATGATGTTTAAAGTAATGGGGCAACACAGAGAACCTTACATGCATCAGGCATCTAATAGCTGTAATTGGAAAGGGGAAAAAGGAGAAAATTGGTATTATATTTTTCCCTTCCATTCTTCAGAAGTTACCAAACTTCCAGTTAATAGAAGATTGTGAGTGAGAATAATACAGTTTAACATGACAGTTCCTAGCAGTAAAACTATATGTCAACGTCGCATATAGTTACATTTCTTTGGTTTTAACTGGAAAAATACTTTTGGGACTTTGTCTGAAAGACTCAGGGAATCTTGTCTTGTTGGCCTTATTACTGTCTAAGTAAGTCATTGATTCATTTTGAGGACATGCATAAATGTAGGAAGGGAACCTGGGATTCTGACTGAAGTAGACTGCAACTTGATTTAAACTAATGCTGTATAGTTCTTTAATGTAGCTGCCATATAAGCACCCACTATTTATTCCCTTATGTCATGTTATTTTAATAGTAAAACATGCTTGCCTGGTTCTTACCTGTGTTGTGTATTTCCTCTGAAATGTACATTCCTTCACGATATGTTAAGCCACCCAAGACAGGAGTCCCGGTTGACGGAGCCAATGATGGATCAAAGGCATCAATGTCGAAGCTGAGATGGATAGGTCTTTGTCCTCTGTGGACGGAGAAACATTTTATTTGTATCAACTGTAAAACCTATTTCCAGTGTCCTCTGTCCTCCAAAGGAGCAGAGGACTTATAATTGCCATTGCTAATATATGAATAAGTGAAATAGTTTTGCCTATCAAACCTTTTCCCCAAATAGTCATTACCAAGTGAGGGTTACCTGTTCAAAAGATGGTCAAAGGTTCTTTCCATCACTTTCTGGATCCCCAAGCGATCAATATCTCTCATTGAAAAATACTGGAGGCCATAGTTCTTCAGAATATAGCTGTTAAAAAAAACCCATTCTATTAGTTTTTGGTGAAAGTCAGGTTGGATAACATGATAGATTGGGGAACCAATTTAATGCATTTAAGCCCTTCTGAGGATCATAAAGATTACCATAAAATAAAATAAAAACTTTGATTTTTTAAAAATGTTTAATAAGAGAGGTGTGTGTGTGTGTGATCTACTTTAAAGGTTGATTACTGCTAGAGATTTCTAGGAGAGGTTATTCACTTTTTAAAACAAAAGGAAGAGTAATCTGGGAAATTGGGGACTGAAGGCTACAAAAACAGCCTTGGGTATTACTATGGTCCCAGGGTCATATTTGTTTTCCCTTTGTTTAAGTCAGAAAACTACTTACTAGTTTGAGTCCAACCTATCTTTGCAACCGCATACCCCCCTATGAACCCCTGCGGGCTCTAAGATCTGCCAGGGAGGCTCTCCACTTGGTCCTGCCGTAATCACAGGGGGAGAGGGCCTTCTTGGTGGTGGCCCTTCGGCTTTGGAACACCCACCCCAGAGAGATTAAATAGGCCCCTACACTGTCCTTTCATAGGGAGTTTCAAACAGGACTTTGAGAATGCCTAGTCCCTAGTTGTTCTGTGCCGTATTCGCACATCGTTGAGCTTTATACTATGCCCTCTCTCCATTGTTGCAGCTTGCACTTATTCCATTCCTATTGTTTAGAGCTTGGTCATGTTTACAGCAGCTTATTGCCACTGGTTTATGACCTCAGTTTTATTGAGCCCGAGTTGATGTTTTTATATGCGTATGTGTTTTATTTTATTGTATTTTATTTTGTGCTTTATTTTTATGTTTGTTTTTAGGCACTTTGTGCCGTTCTGTAAGCCGCCCCGAGTCCCTTCAGGAAGATGGTGGCAGAATAAAGTAGTAGTAGTAGTAGTAGTAGTAGTAGTAGTAGTAGTAGTAGTAGTTATTATAGCAGCCTATACATGCAGCAAAAGTCCGCATCAACTTGTCTGTGAAAGCAGTTATAAGAGAGCTTTCCCAAACTATCCTAGGACTTACTGTTCAGCAGGATCGACATCTCTTAAGCCAATATATACAATATCTGATCGTGAAAGACAGGGTTTTAGCCAAGAGAAGCCAGGAAGCTGTGGCACCTGCAGAAAAAGAAAAAAGGAAATGCCCATGAAAGAACATTACATGTTCCTATTTACTATAAACAAATTCCGTTAATGGTCTGGCATATTCTTTCTCCTCATAAGTAATGTGTAGTAACAAAAAGCTCAGTTGTTTACTTCAAGGACAATAATGCCTGAAAGATTAATATCTTCAGCACTTAGCCTTTCACAAAAGTTTTGGAGATAATATTCTCCAAAGAAACAGCCAAGCCTCTACCCTGCAATATACCAAGTTTTCATCTTGTTTTTGTTTTTTTTTACATAGAAAAAAAAACATAATGAAATTCTACCTGATTGTATATGGCTTTCACGTGTTAAGCAATTATAAGAGGTAAGGGTAAAGGTTTTCCCCTAACATTAAGTCTAGTCGTGTCTGACTCTGGGGGTTGGTGCTCATCTCCATTTCTAAGCCAAAGAGCCGGCATTGTCCATAGATTCCTCCAAGGTCATGTGGCCAGCATGACTGCATGGAGCACCATTACCTTCCCGCCGGAGTGGTGCCTATTGCTCTACTCACATTTGCATGTTTTCGAACTGCTAGGTTGGCAGAAGTTGGGGCTGACAGAGGAAGCTCACGCTGCTCCCCAGATTAGAACCTGTGACCTTTCAGTCAACAAGTTTAGAAGCTCAGCAGTTTAACCCACTGTGCCACCAGGGGCAGCAAGATTGTAACTTGTAAATAATTTGGAATACATGAAAAAAATATTTGCAGTATGCTCTACATATTTTGCATGTTATTTAGAACACCATATACCAAAATGTTCACTGCTATTCATAATATCCTCATGCTTATTCTCTTAAGAATGATGTGCTATTATCTCAAGGCTGGTATGATCAAATAAAAGTCTGGAAGCAAATCTTGCAAAATGCCAATGTTCCTAAATAGGCAAAAGTAATGTTTGCTTATTAAACAGAAAATGTTTTCACATAGAACCCACTTCCTTTGATAAAGCTATTGACAACTGTTGGTAGAGCCAAGCAGTAAACTGGGTGCCCTGCCAAACGATAACTTGCAGAGAGATAGGAAGAGAGAGGATACCCACATTTCTGATTAAGGATGATTTGCTGTAATTAGCCAAAATTTAAGTGCAGAATGAAGAACAGTACATTAAAATCTCTCCTAGTATGATGCAGTAATGCCATGTCCACTAGGAGTAGTGTATGAATAATGCTAAGTGCAAACTTATTTACATGCATTAGAGGTCTGGTGTGACTGTGCATAATAGACAATAGCTTGGCTGGTTGTTTACTATTCAGTGGATGCAGACCATCCCATGCCATTGTTAGCTGATATCTAGCGGAATGAGTTGAATGACCTTCAAATCGTGTGAAACAATACCATAATGGTCTGGGCACATTGATGCACCACAATGTATCAACATGGCACATCATGCCAAGTACATTCTGAAAGGATGAAAAACTGTTAGTCTTAGTGCACAACTTAAAGGTCACTAGGTATCATCAGGCCTAGTGGACAACACAAGCCCTGCCTCCTACCTTATCTTGAAGCTCCCTTAAAAGAAACGAAACTGGCTGTCCATGGAGATTCCCTGAATTCGAGGTGAGTGGAGTATTAACATCCGCATGTGCATCGACCCAGATTACACAGAGGTGAGGGTACTGCCTTGTGTGGCCACTAATGGAACCAAGTGCTAAACTGCAAAAAGAAACAAAAACAGGTGTGAGCTTGAACATTAAGATGAATTTAGAATAAGACAGGAAGGGACAAATAAGTGAGAGCCAATGCCAAGGATGCAGAATTCACGCTTCCTGGAATTTTCCTTAATCCCCATATATTTCTAGCATTGCAGTGTGAGACAGTGAAAATATTCACACCTAGAATTCCTATATTTGCTCTGCTTGCTCTCCCTTGTTAATACGACCTGCCCTTTTTCTGTAGATACCTAAACTGTATTTCTAAATGTTCAACTGAACTTTAAAGCTACTACAATGCTAGAAATTTGGTGACTGAAAAGACACTTTCAAGGAGGGAACTGACTTCCTAGGGCAGTGGTTTTCAACCTGTACGTCCCCAGATGTTTTGGCCTTCAGCTCCCAGAAATCCTAACAGCGGGTAAACTGACTGGGATTTCTGGGAGTTGTAGGCCAAAACAGCTGGGAACTCACAGGTTGAGAACCACTGTCTTAGGGGGGGAGGCATTTTACTGTCTCCATAGTAATATCTTAGTTAATGCATTATGGAGCTAGCACTTTACCAAAAGCTCTTGAACTTGAGTTGGCAATGTATTATGTTTATTTATTCCATGCTTTTTCTCCCTACACCAGAGATTCAAAGCAGGTTACAATAAAAACAATGCAATTTAATTTAAAACGTTAAAACAGAAAAACATTAAAATATAATTAGATATTAATGTTATTAAAACAGTCAAATCCTTAAAACTGATAAGAGTGATATTCAAAGTGGTACGCCAAGTGGTATTTTCTCATCTCATTATGACTGATGGATGTTGCAGTTCAGTACATTTTGGAGGCCACACTGCCTACTTCTATTTTTATGAACAAGAAAATTATAATTAAGTGGATAACTTGTACTTAATTATAAGTGATAGTGATTCACACTCTGCTTACTCCTGCTTTTGTGGACAACAAAATTATAATTAGGTGGCTATTGCTTAATTATAATTAAGTGATAGTGATTCTGAACTTATACGCCGTGAAGTTTAGAATCGGTACACTTGGTGTAGTCAAGGAAGGTTTCTGCAACATATTGTAGTATATGTCCCTGCTCTTTATGCAATGCATATTTACACCTTATTTCATCTCTCACCTGTGATCACCTCCGATGGTTACACAGCTATGACCAGCAGCCACGGCTCCATTCACAGTGTCAGCTAGAACTTGGCTAGCTAATCCTACAGAGCGTGGATATTTCACTAGGTTGTTGTAGAGCTCATCATTGGGGACCTGTGTGAAATTTAAGTCTCCCAGATCATATACCTGGCAACCTAGGAAAGGGTAGACAAGAAGAAAGTTGAAGTATACAAAATGTCCAGCCTTTTGATAAACAGAAAGTGCTAGCAGTTACCATGAGGTCCACTAATGCACAAAAGTAAACAGCAGCTTTGAACCCTGCCATACATTATGCAAGGACCTCTCCTTCATTTTTATAAAAGGTAAACAAATGTGTTAGCTGACATCTGGATCCCCAACCAAATCTATATTTTTTCCAGAAATAGTGGCAGAACAGATGGTCCTCACTGATCACTGCATTGTGCAACAACAGACCAGCCATTTGGAGAGCAACACTGGACTAAATACTAATAGCAAAATTTTATTTCTTAGCCACCTCTCCCGATGGATCGAGGTGGGTTACAACAAAGCTAAAAACATATGAACACAAAATATATGCAATACATTAGATAAAAACATAAAATAGAAAAACTTGAACCAAAAATAGATTAAAAATTTGACATATAGTAGCAACAGAATGTAAATCAAAACACATGATTTGACTGGGCAGGCCTGCTGGAAGAGATGAATCTTCAATTTTGTTTTAAATTTTAATAGCGGATTTAGCTGTCAGAGCTCTTTTGGCAGGTCATTCCAGTCTTGGGGCAGCTGATAAAAAGGTCCTCTGGGTGATGGTTGTCAGTCAGGTTCTGGCTGGCTGAACGTAAAGTGTCCTGAGGGGCAGCTTGTACAGGAGAAGGCAATCCTGTAGGTAACCTGGACCCAAACCATGTAGGGCTTCAAAGGTCAAAACTGAAACTTTGTACCTGGAAACGAATTGGTAACCAGTGGAGTGTCTTTAAATATAGGGATAATATGCTCACTCCTAGATGTTTCTATAACCAGTCTGGCTAAACAGCTATCAATGCTTCACCAAGCCATGAAATCCACCCTTACTGGTGCACACTGAATTGGCAAGTGCTCCTTGAAACCCTGCACCATCCATAGGAATCAACTTTCAACTAATGGTAAATGTTTCTATCTGTTCCTATTTCTATTATACAGGCTGTCTCCACAACTACTTTACCAGATATTAGCTGTATGAAACAGCAAGAGACATTTATAGAGTCCTACATGAAGAACAATTGAGCAATCTTGTAAAATTTTGCAGAAGGAAGAACTTCACATTGGCATGTATTTCTTTGTTCTTCACTTTACAAATGAAGCAATATCCAGGAACTTGCTTCACCTTTACTCATTAGCGTCATTGCAGAGCTTCTTTTTCCATAGAAATGCCATTGCCAAATATACTTAGGCTGCAATCCTACACCCATACAGTGGAAACAGTCAGAGTACGTGAGACTTGGATTACACTGTCAACTACAACAATTTTCTACACTTAAGACAAAAGATACTCTTTAAAGTGTCAGCACTGTGGTTTATAAAATTTGAGCCATCCTCAGTGAGATTCTTAGGTCTAAAATTGCCTTTACAAAAAATCAAGGGAGATAGAATCTCACAGCACCTTTATATAAATTGCCAGAAACTTAAAAGGTGATGATATGTTTCTGTCAAACAATGAACTTGTTAGTCTTGAGCTGTTAAAAGCCGTGAATCCAGTAGAGACCTGTCAAAGAGACCTTCTAATTGATGGACCCATATCAACCTACACCACTTTTTAAAGGTTTGTTGCCAGCATCACAATTAGTACCTTTCTGTATTCCATTACACTCCGATCCCACCCCCACAGCTATTTAGTGTGTTTAAATACTGGAATATATAAAATAAACATTTTTCTGTTGAACAAAAGCAGAAGTCATTTGAGTCAACAATGAGATAATTAAATGTATTGTTGAAGGCTTTTATGGCCGGAATCATTGGGTTGTAGGAGGTTTTTTCGGGCTACATGGCCATGTTCTAGAATCATTCTCTCCTGACGTTTTGCCTGCATCTATGGCAAGCATCCTCAGAGGTTGTGAGGTCACAATGAGATAGTTTCTAACTTCACAAAAAGTTGTCTGTCTTAATAGCAGACTCTTCCATTTCCTTCCCAAAATAATAACAAGGCAGCTGAAAGGTTTAGAATTGGGATTGGTTCATTATGAGGGCATTATGAGTCTTAAATTATTGGAGATAACTTGTGATACATATACACACAATTGCAAAACACAAGTAGTACTTAACTTTACAAACCCTATGAAAAATCCTTACAGGGCTGCTCCTTTCTTTTCCTGTCCCTCTTCATAGCAGCTTCACAAATAAGGCCAGCTCATGCATCTCTACATGAGCTCTGTCCCTGCCACAAGGAAACTGGATCTCCAGAAGTCAGGCATTTGCAACTCCGTTCGTTTGTTTCATCATTCTCTGAGAGGTCATCCTATTCCAGCATTTTAGAACACCAACAGGGGAAATATTCAGGAGTAACTATGTTGCCCATGCAGCAAAATACTAAATCCCCAAATAGCAATGCCATTTGGGGGCAAACTCTAAGGTTTGCATTGGAATTCCTCAGACCAAATTTAAACCTGTGACTCTAACATTATCACTATTGTTTTCCTGTATGGTTTTTAACATCTTTGCCTGATGAAGAAACCAATGAAGCTTTAAAAGTGTCCATGCTGTATTTTATGTTTTGGAGCTAGCTCATCAAAATGTATCTCTACTTGGGAATGTCTGTTGTACTTTTAAACGCACCATCGTAATACTGTGCTATTTAAAAGCCCAACAGCAATAAGGAGGAGAAACGCTTTGGGGGTGCCTACCACCACTGTCCGAAAGTCACTCTTTCAAACAACAGCTTCCAGAAACCATTGCTAGCACCATGTTGGGCAGATAATTATTTGAATTCAAGTCTAAAATAGCAGTGCTTCTCTACAGTGACTACACACTTGAAGAAAATACCCCTTTCTCTAATACCCCTTTCTTTCCTTCTCCCTGATTTCCAAATTTTCAAAACCCTAATCACATAGAACCATTTACAGGACAGCTTCTTTGTAATACAGAGGAAACACTCTTCAAGTGATTTTATGAATCACAAACACCCCCTAAACTTAAAGCTAGGTGACTTCTTTTAATGTTGAGAGTTGGATATCAACTTCTTACATAGAATTCCTAGTGGTATTGCATCCAGACTGTTGCCTAACAAATCATCTCCAGTCCTACTACATCATCTGTTATCTCAGGTTACTCATAGTCAACCCAAAATCAATATTTTCTGTTTACTGTTCCATCTCCCCTAAAAAGGTGGGCTGATCAATATATTATAGTCAATTGCATAATCCTCATGCAGGTAGAAGGGGAATAACTATGCAGACACACCACACACTATTGAAGATTAAATCCAAGTCTTACGTAAAGCCTATCTCCACATAAAGGCTTGTTCCAAAAGCCTTTTTTATTTTTGGCTCTGTCCTCCTTGAACCAGGGCCAGCTGGTCACCAGGCCAGTATCAGGAGCTTACTTCAACATGACACAATCATCAACCACATTTGAGGACTCTGGGCAAGCTGATGAGAGTCAGGGCAACAGTGGGAGGCTACTATTAGTGCTCCAACATGTGTCACCCAAGACAAGTGCTTCACACTGGGCAGTGAGACAGTCAGCTATGTCCCTTACCTTAAAAGGATAACCCAAACAAGTTACAGGTCATTTACTACCACCCAAATCAGCCTGCCTGCAGTCTTTCAACCTACAACACTGCATCATGGGCTGATGCAACTGTAATGTATTTTGTTATCATGCACAGATAGTATTACAAAGGCAGCACGTGCTCAAGTCTTGTAACTGAGAATAGTCTGACCTCAGAGATGCCCCTTCTAACTTCTTGGCAGGACAGGAATTTCTGGCAAGACTCCAGGAGAAGTGCAAAGTGTCACTTACAAAGCCATTTATATCAGCTCAGTTCCTATCTCCCCAGGGGAGATAGGGCAGAATATCAATAGAGTATTATTATTATTTATCCCTTTAAGTAATTTTCCAGGGGTCCTTTGTATCCTTCTTTCATATTTGCAGATCTTCCCCAAAAGTGGTAATCTGAAAGTCAGAATAATTCTTCCACATTCCTATCAAATACATTTTACCTTTCACAATGATACACAATAAGAACTTCCACCTGAAAAAGAAATGTCTTTTTCATACTGATGTCCATATACTGATCAAGTGGGGAAAAAACTGGCACTTTGCTCAGTCCTTTCATTTGATCATCCAGTGAGATGATGATCTTAAATTGATTGGATCAATCGTTGATATAATGTGATTGTTTCTCAATTGTTGTGTCCAGTTAAAGTAAAATTGATATGGTCTCCTGGGTTACATCTGAAATTAATCAGACGCAAAAAAAAAATGTCTAGCAACACTTTGAATTCATAGGGAAACAAGGATAGAATATTTCACCTTCTAAATAGTTTGCAAAAAATGTGAAGGTAAATGCTACTGAAGCGATCCAATGGCTAGTATGACTCAATGAAACTGGCATTTAAGAGGAACTGGGAATGGCTAACTCACCATAAAAGATTGTTACTTAAGGTGTTCTACATCGGCTCATCACAATGACTCATACCTGCTCTGGATGGATTATATAACATATATTGCACCAGACCTCATACTCTCATAGTCTCTTATATTACAACATACTCCATCCAAATGTTTGCGTGCATACTCTGCCTGTACATTTTGCCTGTTCACTGGATTTACCACTTCATGCAAATTCTACCACACACATTACGAGAGATCCTGTGCTATATCTGATGTAAAGGAAATTGCTACCCTTTGGGAAAAATACATTTTGAATACAACTCCCATCACGCAAAACTTGTTGGCTGTTGACCTCATATCCCCAAGCTGTTACATTTCTAGAATTTGTAACCATGTGGATTGTGCCAGTTCAATTTTTTAAAAAAGCAAACAAAAATAATAGATTTTTTTCCTAGGTATTGGTGAACATTAAATCCTCAATTTAATGTTTTTTTTTAAGGTTGCAAGATTAATTATGTTTGTAACAGATGGGTGATTTCATAATTTGATAATATCATATTCTACTAGGCACTCTTTTTCAAGCTGCACTTTTCATCAACGTTTGAAAGAACCATTGTTCTTGTTACCATCTTTTTTTAACTATATTTATTAAAAATCTCTTCCATTTCTTAATATTCAGCTTTTGAAATGCAGGGCACAAAGGGACTGTAGTATGTGAACAGGAATGAAAACTACACAGAACAACATTATATTTAAAAAAAAATTAATTCTATCAAGACTCCCAAAAGGTTTCTTGGCCAGAGCTTCTTGGAAGATATTGTTCAGGGTTCAACATAATATCTTTATTGGGGAAAAAAAACCTTTTAAAAAGCTGTAGATTTCCAAGACCAAAGGATTCCTCCAGGCTGCCCTTGGTTGCCCTTCCCCTGGCCAAAAAGTGGGCAAATTACTGCTTGCTAGGTGTCTAGAAGCCACCTAACCCTAGACCCATACCTATTGTTGAACATCAGAAGTGACCTTATGTTCACGTCTATTTTTGTCTGTTTTCTTGCTTCAGGACACATTGGCAGAATGAGGCAAGAATGGTAAACAAGACTGTCAGTTTTTCAACACCATATGAGATGGTTGCCGTTGTTAGGTGTATTAAAATCAACTCTGACTCCTGGAAATCCTAGCAGAGGAAGTTAGCCACTGTCTTCCTTTGAATATACAGTAGAGTCTCGCTTATCCAATCTTCACTCATTCAAAGTTCTGTATTATCCAATGCAGTCTGCCTCCCACCAGGATCCACAGCTGTTTCAATACACTGCGATGTTTTGGTGCTAAATTCATAAATATGGTAATTACTACATAACGTAACCGTGTATGGAACTGCTTTTTCTGTTGATTTGTTGTAAAACATGATGTTTTGGTGCTTAATTTGTAAACTCATAACGTAATTTGATGTTTAATAGGCTTTTCCTTAATCCCTCCTTATTATCCAACATTTTGTTGACCTGTTTATGTTGGATAAGTGAGACTCTACTGTAGCTTAGAGTACCTAGCATTCCCTGGTAGTTACCCAAGTACTGCTTAGTTTCCAAGATCAGAGAGGATCTAGCACCTTTAGGGTGCATGTGCCAAAGATAAGGCCCATGGGACAAATCTGGCTCTCTGCATCATTTTATGTAGCCCACAAGGCTTTTAATGCCAGGGCAATTTACGAATGTTGGCCTACTTATGAATTTCAAAAGATTCCGATATCTTAAAGTCTTTGATTTCCTGTTTCTTAAACCTGATTTTCCTCTGGATTCCCAGAAATTTCAATTATTTCTTTATTGCTGACTCAGATCCGCAAAGCAAAATTTTCCATGAATCATCAGCACAGAATATCTAGGGTGGGGTCAAATGCAGAGTCACAGACAAAGAGCTAGACTTATTCAAAAAGAGGACAGGTAAAAATGACAACTATTTTATCAGTTACATAACCTTGTTGTAATCAGCCACACTGAGTGGAAGAAACCTAGGCAAATGATTAAATCTTCTGTTAAAAGAAACATGACTTTAAAATATATACGTCAGCTGTGTTGGACAGCTCTAAGGTTCTGAACCAGCATATTCAATTTTAATACAAACATGTTTAAGCATGTTGAGGAAGCAAAACAGAGCTACTGTTTGATTCAGACATACTGCATTTGTCATTTACTGTAACTATTACATAAATATTGGCCAACAATCCTTGCCAAATCAGTCAGCATTCAGGCCTAGTCCAAGAAAGGCTGTTGCCTGGGAAAAGGAAGGAAGGAAGGAAGAGTTCTTGAACAGAAGCTAGCTGGATTGAGAGCTGAACCTTACATTCAATACTGACAATGAGATTATGTCCTCTGCCACATGTGGCAGAGCTTGAAATTTGTATTTTTCGTATAAAGTCTCTATAAACCAGGTTTTGGTGAGTTGCATAATAAACACATTATCCTTCCAGAGTGAAACACTAAGGAAACAAACCATCCTTGTTGCTCCCACCCTATTGCCTGAAATTGTGCCACTGAATCCAACAGTACAGACATTTTTAATGTCATGTCATCTGGCAGGGCACCTGGCAAAAGGCCTTGGATAGAGATTTCAAGGTCAGACAAAGCACACATTGGAAGAAACAAACCTTTGGGTACAACTGTCCAAAGATTTGAAAGCCATTAAAAGTCAAGAACACTCTGAACTGGATTCATAAATGCACTGGGAATAAGGAATATTTCAGCAATGTTTTTATGAGTGACTGTGGCCCAGTCTGTGTATGTGTGTTATGTGTGTGTATATATTTGTGTATATGTGTGTGTTTGCATATATGTGTGGTTCTGTGCATGCGTTGCAGTGTAATTTTTGTTGTTGTGGGGTTTTTCAGTGTTTCTGTAATAGATGTTCACTCATTAGCCCAAAAGGTGTATTGTATCCAAATTTGGTGTCAATTTGTCCAGTGGTTTTTGAGTTACGTTAATCCCACAAACGAACATTACATTTTGATTTATATAAATAGCTGAAGCAAAATTCCTGTGCAGGTTGGGCCATAGCCATTATACCAGCCTAAAGCTGTTGTGTAGTTGAGACCACAAGAAGCCATGCGACTACAAAACTGAGGGTAAGCTAGAAGAGACTAACTCACCCTTGCCTACAGAGAACAGTGAAGCAGAGGAGCCGGGCAAACGTGGCTAGTGCCAGTGAATCACAACCCAGGTAAGGACTTTGAAAGAGATAAGATACAAAGCTGAGGCTTGGCTTTGAGAGAAGGCAGATAGGGAAAGGACGGCCCCAGGAGATTGAGGAGATCTGCAATAGAGATATTGAGCCGGGGGGGGGGGGGGGGGGGGGGGGAGAGAGAGATGAATAGGGTTTTGGGGAACTGTGAATGATTCGATAGTTCAGGGGTTAATATGTGGTCCAAACGGTGGTTCTGATCTGGGGAGCGGGGTGACTTCTCAGGCAGCAAATAGAAGAGGTACGGTAGAAGGAGATCTCCTTGTTCCTTTTGAATCAGGAAGCCAGACGGCATGGGCCCTTCTCTTTGGCTGTGGCAAAAGATGCTATGCTCGTGAAGTTAGGTTCCAGAGACAACTTAGATATGTGAAATGTGCCCGTATGCGGAGCAACTTGCCCTTTTGCCTCGGGCAGCAAAATGTTGTAAATTGGCCCTGTCTTTTATTATGGCCAAAATTGCATTTTTACTCCCTCGGAGAGAAATTTGAAGAATTTTCTACCTGAGGTGCCCAAAGAGGCTGGTCACATAGATATTATGAATGTGGCAGGAAACTGAGGAGGGAGTGAGATGGAAAGTGCTGGCCTGTCTAAAGCAGGCATGAGTGAACTTCAGCCCTCCAGGTGTTTTGGACTTCAACTCCCACAATTCCTAACAGCCTCAGGCCTCTTCCTGAGGGGGCTGAGGGGGGAAAGGAAGATGCCTGAAGCTGTTAGGAATTGTGGGAGTTGAAGTCCATAACAACTGGAGGGCTGAAGTTTGCTTATACCTGGTCTAAGGGCTCAGTGGGTTAAAGCACTGAGCTGCTGAGCTTGTTGATCGAAAGGTCGCAGGTTCGATTCCGGGGAGCGGCGTGAGCTTCCGCTGTCAGCCCTAGCTTCTGCCAACCTAGCAGTTCGAAAACATGCAAATGTGAGTAGATCAATAGGTACCGCTCCGGCGGGAAGGTAACGGCGCTCCATGCAGTCATGCTAGCCACATGACCTTGGAGTGTCTACGGACAACGCTGGCTCTTCAGCTTAGAAATGGAGATGAGCACCACACCCCAGAGTCAGACATGACTGGACTTAATGTCAGGGGACTACCTTTACCTTTAAGGTAGCAAAGATGTCCCATATGAACTTGGCACCTTGTGAATTGACGGCAGTTACTGGGTTGCTGAGAATTTTCCGGGCTATATGGCCATGTTCTAGAATCATTCTCTCCCGACATTTCACCTGCATCTATGGTAGGCATCCTCAGAGGTTCTGAGGTCTCCTTGAAACTAAGCAAGTTGGGTTGATATATCTGTGGAATGTCCAGGGTGGGAGAAAGAACTCTTGTCTGTTGGAGGTAGGTGTGGATGTTGCAATTGATCACCTTGATTAGCATTGAATAGCCTTGCAGCTTCAAAGCTTGGCTGCTTCCTTCCTGGGGGAATCCTTTGTTGGAAGGTGATTAGCTGGCCCTGGTTGTTTTTGTCTGTGATTTCCCTGTTTTTGAGTGTTGCTATCCTGATTTTAGAGTTTTTGAGGCGAGCGTGAATGTTGCAATTGGCCACATTAATTAGCCCAAAAAACTTACAGCAACCCAGTGATTCTGGCCATGGAAGCTTTCAACAATACATTAACAGCAGTTAGTTTTATGTACTGTTGCATTATTTTGATTTTATGTTACATGTGTTGATGGAGGTTGTTTTTAAATTTTTATATGATTCGTTTTATATTTTTGCACCATTTTTACTTGTTGTATGTTAAATGTGTGCCCTGGAGTGCCTTGCAAGCCACCCTGAGTCCCTTTGGGAAGGTGGTAGCAGGAGATAAATAACGTTTATTACTAAGACAGGGACCGCCTGTATATTACTCTCCGGCACCTGTGGAACCGGCTCAGCAGCGGTTCTTCCATTCATTGTTTTCTCTCTAGAGCAGCAAAAGCATGAGAAGGATGCTGCCTCTGGCTATGGAAGTTTCTGGGCTGCCTTGGAAAAGAAGACAAACAAGGTCAGCCTGGCCTTTGGAGCGTTTCTTCTCTCTTCCCATGCAGAGATCTCTTTCTTATGCAGATGACCTGCCCGAAAGCGCCCTCCATTCGCAAGGCTCCTTTTGTCACCTCTCCCATCCCTTCAGGAGGAGGAGGAACTCGGGATTGCTCAAGGCTGGGGAAGGGAAGCAAAGAGGGTGCTTAGAAGAAGAGAGGAGGGAAGAGCTACCTACCCATTCGGGAGAGCTTGCCCACCAGCCCGGCGTCCCTGATGGCAGCAGGGCCATGGTCCACGCCGCTTTTTTTCTGCAAGAGGAAACAAAAAAAGGCGATGACGGGTGGGTGGGGAGGGAGGGAGGGAGGGAGGGGGCAGCGAAGAGGAGCGGCGCGGAATTTGCCGGTCGTGACGTCACGCGGGGAGGGGGGCAGAGGAGAGGAGCGGCACGCGGTTTGCCGGCCGTGACGTCACGCGCTGAGCCTCCTCCGCAAAGGAAATTTCCACTGCTTTCCCGCAAGACAAGGGGAGAGCCTCCTGCTCGCATCACGCCCCCTCAACCCCACAGGGCCTTGAGAAAAGGAAATCAGGGGCACAAATCCTACTAGCCCAGGAAAACTTCGCCCCCCCTCCCCCCTTCCAGGTCTTTTGGACTTCAGCTCCCACCATTCCTGACAACCTGAAGCCTGGGTTATTGAGAATTTTCCGGGCTGTATGGCCATGTTCCAGAAGCATCCTCAGAGGTTGTGAGGTCTATTGGAAACTAGGAAAAATTGGGTTTATATATCTGTGGAATGTTCAGGGTGAGAGAAAGAACTCTTTTCTGTTGGAGGTAGGCGTGAATGTTTCAATTGGCCACCTTGATTACCATTTAATGGCCTAGCAGTTTCAAGGTCGGGCTTCTTACTGCCTGGGGGAAAACCTCAATTGGCCACCTTGATTACCATTTAATGACCTAATAGTTTCGAGGTCTGGCTTCTTACTTCCTGGGCGGAAACCTCGATTGGCCACCTTGAATACCATTTAATGGCCTAACAGTTTCAAGGTCTGGCTTCTTACTTATGTGTGAATATTGCAGTTGGCCATCTTGATTACAATTTAATGGGTTGTTGTAGGTTTTTCCGGGCTATATGGCCATGTTCTAGAGGCATTTTCTCCTGACGTTTCGCCTGCATCTATGGCAAGCATCCTCAGAGGTTGTGAGGTCTGTTGGAACTAGGAAAATGGGTTTATATATCTGCGGAATGACCAATTTAATGGCCTAGCAGTTTCAAGGTCTGGCTTCTTACCACCTGGGGGAAAACCTTGTTGGGAGGTGATTAGCTGGCCCTGATTGTTTCTTGTCTGGAAAGCCTCAATCCCTTTCCTTTTCCCGCTCAGCCTGCCCAGCCCTTTCTCCTCCACTTCTCCCCTGCTTGGCTTACCTGGCCCCGGGAGAAAGGGGCTCCAATCAGGGCCACCGAGTGCGCCGGTCTCTTCTGGACCCTCAACGTGGATCCCGCCCGCTGCCTGAGGAGCCGGCCGAAGCTGCTGCGAAGCGACATAGCGGCAAAACGAGAGAAAGAAAGGAAGACAAGATCACGCGCCGCCTATTCAAAGAGTACCGGCACCGCTACCCACGCCAGTCCTTTATATCCACTGCGGCGCCCCGCCCACCGCGAGGCCACGCCCCCTTCCTCGGATTCCTCCCCCCGCCCCCTTGGTCGCGGGCCCAGGCCTTTAATCTCCCGCGGGCCAATCAGCGCCGAGCTGGCCGGAGGTGTGCGCCCGAGCCCCCTTCGAAGCCGGCGCGCGCCAGGAAGGGAACGTGCCGGGAGAGTGTTGGCTGGCTTCCCACTTTGGCTTTGTTTTTCTTTTCTCTCTCTCTCTCTATCCTCCGGTTCTCAAGTGTTAGCCACCCACCCATCCATCCCGCTGGATGGGATCCATCTGCTTCTCCATCCAAGGTTGCATTCTATCTACACCAGGTATGGGCAAGCTTGGGCCCTCCAGGTGCTTTGGACTTCCAACTCCCACAATTCCTCACAGCCTCAGGCCCCTTCCTTTCCCCCCGCAGCCGCTTAAGCGGCTGTGAGGAATTGTGGGAGTTGGAAGTCCAAAGCACCTGGAGGGCCCAAGCTTGCCCATACCTGATCTACATTGCAGAATACAGTTGAGAAACCATTTTCCTCACAGCTTTTCCGCGGCGGAAAGTAAAGAGGAAAGGAACCGAGCAGCGCGGACCATGTTTCAGGGGAGGAAAGACCACCCCCTCCCCCTCGCGCGGCTTGGGGGGCCACTGGCGGACCGAAGGGAGGACCACATGCCCCCGCCTCACAACATTCGCGGCGGGTTTGAGTCACAGAGAAAGCACTCCCAGAATTCCAGGCTCATCCCTGGGAAGGAAGCCCCACTGACTCCATTGCAGGCGGGGAGAGAGGGCAATTACTGTTGGACTGCAACTCCCATTACTCTCTGTGCAGGCCAGGAAGGGTTATTTATTTATTTTTTATTTATTTCTTGTACTTATTGACCGCCACTCTCAGCCCTAGGGGCGACTCGTGGCGGTGAACAGCAACATAGAAAGACAGCATACAAAAGTTACAACAATACATAACAAACTACTACTACAACATATACTTATACTAAAAATCCGCTTCGTCTAATCCTGGGGTCATAGCCAAATTCGTAGTCATAGTCCGTTCTAACGTCGTTCTACAGATACACTTAGTTGAAGGCCTGCTCGCAGAGCCAAGTTTTCAGGCTCCTACAAAAGGCCATCAAAGAGGGCGCCTGTCTAACCTCAGTAGGGAGGGTGTTCCACAGCCGGGGGGCCACCACCGAGAAGGCCCTCTCTCTCGTCCCCGCCAGACGTGCCTGCGAGGCAGGCGGGACCGAGAGAAGAGCCTCCCCGGATGATCTCAAGGCCCTCGTGGGCTCGTAGGCCGAGATGCGGTCTGCAAGGTATTTTGGGCCGGAACCGTTTAGGGCTTTGTAGGCTAACACCAGCACCTTAAATTGGGCCCGGTAGCAAATCGGCAGCCAGTGGAGCTGGGACAGCAGGGGCGTTGTACGCTCTCTGCGTCCTGCTCCTGTTAATAACATGGCTGCCGCGCGTTGGACTAGCTGAAGCTTCCGGGCCGTCTTCAAGGGCAGCCCCACGTAGAGAGCGTTGCAGTAGTCGAGGCGGGATGTGACCAAAGCATGTACCACCGTGGCCAAGTCCGGCTTCCCAAGATACGGGCGCAGCTGGCGCACGAGCCGAAGCTGTGCAAATGCTCCCCTGGTCACCGCTGAGACCTGAGGCTCCAGGCTCAGCGATGAGTCCAGGGTCACACCCAAGCTGCGAACCTGCGCCTTCAAGGGGAGTGCGACCCCGTCCAGCACAGGCTGTAACCCTATACCCTGTTCGGCCTTACGACTGACCAGGAGTACCTCTGTCTTGTCTGGATTTAATTTCAGTTTGTTCGCCCTCATCCAGACCATTACAGCGGCCAGGCACCGGTTCAGGACTTCGACAGCCTCCTTAGTAGCAGGTGGGAAGGAGTGACAGAGTTGGACGTCATCTGCGTACAGGTGACACCGCACCCCGAAACTCCGGATGATCTCACCCAGCGGCTTCATGTAGATGTTAAACAGCAGGGGGGACAAGATGGAACCCTGAGGAACGCCACAGGTCAACGGCCGTGGCGCTGAACAGGAGTCCCCCCATAACACCTTCTGGGTACGACCCTCCAGAAATGATCGGAGCCACTGCAGCGCAGTGCCCCCGAGACCCATCTCTGCAAGGCGCCCCAGAAGAATACCGTGGTCGACGGTGTCGAAGGCCGCTGAGAGGTCCAGGAGCACCAACAGGGACACACTCCCCCTGTCTAGGGTTGGAAGGATATTCCAGCAGCATAGTGTCCACAAGCCTTGAGGCCAGAGGTGCATTTAGAGCAGGCATGGGAAAACTTAGGCCCTCCGGGTGTTTTGGACTTCAACTCCCACAATTCCTAACAGCTTCAGGATTAAGCAGCTGAGGGGGGGGGGGGAGAGAGAAAGGGGCCTGAGGCTGTTAGGAACTGTGGGAGTTGAAGTACAAAACACCCAGAGGCCCCAAATTTGCTCATGCCCAAATTTGCTCATGCTTAAGCGGCTGAGGGGGAAAAGCCAGGGGCCGAAAGCTGTTAGGAATTGTGGGAGTTGAAGTCCAAAACACCCGGAGGGCCCAAGTGTGCCCATGCCTGTTACATAGATTTAACATGTGTGAAATACACCTGGTAGGTGAGTGAGACTTTCTAGTCCAGTCCCAATGATAAACCCCACACCGAATGGAAAATTCCTTTTCAAGTCAGGAAAAACACTGCCGTGGCTGTAATTAGGGAGATGGCGCTGTGCTTTAAGCACAGGGCTTTGAGTCTGGAGGCCATGTTTTGGCCATAAAAACACATTGTAATACTTTGACAGGTATCCAAAACAAAGAAACTACAAACCTCACAACCTCTGTGGATGCTTGCCATAGATGCAGTGAAACATCAGGAGAGAATGCTTCTAGAACATGGCCATATAGTCTGAAAAACCTACAACAACCCAAATAAATTTTGCCATGTTGGTTGCTGATTGGTCCAGGTCAATGCCAGCTAGGATCCCCCACATTGATAGGCGCACAGTAAATTGTCACCATTGATTGGTTTGTAGGGGTGGCGTGAAATTTAATAAACTGCTGTGGCTTGATTTAAAATCTAGTGGCTGTTTCTAGGTCAGTTCATGGAGGGATATGGGAGGAAAGGAATGCGGTCTAGGTTGGAGTTAATGGGATTGGTGGCACTGTTCTTCTCTGTCCGGAGCAGGATAATGGCTTTTGTCTGGCCACACAATGGGTGGCAGAAGTAGGATAGGTAAAGGTAAAGGTTTCCCCCTGATCTGTAGGCCAGTCGTGTTCAACTCTGGAGTGTGGTGCTCATCTCCATTTCTAAGCCAAAGAGCCAGCATTGTCCGTAGATACCTCTAAAGTCATATGGCCAGCATGACTGCATGGAGCGCCGTTACCTTCCCGCCGGAGTGGTACCTATTGATCTACTCATATTTGCATGTTTTTGAACTGCTAGGTTGGCAGAAACTGGGGCTGACAGCAGAAGCTCACACCGCTCCTTGGATTCAAACCTGTGACCTTTTAGTCAACAAGCTCAGCAGCTCAGCACTTTAACCCACTGCGCCACCACCTTCAGAAGTAGGCTAGTAGCCAGAAAAATTCTTTGGGGGGGGGGGGGGGTATTGAAAAAACATTTTTAGCGAATCATGAAGAATAGTTACATAACACAAAATAATTTCAATAATATGGTTCATTCTATATTTTATATAGACTTAATTAAATCAATTTAATTTTTGCTTTTCATAGACTTAGCATAGGTATTTGATTAACCAGTTAAAATTAATGAGTAAACCAGATTTTTTAAACCTGAAAATTTCAGGGAGGGGGGGCTACAGCCCTGGTCAGAAGTGTTGGCACAACTTCAATTGAAACTCCAGGAAGGGGGGGGGGAGGTCTGATTTGGCAATTGGGAGGAAGAAGTTTTCCCAGGAATAGAGTAGATAAAATCTAAGCCTTGCTGCTCTTCTTAACTCCATTATGGGACTCTTGGGATATTGTGAGAGAGTTATGTCTTTTCCTAGACTAAATGGTACGATATTCCCTGCAGTGTATGTGATGCTTGTACAAACTTTGGCGTGTTTATCGGGAAGTCGCCTGAAAGATTATTGCAGACTCCATTTCTGGATCACTTAAAGAGCTGTGACTGAGTCACATTCTCTCACCCTCAGAATAAGGCAAAACCCCATCTGAGCAAATCTTGCCAAGAAAACCCATTGCTTTAGGGTCAGAAGAAGTCCCCAAACAACTTGGAAGGCCCAAATCAATAAGAAACAGTAATTAACATCAATGCTGTCCCAAGCGTTTCAAGTAAATTCTCTCTTTAGTCCCCGGTGTTCTCTTTAGTCCCCGGTGGCACAGTGGGTTAAACAGCTGAGCTGTTAAACTTGCTGACTGAAAGGTTGCAGGTTCGAATCTGGGGAGCACCGTGACCTCCTGCTGTTAGCCCCAGCTTCTGCCAACCTAGCAGTCTGAAAACATGCAAATGTGAGTAGATAAAAAGGGACCGGCGGGAAGGTAACAGTGCTCCGTGTGGTCCTGCCGGCCACGACCTTGGAGGTGTCTATGGACAACGCTGGCTCTTCAACCTAGAAATGGAAATGAGCACCAATCCCAAGTTGGACACGACTGGACTTAATTAACATCAGGGGAAAACCTTTACCTTTACTTAAGTCCTTAATAAGATACATGGAAAGAAATAAATTATGACTCTTCCCCCCCCCCAACTTGGTATACAGAAATCACTGTTCTCCCAACCAACAGCTGCATGGGGATGATGGGAATTGTCATCCAACACATTAGCAATAGGCTTGGGAAAGCTGTAGAAATAATGCATAATGTTTGATACCACTTTAACTGCTATGCATGGTTCAATGCAAAGGAGGCTTAGGAGTTGTAGCTTTACGAGGTCTTCAGTCTTCTCTGCCAAAAAGCACTGGTGCCTCACCAAACTACAGGTCCCAGAATCCGGTACCGCTGAGCCATGGCAGTTAAAGTGGTGACAAACTGAATTAATTATACAACGTAGATGTTCCTTTAGTCAATAAGCCAGAAGGGAACTCTCATTCGGTTACGTGAAGGGTCCTGGGGAAGCTTGGTGTAGTGGTTTCAGTGTTGGATTGAGACTTTGGGGATCCGGGTTCAAATCCCAGCTCAGCACTTTCAACTTCATAAAATCCCGCGATAGATTCACTTTAGGATCGCCATAAATCGAAAACACAACCTTTGGGGGCAACACCCCAAAGAAAATTCCTTTTTCTAAATAAAACAGGCAACGAGGGAGTGTGTGTTTTGCAGCCGCTAGACAGGAGAAATGGGAAAGAGGCGGGGGGGGGGGAGGCTTTCCAGCACAAGAGACAGCTCCTTCCGGAGGAGGGCGGGGCTTCCCGAACGTCGCGCAACCGGAAGCTGGAGAAGAAGCCGCTCTAGGCGCCTCGGAGGCCCGCGCTCGTCGCTCCCTCCATTGCCGCTGGGAAATGGCGGAGGAAGAGCGCAGCTTCCTGACCGTCTCCGGGCAGCGCATCACGTTGCAGCGCCGCCAGCACAGCGCCGCCTGCCGGGAGTTCCAGGTGCGCTGCCCGCGGCTCCAGCTGCGCTCCCTCAGCGCCGCCACGTGCTCTGTGTGGCTCGCGGCCTACGGGCTCTTCGTCCTCACCGAGGTAACGCCCCCCCCAATACACAGCTGTTATCCGAGAAGCCACGCCCACTCCCTGCTCTCTCCTAGGCCTAGGGGCGGGGCGAACCTGAGGGCGTCTCCCAATTGGTTAAGGACCCCCCTCAGTAAGTAGACAGACAGCCCTTTCCTACTGCAATTCTCCCCCCCCCCCGGTTTCATATGGTTTAGCCCACGCTATCTTGCTCTGCCTGCTGCATCAGAACCTTCCATTGAATTCAAGGGGTGGGGGTATTTATTGTTGAGTACCTTCAAATTGTTTGTGACTTATGGCGACCCTGTTTTAGGGGCAATGGACTGTGTGTTCTGAGGCTGAGTGCGTGTGACTCATACAGTGAGTTTCTGTGGCCAGATGAGGAAGCAAAACCTTGGTCTTCAGCGTCATAACCCAGTGCTCAAACCACTCTGCCATACCTTCCTCAAGGTGCTTGTTTATAAAGCTATACTCCTCCCAACCCTGCTATACACCTGGGAAACGTGGACTATCTACAGAAGTCACATGCAACTCCTAGAATGATTCCATCAGCATTGCCTCAGAAAAATCTTACAAATCTCTTGGGAAGACAAGTGGACAAATGTCAACATGCTGGAAGAAGCAAAGACCATCAGCATTGACGCAATGGTCCTCCGCCATCAACTCTGCTGAACCGGCCACGTTGTCCGGATGCCCGACCACCTTCTCCCAAAGCAGTTGCTCTACTCTGAACTCAAGAACAGAAAACGGAATGTTGGTGGGCAGGAAAAGAGATTTAAAGATGGGCTCAAAGCCAACCTTAACAACTCTGGCATAGACACTGAGAACTGGGAAACCCTGGCCCTTAAGCGCTCCAGCTGGAGGTCACTGTGACCAGTAGTGCTGTAGAATTTGAAAAGGCACGAATGGAGGGCGAAAGAGAGAAATGTGCCAAGAGGAAGGCGTGTCAAGCCAACCCCAACCGGGACCACCTTCCACCTGGAAACCAATGCCCTCACTGCAGGTGAACATGCAGATCAAGAATAGGGCTCCACAGTAACCTGTGGACCCACCGCCAGTACACTGATCTTGGAAGACAATCCAAGAAGATCACCTAAGAAGATCAGACCTTCCTCCTACTTTCCATCAAATGAAAGCCTGACTTTCAAAGACCTGTGCAAGTCTGAAAATAATAGGATGTATTGGGGTGCATCTACACACTTGAATTAATGTGGGTTAACACTGCTTTAAGTGCCATGGCTTACTGCTATGGAGTCGTGGGAGTTGCAGTTTTACAAGGACTTTGGGCTTCTTTGCCAAAGTTTGTGTGTTCCCCAAACTACAACTTCCTTGATTCCATAGCCTTGAACCCTGGCTTTGTTGTTCATTCGTTCAGTCGTTTCCTACTCTTCGTAACTTCATGGACCAGTCCACGCCAGAGCTCCCTGTCGGCCGTCACCACCCCCAGCTCCTTAGAGTCAAGCCAGTCACGTCAAGGATACCATCCGTCCATCTTGGTCAGCCCCTCTTCCTTTTTCCTTCCATTTTCCCCAGCATCATTGTCTTCTCTAAGCTTTCCTGTCTCCTCATGATGTGGCCAAAGTTGAACCCTGGCAGTTTATATTAATTTTACTATATATAGATGCATTATTGGACATCTTTCATTCACAGGATTACTATATGGGGAAGCTGATGTGGTGACAGTTAACAATAGCAATGAATAGCAGTTTGAAATGTTCCAACATTATGAGTCTGTCTTATAAAAGGCTTCTGGTCTCTAAGACAACATTATGTATAGTTGAGAGTGTGGATGTCTTTATATATTGCTGGCTAGGCCATATCTGATGCTGGAAGAAGAGACATATTCCTATGCTATAAGAATAAAGTATGCATCATTAATGTTATTTCATTTGAGACATTTTAGTCTCCTCACATTCTGAGCATAATAATAATAATAATAATAATAATAATAATAAACAACTTTATTTATACTCTGCCACCATCTCTCCAAAGAGAACTCGGGGCAGCTTACATGAGGTCAAGCCCGGTAATACATAAGAGCAAAATAAATACAGAACGACAAAAAAAAAATCATCACAATAAAATAAGTAAAATATAAGTGTAAAATAAAACAGTGCAAACTAACAAGGTGAAAAATCAAACACAATGGATGGGCCAAATGTACGACATAAAATGATAAAACACTGCATGAGATAAGAATGAAAAAGGTATATATGAAAGGGAGGAACTTGTAGGGGATGGAACAGTGGAGATGGGCGTTCCGAAAGATGGGGGTAAGTGTAATATGAGGACAGCATTATGGGAGAAAACAGCCGGAAAGAAGTATATGGTAATAATATCTTCTATTCCATTCCCACGGCTGTATAAATACACTTTATACCTGAATCCTTGATATCAGTCTGTACTGCTTCTGAAGAAGTTCATGCTAAGATAAAAACTAATCTTAAAGGTGCCACGTTCCTCTCCCCCCCCCCCCTTTCTTACTTTCTTTTTAATTTGAATCCATGGTTACAAGTTTGCACAGCCTGCCTTTCATTTTGAAGATTGTCATATAATGTGTTGCTTGGTGTACGAGTGAAATGGATAGAAACACAACTGGCTTCTGTTTGGTCAATTGCTAAATGTAGTTGTAAGTCGCCAGCTTGTTTTCTCTTTCAGAACAGTGTAGTCCTCTCCGCTGCCATATTTGTCACACTGATCGGTCTGCTTGTCTACTTGCACTTCGTGAAGATCGACCAGGAGTCCCTGCTGATCATTGGTTCTCTTGGGATACAGATGACATCATCTTATGCGTCTGGCAAAGAGAGTACGGCGTTTATAGAAATGAGCCAGATAAAAGATGTGGTCATCAACGAAGCCATCTATATGGTATTAACTATCTATTAATTACCATATGTACTTGAGTATAAGCCAAGTCTTTCAGACATTTTTAGGGCTGAAAAAGCCCTCCTCCCCAGGTTTTTACTTGAGTGAGGGTCCTTCATAGTTGGCTTATATTCGGGTCGGCTTAAACTCTCGATTATAGGTAATCAGAGTTGGACAGTCTTATCGTACAGTTTTAATATTCAGAATATTATACAAAAACATTTAACCCTAACTGATGCCTCAATTAATGTAATTTTATTGGTATCTGTTTTTATTTTTATGTTTTAAATTTACCAGTAACTTCTGCATTTCCCACCCTCGTCTTATACTTGAGTCAATGTTTTCCTAGTTTTTGTGTTTAAATTAGGTGCTTCGGCATATATTCGAGTCCGCTTATACTCAAGTATGTATGGTGACTAGTGTAAACAACCAGTGTTGCCCAATGTGTTGGAGAGGCTGCTGCCTGCCTGCTTTTCCCCATCTTCAGCTCTAAGAAGGCCTATTTCACAAGGTTTCAATTGAAGTGCCCTTTGTGGCTCTTTCTTTCCTTCCTCCATTTCCCTCACACACCTTCTCAGTCTATCTTTTCTTCTTTTCTTTCCTCCTTCTTTTGCTTTCCATCATACACCTTCCCTCCTTTTCTTTCCTTCCTGGCTTCCCAACTCCCAGAAACCCTTGCCAACTTGTCCAGTGGCTAGGGATTGTGGAAGCTGAAGTTCAAAACACCTGGAGGACCATATGTTTGACACTGCTTTAAGGAATTTGTCCTCTTCCTCCTTTTTAAAATGGCCTCAGAAGCTTCCAAGAGCAGCAATTCAGCACAGAACAGCCCTCTGAACCTGCCAAAGTACCTCAAATTGCAACTGGCAGTTTCTGATGATTGGTTTGGCCTTTCTTCATATGTCTTAGAGATGTTGTGGTCGGCAGTGGGCCCTTAGCAGTTGTAGTTGCCCACCTGTTTTAATGGTAACCACCTGAGAAAAGTGACATCTTTCTTCTAGTATTTGAAGGAGGTTTGAAGGCTCTTTTAAAGGCCTTATTTTTAAAGAGTTTGCTTTGTGTCATTAGTTTGACATATTTGAATGCTGTTATAAAGATGGGATTTCCTGATATGTAACCTATTGTGATATGGCATATGTTTATTTTTAAAGGTTGGATGTTGTGATTGGTAATAAGAAACAACAATTTTATAACTCTTTGATTTTCTGTGATACTTTTTTTTTTAATAGCAAAAGGTTATCTATTACTTGTGCATTCTTCTCCAAGACCCTGTGGAACCTCATGTTGTTTCTGAGGTGGTACCACTTTTTCAGGTGAGTCACTAATGTTTGACTATGAATTTTCATTCTATGTTATCCATCTTTGCTGAGGTATACTTTGGAACCAAATTGTTTGCATTCAGTATTTTTTGTTTAGTCACCCCAATCTCTTAAAAGGTGCAGATTTACAGACAAGGCCAACAAAGTAACCAAGCGTTTCTCACTCTCAGAAAGTTTTGTTATGACAAAAAGTAAAAAGAGATAAAGAAAAAATCACAGAGAACTGGAGCTCTAGTGGTGCCTCCAAAATAGAGGGACCCCTAAGGCATTTAGTGCATTTGCTTGTATATTTCACAGTACCATGGCCACCCATTTGGGGCATCACTCAATTATTGTCAGGCTCAATTGGTTAAAGGACGATCAGGCAATTTCACACCATGGTTCATATCTGCTGCCTTGTAGCCTCCCTTTGTCCAGTTCTTATCAGAAGAAACCTTTAATCCCAACCCACCACGTACAAGTCAAGTGCTGACGCATATGGGGCAGGAAAGGGTCTAGCAAGCATCCGGCTTATCAAGGCCATCTCTGTCTAGCAGGGTAGGTTATGGGGTGCTCATGGTACACTTAAGAATATTAGAAATGCTAGCACTTCCACTGTTCGCTCCGGCTTCTTATCTTGCAGAGCTCTTTCGTGCTACGTGATTTTGTCATCCGAACGTGTTCTCCAGGAACATGACAATATGTCAGTTTGAAATTCACTGATTTGCAGTTAACTGCAACTTAGCTGGGGCAGTGACATGCTCAGTTAAGCATAGGTTGACCGCTGAACTTTCTAGACCGTTAATTTTGCCTAGGTAGGTGGGGCACTAACCCTTGCCACCCTTTGGTGCATTTAAGCCTCTGTTTTTCTCAGTTATGTCAGCTCTAAATAATACAATTTATCATCTCAGTGAGTCTATTAACACGTACAGAGTGAACCTGTTTTTTCTCTACAACTCTCAGTAAGTAGCTTTGGAAGGCCAAAGTTTGAGACGTAGTGAGCTACACAATGAACTCTTGCATCATGGACTAGTGAAAGGCTTTTTAAATAATACATGTGTACATTTGTATAATATAAACCTTTCAATTTCCATTGAACAGCCACTGTTAAGATAATTGATGTTATATTTTTTCCATTTCGATTCCCACCTATCGAACTGTATCCCACTGTAGCATACATATAAATACCTGCCTGCTGAGGCAACACTTCAGGCAAACAGCAAAATTAGCTGAATCTACTAAATTGGGACTTCAAAAATTAATTCATCTCTATAGTCATTTATCTTTGAAGTGCTGTATATGTAGTTTTGGACACAACAGTGCAATTTAAAAACTTTTTTGTTAGGTTTTGAAGCCTTGAAAAGGCTGGAAAGGTATTTTTCAGAGAACTAAACCAATCCTTGAGATGTTTAGCGAAACTTTTCAGTTGTATACAGATACCTTTCAGATGGTATGCGGAATATTTTGGGAAAGGTTATGCGACAGAATGAACACCATCTGAATTGCAATAAAATTGAATATGACTTTGTAAGATTGTCATCATTATGTGTTTAGGGTAGTAGTTGCATGTATCTAGAAATGCAAGTACACATATGTTATAGAGTGTGTTTATATTCCTAGAAGCTTATTAAATATAATAAATATTGAGAAACATATTCAGTTACACTATGTAACCCAAGTTTTGTTCCTTGATTATAAATTGGCTGCAGCTGTGATGCTGTACTATTTGTTTTAATGGTAATTTGTACTGCATTTTATTGATTTTTAAATTGGGCTTTTTGTAATATGTTGTTACAATGACTGATGTTGTCATTGTTTAATATATCAATGCAATTTTATCTTCTTTTCCCCCTTTTTTTGCATTATGGCACTTGTTTGTGCTTCTGTAAGCTGCCCCGAGTCCTTTTGGGAGATGCTGACTTTCCGTCCTCAGGATCTATTATTATTATTATTATTAGTAGTAGTATTGTTGTTATTATTATTATATTTCCCTAATTGGTTCTATAATTAAAAATATGGAAAAAAAGTTTATTGAACTGCAAAAACATTGTTTTTGCGGGACATCCTGCCGCATATTTTGCTATAATTTTTCAGTGAATAGCTCATAGAATCTCAGCCAATTCAACATAGTTTGTGACAATATATCATTTGAAATTATATATTAGTGTTGTAGATGTGATATACACATGGAGATCCTGAGGACGAAAAGTCAGTAATGGATCAGACATAGTATTGATTTTGGCCACAGAGTCTATGTTTTTTGTGCAATCAATATATTAATTCATTATAAATGTATATCCCACCTTTTTTGCAGCGTGGGATTCAGTTTCATTCTACCAGGCGTTTTGTGTGAGGCTTTCCCATTCTTTTGACTATAAAAAGGCAACTAGAATTTAGCATTTTCAACTTTCTGAATATCTCTCATATCTTTTGTTCATAGAGCTCCAAGCCACGCTTAGACTGCCTTGTAGAAGTGTATAAAAGCTGCCAGGAGATCTTGGAGCAGAAGAAGAAATCTTGACACCAGTGTTTAACGCTAAATATTTATTGAGGCAGAATGTTTGCTGTAATGCCAACTCTAAGAAATACTTGTGAAGGCATTGAAAAACAAGCATGTTAATGAACTTGGATAACTAGATGGTACAGTATTCTGAAGAATCCTTGGGAAGGATTGAATGCACAACCTTGAAATGTTAAGAGAAAAACACGTTCCCAAGTTCTTCTTTTGTCAACATGATGATGGTGTAAGAAACTCAATGAAAATCTTTTCTGTCAAAAATTAACTTTCTGTGACTGGAAACCTACAAGGAAAGTTTTGCAGAAATGTTCTGGAAGCAAGAAACTGACTCTTTTTTAATAGAAACACTGTTCAGTTTCATTTTTTGAAGCCAACTTATTTTTGCTTATGAGATGTACTTATGTTCATGTGGTGTACCTGCTTACACACTCAGGTTTGTCATTAGATTTGTCATTTTTATTACTTGATTCAAATGTCTGTAAATAAAGATTTCTCTAAAGCATGTTAGTAGTAGTTTGCTGTATCTTATGTGAGCCCATAAGATTTTTGTATTTACTTATTCATTAGCAATACAGATTTGTTATTTCTGGATCACAAGTTTTTGCTATTTTCTAGAGAACCGCATAGCTGACTAAACACAGTGGGACATTCAATTCTTGTGGGTTCTTGAACAGCAATGTACTCCTTTCCCCTCCATTGCCAAGACCAGTGGTTCTCAATCTTCCTAATGCCGTGACCCCTTAATACAATTCCTCATGTTGTGGTGACCCCCAACCATAAAATTATTTTTGCTGCTACTTCACAACTGTAATGTTGCTAGTTTTGTGAATCGTAATGTAAATGTCTGATATGCAGGATGTATTTTCATTCACTGGATAAAATTTGGCACAAATACCCGATACGCCCAAATTTGAATACTGGTGGGGATGAGGGGGGTTGTTTTGTCATTTGAGAGTTGTAGTTGCTACGATTTATAGTTAACCTTCAATCAAACAGCATTCTGAACTCCACTAACGATGGAATTGAACCAAAGTTGAAACAGAGAACTCCCATGACCAACAGAAAATACTGGAGGGGTTTGGTGAGTGTCGACCTTGAGTTTTGGAGTTGTAGTTCACCTACACCCAGAGATCACTGTGACTCAAACAATAATGGATCTGGACCAAACTTGGCATGAATACTCAATATGCCAAAATGTGAACACTGGTGGAGTTTGGGGAAAATAGACCTAGACATTTGGGAGTTGTAGTTGCTGTGATTTATAGTTGACCTACAATCAAAGATAATTCTGAACTCCACCAATGATAGAATTTGACCAAATTTCCCACACAGAACCCCCATAACCAAAAGAAAATACTGTGTTTTCTGATGGTCTTTAGCAAACCCTCTGACACCCCCCGTGCGATCCCCAGGTTGAGAAACGCTGGCCTAGACAAGTGAAGTAGCATCTGCTTAAATCATCCAAAATGATTTAACAAACTCACATAGAATTAATGCAACAGGCAAATATTCTCTTGTTTGGCTTATATTCACATTTATTGACATCACTATAATTTCAGTACAGCTTGTCGTAGCCTTTACTATACAGGATAGTAGTTGCAAAAAAAAGTTTCTTTTTTGCCAATACAGTGCTGCAGTTAATTTCCACTTATGGTCAGAATAAAATATGTGGAATAGGTTCAAACTTCATGGACATCAAGTAGTATGCTATTGTCATTGGACTTCAGTTACCTATCTGTAAAGTGGCAATACTGAATTAGCTCCTACTGTAGTAGTAATAGGAAACCTAACTCATAGCATTTTTAACTTGCAAATTGCTACATTAAAAAATTGCCATTCACTAATGAAGTGATCTTCTGGAATGAGTTGGCGATAATTCTGAAATAGTAAGAGTATCGCATATATTAAAAACATGGGAGCAAGTTGAAAAGTAACCTTTTGAAAATAGTTGCTGAAGGCAGACAACGTATAGCTCTCCAAACACTCCTAAGTAAAAAAAATATTAACTAATTAGTGAAACATCATTGACTCAAAAGCAAACACCTGTGGATTATCTGTTCCTTTTCACAGTTTTATCAAACTTTACCTTTTAAAAGAAGAGGCTTTAAAAGGATTCCATTACAGGATATGAGAAGGGTGCAGAAATACTTAATGTGTGCCTAATGAAGTCCAGTTGGACACACACAAGTATTGCAAGTGTCAAAAGAATAGGTGAGAAGGAATGCAGCCTTCTGAATTGTAAAATCAATGTGAGCATACATTCCAGACAGCGACATGACAGACGTATGACAGACTTATTTTAGCCTGCTGTTTAGCTTCCAAATGGACACTTCGCTTAGGATGTATAGGCAAATGCACAATTGCATCATATAATCTTGCAAAAGATTCCCTCTTGGTCTTTTGAAGAAAGAAATGCCTTTCTACAGCCCATAGTGGTCATTTTATGCTCAAGAATATTAGATAATGAATATCTATTGAATTAAACAAACAGTATTTGTAACTCTTATTCTCCTTTAGAAATAGTTGGTGCACACATTTTCCCCAGGGGAAAAAAATCTAACATTAGTACCTGCAACTGATGTCATGACATACATCTATCAGTTTTGTCAAAATGATCATGGAAATTAATAGGTCATTAGTTGGGAAAGGAAGAAAGTGGCACACACAAAAAGATTTGCTATCTACTTCCCCTTGTTGGAAAGAAGTAGGAGTTCATATAAATTACAGCTGCTTTAAAAAGGAAAGGCAAGTCAACATTATATACCTTTTCATTTCAAAATGTAGATACAAATGCAGTAGTCAGCACTTCCGAACATAAATACTATCTAGTTAGTGGTTACAACATAACTGCACCTGAGGATGTGTATAATAAAATGCACCTCCATGACCAAGAGCCTAAGGGTTGTCCTTAATGTCCATTAGACACATTAAGAATTATTCTCTTATGGCGATTCAAGTTTTGCTTACAGCAGTGGTTCTTAGCCTGTGGGCCGTGAACCACCAGTAGGCCGCGAGGACGAAAATCTGGTCCATGAGCCTCCTTCCTCTTTATTTTTATTTCTGCTCCTTTCGTGCCACCTGCCACTCCTTTTCTGTTGGTTACCATGGCATATGTTCTGTATCAGAAGCTAGAGCTGATGTAGTCAATGCAATTTTCTGAATCGGCACCCCAAACCGAATCTAAAGTTGACCAAAAACTGATTGATAACTCTTTAGCTACTAATGTTGGAGAGTGGTCCCTGGTCAAAGTGGTCCCTGGGTCAAGTGGTCCCTGGTCAAAAAAAGGTTGGGAACCACTGGCTTATAGTAATTACTTTTTCTATCTCCATGTCATTAGAGGTAGTAAAGCCGCTCAACAATGGGCTGTTACGTTCTCTTTTCTCTATGTTTAGTTTGATTTCCAAAGGTTAGCCAAACCTCAGTCAAGCAGTGGAAGGAATTCCTTTGAATATTAAGGGACAACTTCTGTCACCTTAAGACTCATTAACCATTATTAAAGTCATTTGGACAAGTTTTATAAGGAGAGGTATAAAAGAATGATCAAAACATGTGGCCTATGAGTTGCCCACTCTTGCCTTAAGGAAAGCATTCATGTACCTATCCAGCTTTCCCTGAAACACTCCAGAAAGGAAATATCCCAAATATTCTAGGCAACTTGCTATATTGCTAAACTGTTCTTATCACTCATAGGCAAACATTGAACCTAAATCCCAATTCCCCATAGCCCTGACCCCTTGATTTATTTTTTTGACCTGAGTTCATGGGATGCAAAACTGATTTCTCAAATGTTATTTTCTATCATGTGGGCAAACGGACATGTTGTCCTCCAATTATGTTTCAAGGCCCCCAATGTTACAAAAAGTTTTTTAATACTAAGAATCCCCCTTCATTTGGATGTGTGAGCAACAATTTTACCATGTTTGTTTTCCTGAACCTGGCTAGTTTATGCACAAGAGGCTTTAAAAAAACCCACAAAAACATCAAGCAAACAAATTTGACTAAAAGAGGAAGGCACCTTATTTTAAAAAGAAAATTTAAAAAGGGAACTGGAGAAGAACTCAGTGTTTGGAGTGTGTGGGTGGAAGAATGTTATCTCTGATTTATATAATTCTGAAACGAACAATGTATTCTTCAGGCAGCCTTGAACATTAACTTGCAGCTAGCTCCCACAGTTATCTGGGAATTATTACCAGGGACACTGTGTTCAATTCGAATCTTAGCTTTCCTTTCTGTCTATTAAGGTGCCTTTCCAGGAATTGTCTTCAAGATTCAGAGAAGAATGCAACATTATACACAAGGCCTTTTCATTAACGGACCAATACTTTCACTGCAGAGAAGAAAAATAACGCCTGGAGTTGTGTTTATGAATTATGAATTATAATGGTATAATTCCGACTCATTCCATCAGAATTCATGTTTATGGTCATTATGCAGGTGGAGAGTCTCTGGGCCAAAGAACAACCAAAAATTTCCATAAAAGCTACATAGAAATGGGTTGCTGGATAGCAGGGGGAGAAGCAAAGAGGCTCTTTCCCAGTAAAAGGGTAGTATGTGACTGTTATCTTCTGGAAAAAAGATGGACACTTTCCCCACTCTCCAGCAATATGGACAGAGTCCTTATTGGAGAGGGGGAGTGTTGCTATGCTTAAAAGGTAGATTGTGGGGTGTGTAGCTATGTTTCCATAGGTATTGTTTCCCGATGTAGATACTCTGCCACTATATCAGGCATGGGCAAACTTGGGCCCTCCAGGTGTTTTGGACTTCAACTTCCACAGCCGTTAGGAATTGTGGGAGTTGAAGTCCAAAACACATGGAGGGCCCAAGTTTGCCCATGGCTGCACTATATCATTGGAAAGTTGAGAAACCATAACTGGAAACAATCCTCCTGATAATATTACTCTTGATGTGGCATCAACACATGTTGAATTTCTTCACCTCTGGTCCACATGATTGGTTGCTGATACAGCAGTCACTTTAAAATAGCATCAGTCAGTTAGGCAGCTACAACACAATGCTGACCCATTCATTCAAAATATAGCACTTATTAATTATAGCTGCTAGATTAGATACTTGCAGCTATCTTTTATCAGAAGAGGGATGATATTGTGGATATTCTTTCTCTTGCTTAATTACTGTAATTTCATTTTTTGGCTTATATGTTAACATAAGGATGTATCAATCTTAAGGCCACATCGCACTGTTCCCCATGGTCCAGAAGTGCACTTTGCTATGCATCACCTATCTCTTCACAGGCACATAGGCTCAATGAGCACAATCTAGCAGCAGCATCCAGGGTGGACTGGAGTACACTTTGTTCCCCACGCGGTGTTTGGATTGTAACTTCAACTGGCTTTAGCCAGCTTAGTCATGTTAAGGGATGCATTCCCAGTGGTCCCTCAGCATCTCAAGAGCCACAGGCTGCACGCCATGACTGAAGGCTTCACATTTATGTAGTATATATAAGTAGCATGAGTGTGGTATTAATATAGAAAAGCTAAAAGGATAAGTAAACATTACAATTGTCTCTCACGACTGTATAAATAGAGAGTTTATGGTGAAAATGTACCTAGAATAAAATGTAGTGGGGATATTGATTTGTGGGTCTGAGCTTTCCTACACTGATCAGTCTCAAGTCCTTCAAGCCATTTCCTCAAATACAGCATGCTTGTGAAAAACAGGTAGAAAGGTCACTGGTACTGGGGGCAAATTCTCAGGTTAGCTATTTTCCGATCTGGGATCTAGCCCTTGCCCTGTCTCTCAGACTACGGTACTAACAATAAGGTGAATTTTAGACACAAAAGGAAAATGCTATCTAGCAATTTCCTCTTCCAAAGTTCTCTAAAAGCATTCAATATAGTGGATGAATTTGCAAACCACCTGAGTTTTCTTTGTCTTAGAAAACCCCATGAAATTCACCATAAGTCAAGAAGCGACTTGAAGGCATATAGACACACAGTAATACCCCATTCTATTGTATAAAGTCTCTAATCCAGTGTGTATCACATAGATAATACCGTTGACATCCATTGATATTAGTGTATGGTTATAGGATGTTCCTCTCCTACTGTACTGGACTTTATGCAATGCTATACAAATGCAATCGAACGTCATTTACCTAACTTGCTTCTGAGAACAAAAAAGGAAAACAAAATGGAGAAATCAGAATATTAAATATATAGAGAAAAGTGGAGAACAAAGTTAGGTAATCAAGAGATAGATACCCTTGTTGTTTAAGATGTGGACATGTCAAGAGCAGATGAGTAAGAAATGAATACTAATAGTTGAGAAAATGAATAGGAACACAGAACCTAAATCCAGCTGTATGTCCCAAATAGAATAGATACAAGGGATCAATTGCTGAGTGATATATCAAAGCTTAAATAAATACCACTGAATTACTTGATCCAGATGGGATTAGAACTGGATTTAGGCCAATACGATTCAGAGATTAGGTTAGTATAAAGCAGGGGTCCCTAAAGAAAGGCCTATGGGCCGGATGCGGCCTTCCAAGGTCATTCCCTGGCCCACGTCCTAGACTTTAGGCTTAGAGTCACCCTAAGTCTGAAATGACTGAAAGGCACACAACAACAACAATCCTAATTAACAAAAACAGGCTCCCACTTTCCACTGAAATACTGGTAAGTTTATGCTGAATTAAATTGTTCCTAATTTTACATATTGAGATGTTAGTTCATGTTTTTGCACTACAAATAAGATATGTGCAGTGTACATAGGAATTTGTCCAGTTTTTTTTCATCTATAGCYCCCCCCCCCCCCCCCAAAAGTCTGAGGAATCGTGAACTGGCCCTTGGCTTAAAAAGTTTGAGGACCCCTGGTATAAAGATTCTAGCAGTAGATGTTAACTGAGGAAATGATGAGAAGTCAAATGGCCAGGAGGCAATGCAGATCTTGACATAAAGTAAAGGGTAAAGAGGAATATTAAATATACTCTGTTGGTTCAGAACAGGCAACCCCTCCATTTCCAGCTCTAATGCTATTAAGGAAGAAAGGGAATCAATGGGTGGTGTGAGTTTTCCAGGCGTTAAGGTCATGTTCCAGAAGCATGCTCTCCTGATGTTTCACCCACATCTACGGCAGGCATCCTCAGAGGTTGTGAGGTCTATTAGAAACCAGCAAGTGAGGTTTATATATCTGTGGAATGTCCAGGGTTGGAGAAAGAACTCTTGTCTGCTTGAGGAAAGTGTGAATGTTGCAATTGGCCGCCTTGATTAGCAATTAATGGCCTTGCAGCTTCGAAGCTTGGTTGGTTGCTGCCTGGGAGATCCTTTGTTGGGAGGTGTTAGCTGGCCCTCATTTATTCTTGTTTGGAATTCCCCTGTTTTTTTTAGTGTTGCTCTTTGTTTACTGTCCTGATTTTAGAGAACATGGCCATGCAGCCTGGAAAACTCACAGTAACTCAGTGATTCCGGCCATGAAAGCCTTCAACAAACACAAAGGGCATCAACTTTAAACAAGGAATGTTGCACTTCATTAAAGAGGTAGACTTGGAGTCTGCCTGACTAACAGGGCACATAATAATTGAAATCACAGCAGTTTTCAGTTCACAGTGTGGTAAAAGGGCACTTGGAGCAGTCCTTACAGCAGGGTAGGTCCCTTAGTGGTCCGGGGCAGTGAAGGAAAGAAAGACCTGCTTTCATGTCCCATGAGCTTCTTAGCAGATGATGTACTCCATGGTGGACTGATGATCTGAGCAGGTGGACCAGGAGACAAGTGTGGTGTTGAAGAACAGCAGTTAATATAGCTGGCAATAAGGAGAGTCACTTCAACAATCTATTGGGAAGGTGAAAGGGAAAAATCCAACAACATTAATGTCCTTGGGTCTACTACAAATGTATCTTACAGAAGCCAAAACAGTTGTGTTAACATCTGAGCCTGGAATACCCCAACCATCCTCCTTTAGGCTAAAAGAAATGGACTATAGCTTTAACACTATAGCTGGTTGAATAACCAAAGCCTAGTGAGAAGCCCCAGTTCCAAAAGATTCAAAATAACACCTAGATATTTAAACAATCTACCTTGTTCTATATTTCGTCCAAGCTATAGCCCATTTCATCAAGGAGAGGTTCTTGGTAAAAATAATAAATTTAGTTTTGCTGACTTAATAATAATAATAATAATAATAATAATAATAAACAACTTTATTTTTTTACTCCGCCTCCATCTCCCTGAAGGGACTCACAGCGGCTTACTATTGGCACAAAGTGCCTGAAACAATACATAAAATAAAATACACAGAACAATACAAGCTAAACCAGTAGTATATAAAACAGCAATCTGACTCAGAATGGTGCCCAATAATCTATAGTGACGACTGTTGTAAGAACATGGTCAACTGTAAACAAGAAGAAGGGAAAGGGATAGTAGTACAAGTTGTAGCTAAGGAACAAGCGCATGGGATGAAAGTGGTGTGTTGTATCATAATTGCAAACCATTGCGCTAGACATTTTCAAAGACTTGTCTAAACATCCAAGTCTTCAACTCCCTCAGGAAGGAGGACAGGGTGGGGACCTTCATAATTAAGAAGACATTAAGAAACACAGTGATCCAAAATCATCTGATCACAATGAAGTAGACACTTGGTAGTCACTTGAAGAGAAGTGGATACCAACATGGCTATTCCTGGCTTTGGCTTTCTCTTTCGGTTGAAGAAACAACTAGTCAATCATTAATAACACAACTAACTAGCCCATGAAACATGTTGGGACACATTTCTTAAGAGTTGGTGAAAGAAAAGTGGGGGGAAAAGACAAGAAATAGAAAAACTCTTTGGATGAGAGGGACTAGCAGGACTCAAAGTAGAGATCAGCACGAGGAAAGAGAAGTCTGAGGGCACTGAATTTATGGGGGAGGCAAGGGGGGGAAGAGGCGAGGGAAGGCATGCAGGAGGAGAAAGAAAGCTGAATAAGGAAGGAAAGGAATGGGAAGAAAGGAAAGAGTGGGCCAATGCCAACCAGGTTCCTCATTCTTCTTCAGAGACTGCTACTCCTCTTAACAGGAATCTGCCCAGCAGGATGGCCCCCCTCTAACAGAGTAGTGCCAAATGTCTCTTGACCCCTACATTAAGTTATGGTGACCATGTTTTGTGTTGTGACCAAAGTTTTAAGAAGTTTTGACATAGACTCAGAGGTTTCTTGTTACATTTATGCAACACTCCTGCAGACTACAGGCAACACTTACATGTTGTGACACACAGTTTGGAAAACCCTGGTTTAGAAGAATGCCAATATTTCTGGGTACTTCATAACCAAATGTATTATTTTATCATTCTTTGCTCTTCACATCCAGAAAAGCAAGCAGCTGTTCGTTTAAAATTAATATTCGTTATTTGCTTAATGAAAAGGAATTTTTCACTCACAGCGGTTTACCTAAAATTCACATGCATTTGTGCTTAGCAAAACAGGGAGGGGTGGTTTTGTTTTGGACTCACCTTTACAGCTGCCATTGTAAAAAGTAGTTTTTCAGAATGGGCTTTGCCAGAACACCTATCCTTCACTTGACTGACTACGATCATAAAGTCATCATGATAGCCTCCAAAAGTCAGCACAGAAGAATAGGAGTAAGCTAATTTTAAGTGCTATATGAAAGCAAACAATAGACAAATAGTGAGAAAAAGTTACTATGTAAGATAACTCTCTTTCCATTAGCCACACATGCAAAATATTGGTGTGATTTACTTAGGAAATATAGTTAATGGCTGATTGCTTCTCTCTCTCTCTCTCTCTCTCTCTCTCTCTCTCTCTAAGGCAAAGGTTTTCCCCCTGATATTAAGTCCTTTTGTGTTAAACTCTGGGGGTTGGTGCTCATCTCCATTTCTAAGCCGAAGAGCCAGCACTGTCTGTAAGCACCTCCAAGGTCATGTGGCCGGCATGACTGCATGTAGCACCATTACCTTCCCACCAAAGCAGTACCTATTGATCTACTTGCATTTTCATGTTTTTGAACTGCTAGGTTGGCAGAAGCTGGGGCTAATAGGAACTCACGCTGCTCCTCAGATTCAAACATGTGACCTTCGGTAAGCAAGTTCAGCAGCTCAGTGGTTTAACCCACAGTGCCACCAGGGGCTCGTGTGTGTGTGTGTCTGTATATGTATGTATGTATGTATGTATGTATGTATGTATGTATGTGTGTGTGTGTGTGTGTATTGTTGTCGCTATCTTTCTGAAGGATGAGTAATAATGAATTTTCCTGATTTAGTAAATCAAAATGGCCATAACTAACTATTTCATCACACTAGAGAATGAATCCACTTTAAATCTGGTTTCTGCCTCCTGAAGAATTCTGGGGTTTGTAGTTTAGGAAGGCTGTTAAAGTTTCCTCCCTAACTACGAACCCCAGAATTCTGCAGGAGGCAGCAACCAGATAAAAATAGATTCATTCTCTAGTGCAGGGGTCCTCAAACTAAGGCCCGGGGGCCGGATGCGGCCCTCCAAGGTCATTTACCCGGCCCTCACACAGGGTCAACTTAAGTCTGAAACGACTTGAAAGCACATAACAACAAGAATCCTATCTCATCAGCCAAAAGCAGGCCCACATTTCCCATTGAAATACTAATAAGTTTATATTTGTTAACATTGTTTCTCATTTTAATTATTGTATTGTTTTTAAGTGTTTTTTACACTACAAATAAGATATGTGCAGTGTGCATAGGAATTCATGTGTTTTTTTTTTCAAATTATAATCCGGCCCTCCAACAGTTTGAGGGACTGTGACCTGGCCCTCTGTTTAAAAAGTTTGTGGACCCCTGCTCTAGTGTGATGAGGTCCTAAAACCAAATGGCCTTTCTGTTTGATAATCAGTGTCAGTGAAAGAATTCTAGATTGTGCAATTACTGAAACAGCCTTCTAGAGAGTAGAATTCAAATTCATTTGCCAATCATACCAAAGTGTTATAGTCCAGTATACTGATTCCATCTTCATTCACAGCTATCCATAGTGGAGCGTCTTCCAAAGAAGAAGGTAGGACAGGCTGGGGAAATGAGATATAACAATTCCTTATAAGAACGCGATATTAAAGACAGGTGTTATCAATTCAGAGCTCTCTGAGTCCACTAGTGCAGTAAGGTCAATCAATGACTATTAAATACTTTATGATGATATCTGATGAAAATCTGAATCATAGAGAACATGACCTTTTCTCATTTTGATCTTAGAAAGGTTTTAGAATAAGATACGCAGAGCCAAAACTCAGTATTAGACTAAGCTGAGAGTTCGAAATTGCAGTCCACTAACTGGACAGAGATTGTATACTCTGGCCCTGCTTTATGCTCCATACAGTTTGATTAATGCTCTCCCAAGAGCCCCTTGTGGTGCAATGGGTTAAACCCTTATGCTGGCAGGACTGCTGACCAACACATCAGGGATCGAATCCAGGGAGAGTGGGTTGAGCTCCCTCTGTCAGCTCCCCATCTGGGGACATGAGAGAAGCCTCCCACAACATCCCTGCAGACGGCCAATTCTCTCACACCAGAAGCTACTTGCAGTTTCTCAAGTCACTCCTGACACACACACAAATATTCTCCCAAATCAAACGTCAATTTAATGCCCTATCTTTTAAAAAAGTCTTTCATCCAGTTCCCAAGTGATAACAGAATGTAGCTGATCTGCAGCTACTTCAAGCATGTTGCTGAAACTAAAAAGTTTTTTTTTCTTGCCTTGCTAAATTTCGCCAGTACAAATCAACAAAGCCCCTTTCCCTTACCTTAGCAGTAAACAGTTTGGCTCCAAAGAGGGGCCATTTCCGAGCCACAGTCAAATAGATCCGAACACATTCTTGTAGAGAACACCCTTGCAGCACCATCCATTTAGTAGCTAATCGGTCAGCCAGCCGCCTAGAAGAATACTAGTTAGTCACAATTTTCAAAAGAAGGACAGTAAAATCATACATTAATATTTTCTCTGTCATTAGGAAGGACTACAGTGCTTTTCAAAGTAGTAGTGGATTTATTTTCATAGCAAAATGGTGTGGATCACAGACAAGCACCTGTATAGATATTGCAATATTTTTAAAGCCTCTGGGTTTCTGTTTACAATGTGGTCATTATTAGCTATATAAGTCTGAAGCACCTAGTGGTACTGAACTGCTGAACTTACTGAACTTACTAAAGGTTGGCAGTTTGAATCCCGGGAGCAGGGTGAGCTCCCGCTGTTAGCTCCAGCTTCTGCCAACCTAGCAGTTCGAAAACATGTAAATGTGAGTAAATCAATTGTTACTGCTCTGATGGGAAGGTAATGCCACTCCATGCAGTCATGCCGGCCACATGACCTTGGAGGCATCTACAGACAACGCTGGCTCTTTGGCTTAGAAATGGAGATAAACACCACCTCCCAGGGTTGGACACGACTAGACTTAATGTCAGGGGAAAACCTTTACCTACTTTTCCTAAGTCTGAAAAATGGGTTATTCACACCCATTATGCAAGGGTGTGAATATGCAACATAATAGTCTGCCTCTCCACTTCCTGATCCTAGAAGAAATATCAAATTTTAGAATAAACAAAGCCAAGAGGAACTTACATTTGAAACCATGGGGGTTGAATTCAAAGATTCACCTGGATAAGTCTGGATTAGTATGCAATGGAATCTTGCAGCAACACTGAGATTAACTGAGAGAATGATGTCATTGGATAATTTTTTGTAAATTTAGTCTACAAAATCTTATGCTATCAACTTTCTATTGGTTCATCTCAAATGGTGCAACAATCACTTTGCATATTGAAACTGTGGAGTGATAGACTTGTTCAACATTGACTATGAAAACCCTATGAAACTCATGAGGCCCTCATAAATCAATGGGCAAGTTGAAGTACGCACACGCAGCTCCAGTATGCAACAATGGTTTGAGTGTTCAGCTAGGACTTTAAGAGACATGCTTTGAATTTCTGGTTGGACTAAACATTCCTCACCATTGGTGTGGTGAAAAAAGTTGATGGAAAGTACAATTCCACAACATCTCTAGACTTGTACTTTGCCAACTCCAGTAGAGCAGAATGCAGACAGGCATACTTACCGTAACTGTTCAGAAGAAATACTGTGTCTGTAGCGCTTGGGGTAAAATTTGTCCAGAACCTGCTGGAGAAAATGTTGCATTTTGGAATGGGATGCTCCACCAGAGTTGGATGGTATTGGTCGATCTAAGTCCCCATATTCCACCTAAGAGCAAAAGTTGAAGATAGGTTAGGAAAAAGAAATTAAAATCTAGTGAGACAAAAATGTGGGTTTGTGTGAAGAAGTGAGCACGTGTTTGTGTGTATGTGTAAAGGAACATATGTTTCCAGGAGTAACAGGATAAATCAGGATGGTCCTTAACAGCATTTGGATACTATACCATACCAACACATGATACTTCAACAGAATATTGCAGGAGGGATGGTTCTTGTTTATGTGTAAACAATTCCTCTTCCAGGACATTTCCTTCCATCTCCTTTCTTCTATTTCAGTTTACAGACCTGATATTCTGTAGCCCCTGAATATGCTCAGCCCTTACGGGACTCTTTTGAATGTGTTTGCTTTGGATCGCTCTTGGATTCCTGCAGGCCCTGGGGTTCCCTCTATGTTGATACTTTTCTTTCGTTTCTTATTGGCTCTGTTTTAGTAACAATCTTGTCACCACTCAATTGATGAATTGGTATTAGAGAGGGCATGTGTATAATGGACAAAGGTAAGAGTATTGCTATTAGAGCAGGGATGTGCTGGATAATGTTGGATTGCAATTCCCATTATACCTCAACGAGTAGGTGAGCTGGCTGTGATTGTTGGATCCAGCAGTCTAACAATATGATTGGCATAGTAGACCATACTTGTATTACTTGTAGGAATAATCACTTTGAATTCAATTATATGCATATGGACTTTTTCAAATTCTGGAGTAGTTCAGATTTTGGAATGTATAAGGGATACTCAGCCTGAACTACACAGTTCTATTATGCATTCCATTCGATTTCCTCCTCAAATAAAAATGCTGTGCCCTTTCCGATTCTGCCACCCAGAGGCATTTATAGGTAGCTTCAGGAGTAACATACTGTATCATGACCACACACAAGTGCAACATTTCATTTGTATGTTTCTCCTGTATCTGGAAGGCACTGGTGTTTTGCTCCTTTGAAACCAGTTTGGGCTTGAAGAAAATAATAATAACAACAACAACAACAACAACAACAACGTTATTGGTATACTGCCCTATCTCCCCACAGGGATTCAGGGATGTTCCCAACATATAAGGCAAAACATTCAATTGCCAGGAAAGAAGCCATACAGACAATTACATCAAAATAAACACATTCGATAATATAACAAACCTAACAAAGTAACAACTGAACTTAACAAAGTAACAACTGAACACCATAAAATACAAAAAAACTACTAAAACACATTAAAGATAATAATATAAAAAAACATTTCATTGTAGGTTGTTGTAGGTTTTTTGGGTTGTATGGCCATGTTCTGGAAGCATTCTCTCCTGACGTTTCACCTGCATCTGTGGCAGGCATCATCAGAGGTTGTGAGGTCTGTTGGAAACTAGGAAAAGTGGGTTTATATATCTGTGGAAAGTCCAGGTGTTGGAGCTAGGTGTGAATGTTTCAGTTGGCCACTTTGATTAGCATTTGATGGCCTGACAATTTTTAGCTGTGGCTTGTTCCTGTCTGGGGGAATCCTTTGTGGAGAGGTGATTAGCTGTTCCTGATTGTTTCTTGTCTGGAGTTCCCCTGTTCTTTATGTACTGTTATGTACTGTTATAATTTTAGAGTTTTAAATACTAGTAGCCAGATTTTGTTCATTTTCTTGGTTTCTTCCTTTCTGTTGAAATGTCCACACACTTGTGGATTTCAATGACTTCTCTGTGTTGCCTGACATTCGTTAGAGTGGTCCAGCATTTCTGTGTTCTCAAATAATATGCTATGTCCAGGATGGTTCATCAGGTGCTCTGCTATGGCTGACTTCTCTGGTTGAACTTCTCTGGTTGCAGACTACTTCACGAAAGCCTTTGACAATACATTCCATTGTAGCTCCATCAGCAAAGGTTCAACAAAATCAATGACCAGCATTACTAAATGGACATGGGCAAACTATAAAAGAGCTGGGCATGGGATAGTGCAAACACTACAGCTCCCACATGACAAATGCTGTCTGGGTATTCTGGTTCCCAAATGTTACTTTTTCTATATCTGCCAATGACCCCAGTGCTCCTTGATAACTATAAGCACAATAGCCTGACCACTCACCTGAGCCATCAAAGCTGCCATTTCCAGAGCCAGCTCCTTATTGACTGGGAATCTCCCATTAGCTATTTCACCATTGATCTGGAAAGCCAGCAATAAGCGCTCTCGGTCTGTCTCAGCTTTTGCGTGACTTCGGAAATATAATCTAAGTTGAAGAAAAATGGCAACCTAAGTTTTAAAAAGTCTCCTACATGCAGAATATTTGGTTTGATCACTTAAGTTAAAGAACTATTTTAATATACACTTTAAAATTAACTTTATTTATGATGTAGGTGCAATTTCCTGGGAAGTTTTCCTCTCCTCTTGGAATGGACAATTGCACTCTTACAAAACCTGAGTTTATTTTTAAAGTTCTTTCATATGAGGTCTACTAGAATCCACTCTCAGTCACCATAACCAACAACATCCATAACAAGTATTAAAAAATTATAATGCGAGTTATTTTTGTGATAATTTGTTCTAAACTAATTTGCTAAACTAAACTAAAGACGAAAAATAACATTAGAAAACAGGAGATGGACGTAACATTTGATTTATAATGATACTAGCCATCCCCTGCCACGTGTTGCTGTGGCCCAGTCTGTGTATATGTGTTTTCTGTGTGTATATGTGTGTGTGTATATATCTGTGTATATGTGTATACATGCGTATATGTGTGTATATATATGTGTGTATGTGGTTTTGTGCATGCGTTGTAATGTATTTTTTGTTTTTTGGTTTTTAATGTCTCTTCTGTTGTGTTTTTCAGTGTTTCTATGAGTGATGCTCACTCATTGGCCTGATAGGTGTATTGTGTCCAAATTTGGTGTCAATTTGCCCAGTGGTTTTTGAGTTATGTTAATCCCACAAACGAACATTACATTTTTCTTTATATCGATATATTTGAATATGCACCTAGAATGATACAATACAACCCTTAACAACAATAGCCAGTACCTATTTTTATAGGTGAGTTTCACTATTCGTGTACCACCATCATATTTTCCTGGATTCAGTTCTTTCAATGCTTGCTCCCATTTTGAAATGATATCACAGATCTTAAAAAGGAAAAAAAGGAAGTCAGAAAAGTCTGAAGTGATTCAGAAAATTCATAAGACATGCATTGGAAAAAATGCATGGAACAGTATTTGTAGACAATATTGGTGCACTGATGTAGTCTTCCCCCAGGTTAAGCTGGATCAGCCCCATACAGTGTTTAGTCACCACAGGGCTGATTTTTGGTCATACTGAAGTAAGTAGTCAGTATAAACATGCCTATGGATTTGGTAAACTAGGCAAAAGACAGAATGAGCAAATTAATTGCAATCACCTTCACGGGGCTTTGTAGGCAGTGTTCTAGATCTCTGCCAGAAGGATCATCTGTAAAGAGGTAAAATCCAGAGAGAGCTGATCGCCTCATCCCTGTCTCCTGGTTCAGCCGCTGCAGAAACTCATCTACAGTTGAAGAGCCATCAAAGCCAACCACCTATAATCGAACAAATGAAATGATCAGGAAAGTGAGGCAAAATCTTTCTGTCATTACCATAGATGGGCAGATACTTTCACTATACTGTATGCACTAGGAATGGATTAACATATATATATTTGTACAGAGCTTTTCTCAGTATGCTGTCCAAGCAAATACTGATGCATAACAGCTATCGTGGTTACAGCACGTGTGATCAAAGATACCAAAGAACTGTAATGGTTCATCACATAGTTAAGCAAGAAGAGAAATCATTTTTTTTCCTACTGTGTAAGAGATGCAATAAAGACTCTGGGTAAGTAAGAATATCTCATTCCACATGTACAAGCCCATCATAAAGCATTGTGTGAACATGTATATGTGCCTTTAAGTCACCTATTATTATTATTATTGTTGTTGTTGTTGTATTTATTTATACCCTGCTTTATTACCCCCGAAGGGGACTCAAAGGGGCTTAACACCAAAGCATTAGCATAACCATTTAAAATATACAAATATAAAAGGTAAAGGTAAGTCTAGTCGTGTTTGACTCTGGGGGTTGGTGCTCATTTCCATTTCTAAACCGAAGAGCTGGCATTGTATGTAGACACCTCCCAGGTCATATGGCTGGCATGATTGCATTGAGTGCCGTTATCTTCCCGCAGAAGCGGTACTTATTGATCTACTCACATTTGAACGTTTTCAAACTGTTAGGTTGGCAGAAGCTGGGGCTAACAGCGAGAGTTTACTTCGTTCCCTGGATTCAAACTGCCAACCTTTAGGTCAGCAAGTTCAGTAGCTCAGCAGTTTAACCCACTGCGCTGTTTTAATATGCGAACATTAAAACAGGATTAAATATAAACAGTATTTAAAAATTCCCAGTTAAAAACCATTAAAACAAATTCAAAGTTAAAAACCACAGCACCCCCTGAATTGATCTTTAAAACCTTCATCTTTAAAAGCCTGCCTGAATAAAAAGGTTTTAGCCTGTCAAATTAATAGTGATCCCATAAATTTCATAGAGTTTTCTTAGGCAAGTTTCTAAGATCTGACAGGATCTGGCAGGGTTAAAGTATTTAGACCCTTCACTAAGTACTACTAACTTCAAAAAATTCCTGCTGATGTTGAAGATCACATACCAAACCACTGATCCAGCTTTGAAAGACTCCCATTAGGCCTTACGGTATGTCTCACCTGATAGGTTCCATTCATGAAGTGGACTGGGATGCTGAAGGGGAGGGAGTGGTGATAGGGGTTCCTCAGCAAAATGGACACAATCTCCATTCGGGAAGGTCTGGCTTCTCGCTCTCCAGCTTTCAAAGTGTGCTCCATTGACCTCTGACAGTAGATGGCATACTTGCCTACTTCAGTTCTAATCACACAAATAAAGAAATGCATTCATTTATATAGCTGTATTTATTGTAAACCACTTCACTGCAAACTATTTCACAACTGCTTTAATGAAAACTGGCATTAAAATGTTTTTAAATAAGTAAAGTAAGGATGTTATCATGCTTGTCTCCTAAAATGGGTTTTCCCGTGATAAACCCATCTTGGCTGAAATGGAAGCGTGCCTGCTTAGTCCCACTTCTAACCCATCACTATCCCAGATCCAAAGGGGAAAAAAAAACAACCCTTCCTTTCCCAGGGGTCGGATCTCTCTCCTCCATAGTAAAGAAAATTATCTACACTGTAGAATTAATGCAGTTTGAGAATAATAATAACACTTTATTTATATTCCACCCTTTTCTCCCAGGGAACTCAGAGCGGATTATAGCATATAAACAGACACAGACAAAAATGCAATGCCTCGTTACAGTGAAATATAATGAGACACAAATGCACAGACAAAGGCAAAGGCTTCTCTTTTCATTTCCAGCTCTGAAGACAGTGCTCATCTCCAGCTCTGAGGGAGGTGCTCATCTCCATTTCCAAGCCGAGGAGCCTGCGTTGTCCGTAGACACCTCCTGGTCTCCGCGTCTTTTTGCCTTTTCCTGCCAAGGCGGTACCTATTGATCTACTCACATTTGCATGTTTTTGAACTACTAGGTTGGAAGAAGCTAGGACTAACAGTGGGAGCTCATGCCGCCCCACAGATTTGAACTGCCAACCTTCAGGTTTAACCCATTGTGTTACCACAGCCCTTTTAACTGCCATGATTCAATGCTATGGAATCCTGGGGGTTGTAGTTTCACAAGGTCCTTAGCCTTCTCTACCAAAGAATACTGGCATCCCCGAAACAACTTCCAGGATTCCATATCATTAAGCCAGGGTAGTTAAAGGGGTGTCAAACTGCATTACTTCTACAGTGTAGATATACCCTTGGAGGCTGGAGGCAGTTGGGAATAAATCCCATTGAAATCCTAATGAAGTTTTGATTGAATTTACCTGATGACTTATGGTGATGCCATGAATTTCTTAGGCAAGGAATACTTACAAATACAGTAGTATTATTAGCATGTGAGACAATCTTCACTCAGACCGTTTTAAACAGGTTCTGTGTTGTGGTTGCTTTTTATCGAGTGGTTAATTAAGGGTTTTCTATTGAGTGCTTTAATTAAGGGTTTTCTATTGAGTCCAGATCAAATAAATTCAAAATGACTCAACAGGGACAAAAGAAAATATTTACTTTGGGTCCGCATGGTGCTGCAGATGATGCTTGAGATTCCAGAGGAAGTGGTGCTGAGGCAGGAAGAGAGGAGAGCAAAGAGCCAGTAGCTGCCAGCACTGCAAAGGAGGAAAAACACACCACGCTGTTGAAATTAAAATAACCACTCGTGTTCTGTTCTTTCATGCTTAAGACAAAGAAGTCTGGGACAAAATTCTCATGGAGAACTATTTCACATGCTACAAATCCTGCATTGTCCTGTGGGAAGGAAACATGACAAGCATGTGCACTAAAGAAGAAGACATATCATTAGCACAACGGGAGTTGCAGTTCCCTGAGGCTCCTTGTTTGAGGCTTGTGTCTTTAAAAAATGTGCTTCCTAACAAAGCAGCCCTTGCAGAAAGGACTACATTTAATCACTCCCAAGGACCAAGCCACATATTTTGTGGGGAGATCAAATTTTACTGAAGGTTTTTTTTTAAAAAAACACTTTTAAACATTACTGTAGAGCAGGGGTTCTCAAATTTTTTAAACAGAGGGTCAGGATACAGTCCCTCAAACTGTTGGAGGGCCAGATTATAATTTTAAAAAACACAAATATATAATTTGGAAAAAAAACATGAATGAATGAAAAGATATCTGCACACTGCACATATCTTATTTGTAGTGCAAAAAAACCCTTAAAAACAATACAATAATTAAAATGAAGAACAATTTTAACGAATACAAATACTAGTATTTCAGTGGGAAGTGTGGACCTGCTTTTGGCTGATGAGATAGGGTTGTTGTTGTTGTGTGCTTTCAAGTCATTTCAGATTTAGATTGACTCTGAGCAAGGGCTGGGTAAATGACCTTGGAGGGCAGTATCTGGCCCCCGGGCCTTAGTTTGAGGACCCCTGCTGTAGAGGGAGGGTGGGCAAACAGGATCGTAACAGCAGTGCTGGGGAAGGGTTATAATTCCCCTACCCATCTTATTTTTCAGATCAAAATCTTTCACAGACACACAAAAGCACAGTGCTTACTATTACCCCTACCAGACGGAAAGGGAAAGGGTTCAGACTTCCTGTCATGTTCCCAAACTAAAAACTAGATTCTATTGACAAAACAATGCTGGAAGAAAGGATTTCATGCTGGGGCCAATTTGTCCACGGACACTTCCTTTGGTCTCTTCCAATACTCCTTTAGGTCCCTTTGAAAAACTCATTTCCTTCCTAATTTGAGCACTAAACAGTACAACCTGCCCCCTACCCCTCCTAATTTCATTAAATGAAAATACTCCAAGAGACAGGCATACCTCCCTCCCTATCAGGTCTTCCTTGGTTTTTTGCCTTTTTGTTCTGTCTTAAGGAAGCATTTCTTTTTTTACTTGGTGTGTTTTTGTGTATGTTGTTTCCATGTGGTATAAGCTTTGTCTGGGTTTTCTTGTTTGTATTGACTAATTGGGTTGCTGTGAGTTTTCTGGGCTGTATCATACAGCCTGTATTACCATACAGCCAGTATGGCCATGTTCCAGAAGCATTCTCTCCTGACATTTCACCCACATCTATGGCAGGAATTCTCAGAGGTTGTGAGGTTTGCTGGAAACTAGACAAGTGGGGTTTATATATCTGTGGAATGTCCAGGGTGGGAGAAAGAACTCTTGTTTGTTTGAGGCAAGTGTGAATGTTGCAACTGATCACCTTGATTAGCATTGAATAGCCTTGCAGCTTCAAAGCCTGGCTGCTTCCTGCCTAGGGTAATCCTTCGTTGGGAGGTGATTAGCTGTCCTTGATTGTTTCTTGTCTGGAATTCCCTTGTTTTTGAGTGTTGCTCTTTATTTACTGTCCTGATTTTAGAGCTTTTTAATACTGATAGCCAGATTTTGTTCATTTCATGGTTTTCTCCTTTCTGTTGAAGTCATCCACATTCTTGTGAATTTCAGTGGCTTCTCTGTGTAGTCTGACATGGTGGTTGTTAGACTGGTTCAGCATTTTGGTATTCTCAAATAATATGCTGTGTCCAGGTTGGTTCGTCAGATGCTCTGCTATGGCTGACTTCTCTGGTTGAATTAGTCTGCAGTGCCTTTCACTGACCAATTTCCCATTTTTTTCTCTTGCTTTTATTGGAATAAGATCAGACAATCATATCCACGAATTCAATGACATCTTTTAACTATTCCACTCCCACCACAGCCCCTCAAGAATCAAACTCGGATCTTGCCTTTTTATATTAAGGACACCACTGTAGTATTTCACTGTGTAGAAGGGCAATATAATTCAGTATTAATATAGTTTCTGTTAATAAAGATTGAACTGCCAAACAGAGCAATATTCTCAATTGGTATTTTGTGCAGTAGGAAAAGGCAGAGAGCCATTTACCTGAATAACAGAGTGATTCTGGCCCTCTCGGCTGGTCTGCTTCATCAGTTGACAGTAGATTTCATTCTGGAGCTCACTGTGGGTCAGGCAGACCTGAAGTGCTGTTTGTGCCAATGTAACGTGATAATCTATTGATGAAGCTTCTACGGGGACATTGATGAACAGCTGGCAAGACTGAAGCAGGGAGAAATAGAAAAGAAGCACAGAGATTAGTCGTTACACATTTTAGTTTTCCTATCAGCCATGATGGTAACAGCTGAATTCTAACTGTTAGTCACAACTGGAATACACCCATTAAAGCAATGGGAACTCAGTAAGCCAACACTTATTTAAGGTCCATTGATTCAGTAAGTCAGCTCTAGTTGGGACTGACAGTTTGATACAAGCTAATACTCCCCCCCCCATCAGTATTCATGGTACTCCCCACAAGAGAAGAGGGCAGACCCTTTCCCAAAAACCTTAACATTTGATAAGGGAAAACACAGGGAAGGCAACGGAAGAGATGTGAAGAGAAATTCAGAAGTAAACTGAGTTTATTTATTTATTCAGTGTCAAAAGCATTGCATAAGCTTAAAACTGGTAAAATAAAGGGAGCACAAGCAGCTAAATAGTTTTGGATCAAAAATGGGCAACAGCGACTGCATTGTCTGTAGCTTTAAACAGTTCTTCCTCTGTGCATGAGGCAGGGCACTGTGGGCAAGCATACAGATGCTTAGTTGTTTGTTCTGCTCCACAGTCACACATGGAGTGTGAGTTGCCTGCGGGCTGAGAAAGGCGGTATACAAATACAGTAAATAAATAAATAAATGGTGGAGGATTCTTCTAGGTAGTGCAACTGAGTGGTTTCAGTTATACTACCTAGCTTTAGTAACAGGCTGAGTAAGAGTTGGGTTGTGAGAAATAAAATATACAAAAGACAAAGAGGAGGCAACTGAATAAAGTAAGGAAGAAGGCGTTATGTATACATTCTGGGAGACATAGAATTCCAAGCACAAAAGGCAATGTAGTATAGTGATTTGAGCACTAGATTATGCCTCTATAGAAACTCACTGGGTGACCTTTGGCAAGTCACCCTCTCTTAGCCTCAAAGGGAGCAAAGGTAAACCTCCTCTGAGATATCCATTGGGGATCTCTGAATATATCACTTTTGGGAGAGTCACCATAGAGTTGCTATATATCTGAAATAATTTGGAGGGACACAACAACACTTCTAGGCATATGCAGCAACAAGTTATGGTGGAATCTTGAATTTCTTTTTCAACACTATGATGAAATCCATTACAAAATTGATACAAGAAACCAAAATTTGAAACAGTTCCTTTGGAGGACCTTTCCTAAAAAACAACTCTTCCAAACTCTGTAACAAGTGCAACCATACTAATATCTTCTGTGAAACCCCAACTCTACTTTTGGTCCCAATTTGAGCACTAAACTGTACGACTCCTATATCCATTGGAGATATTTTCCAACATTCCTCATGGATGCTTAATCTGTGGATAACAGTGAATTCTATACAGTACTTTGACTATATTTGGTTTAGAAATATATCATAGAATCGCACTGAAGGACCTTGAGAGACCCAAAAAAACACTTCTAGGAGGGCATTTTTATCTAATCCATGGATAAGGGGGTCATAGTATACTTCAATAACCATCCACAATGACTACTGGAATACCTTGAAGAGTTTGAGGGCCTCAGTCTGCAATGCTTCTGAGGGCAGGGTGGTGAGGGACGTTTGCAGCCCATCTTTGCTGTAACAGAGCACCGGATGTTTCCACAAAGGGGAATCTGTATTAGTAGACAGGACAAAATTAGCTTATGGACAAAAGTGTCACCAAGCCACACAGCTAGCTTATAAGGGACTGCTCCGTTTTAGAATGAAGTTGCGTGAATACTAAGTTCTTCTTAAGAATTACACCTTGTCTGTATTGTGTCTGTATGAAACCTTTCAAAGAACCTTCTAGAGCTAAGTTTTTTTCAGCAGGAACCTCCCCACAAACTCATTTTTGTGGATGAAAAGGGACAGAGGAGGGTTAGCTAAGTTGTACCCAGACGAGCACACTGAGGAAGTGAGAAATGGGGTTTGACAAGAAAAATCTAACTCTAGAACGATCCATAAAAGATTCTGTAAAGCTCGGTTGTCTGAAATCACAGAAAAACACTTAAGGAGCCATAGAAACAGGTCAGAATAACATTTCTTGAATTCCCAAGACAGAACAAAAGTATTTTAGCTGTGAGTTTCTGGTAGTTCTGGTCCAAACAGCTAACTTGCCAAACTCTGCTTTTGGATAGATTCAGACTCATAAATAAGACCTATTGCGGTTAGTGATAATTGGCTTTCTCTGGACTTACTTGGGTCTCCTTCTGCCTCCAATAGCTTCCCAATCAGCTGCTCATAGGCAGTGCCCACCTTCGCACTGCTCTTGCTGCTGCCTGCTGCTACTGTTAAGTGGTATAACCAAGTATCCTTGAAGTAGAAGGGTAAAAAACAAAGAGTGAAACTTGAAATGTTACTTAATATACACTAGCACATTTGAAGCATATTTCCAACTACTTCATTTAATCCAAAAGTCTCCCACTAGAATCTATAATTAAACAAAGAAAAGATCCAAGTGTAGTTTCTGCTACCTAGTAGCTATACATTTGATATAATGCTTGTCAGAACTTGGGAAAATGCCTTTTCTGACTGGAACTTAGATTGCCTCAGCCAGCATCATTCTCAGAGCTGTAGTCCTCAAAAGTAACTTTTCTATTTTTTCTATGAGATTCAAGTCTTGCAGCAAAAAAAAAAAAAAGAAAAAAAGAAAAGAAAAAAGGGAAGAGAAAAGAGAAATCTAGAAGCAAAATTAAGCATAACTAAATTTATTTCAGCATGAGATTTTTTGGATTTTAATCCACTTTTGTGCATCTGAAGAAGTATACAGAAATCCATGAAAGCTCATGCTAAAATAAATCAGTTTTACAGGTGCTACTAGATTCCTCTTTTCCACTTCCTTTTTATTTCCAAGGTCTTGAATGTGGTTGTCACTTTTAAGTGCTAGCAAATATATTTGGGAACCTATACATACCTTCTCTTGTTTAGTACCAATGAGCAGGTAGGTAGGACTCTGCTCTGGAGGGTGGATAACCAGGGTGCAATGGGAAGAAAGGAGGCTCCCACCATGAGTTTCATAATCTTCATCAGAATCACAGGAGCGATCTACTTCTTCCACTTTTGATTCATGCAGATGCAAATGGCCCAGTGGACACTGAAAACAGAATGCAAACATTCAGGGTACACCTCTGAGACACACTATGAGACACACTTTTGTATTACCAGGTACACCTATTTTATCAGGTATATTGAAGTACAGATCATTCTATCCATTTGAAGCAACAAGCAGTATTTGTAGTACAATTGAAGGATAAACATCTGTAAAACGTGATTACCAGCATCTCTCCAGGACTGGAGAGATGCTGCCAAGATTATGACAAATTAAGTTATAATGCAAGGGTTTCCTGGAATATGCATTTTGCACTTTGCCAGCTCCAGAGCAGGTGGTTAACTTAGTGTATCTAGCCCTCTCTTAAGCAATCGGCACTCTTAGATTTTAGAGAAAATGTCTTAATCTTAGTTACTTTATTGGAAAAAAAAAGAGTAATATAACATGGCATTCAAAGATTAGAACACAAAGTTATAAATATAGAACAACAAGAATATACCTGTTGCACCCTAGCACTGGAGCTCCCTTTCACCCAGCACCACACCAGAGTCCAATGATCCAATAAAATAATGTTTATTAAGGAAAGTATATAAAAAGGGAAAAAAGGACAAATCCAAAAAAGACACGTCAGGATAAAAAAGAAGCCGGAGTTCGTGAGCAGTAATTCCAAAATGCCAGTTTAACACCATGGAATATAAATTCACAGCATTAATCCAAAGGTATATCCATGGACTAATGATCATGAAAACAGGAACATCTCCAAGGTAAATTCTTCAAAGGTACAAAGGCATAAACAGGGACATGAAGCAGGAATCTTGACAATACAGGAACCATAAACTTGGAGTCATGAGCAGGACACCAATCCCCATTAACAACATTGTCTGCTCTGAAAGGCCTGAAACCAAACCACTTAATTCAAGCCTGACAAGGCATCCAGGACATCATTCCTAACACAGCTGGCCTTCAAGGTCTTATCTCGAATCCTCTGCGAGTACCTAATTTGTCTACTTTTCATGCCCTGAGTTCTCAGGTCTAACCTACACACTCTTGAAAACTCCTTGGTTTCCCAAGGCCTTTTCTCTAGAGAACTGTTATTTTCATTTCCCCTAGTTGCTTGAGAATGAAACAGAAGAATTCAAAACATCAACTGCCTGCAGTTCCCCCCAAACACTTACAAACTCCTCACTTGTAAACCCACCATCCCCCTCATCCTCTGAGCATTCAGAAAAATCCTCTGCTGCTTGCCGGACTACAACAATACCATAAACTTTCCACTTTTGCTGGGGTTAGAGGCATAGGACTTCAAAACTAAACATCTGCAAAAAAAAAAAATGTCTGTGAGAACACTTCTTTTTGTTCTCCAGCATGACTTTATGGTCAACCCCTGCTGGAACCCCTGATCACAGAATTGCACTGGAGGATCTTAAAACAGTGGATGTGGCTCTTAATGAGAAATGTCGCATTATCACGGGGTGTCTGCACCCTACACCACTGGGGAAATTACACTGTCTAGCCGGTATTGCACCACCTGACATCCGCCGGGAAGTAGTAGTCAATAATGAAAGGACCAAGGCAGTGACATCTCCAGCTCATCCCTTGTTTGGGTATCAGCCAGCACGTCAACGACTTAAATCAAGAAATAGTTTTCTAAGATCTACAGAGACACACGCTGGAACACCCCAGCAAGCGAGAGTCCAAAAGTGGCAGGCTCAAACCCAGAACCTCAATCAATGGCTGATACCAAATGAGAGACTCCCCCCTGGGCACACAGAAAACTGGGCGACTTGGAAGGCACTGAACAGACTGTGCTCTGTCACCACGAGATGCAGAGCCAATCTTAAGAAATGCGGCTACAAAGTGGAATCCATGACATGCGAGTGTGGAGAAGAGCAAACCACTGACCACCTGCTGCAATGCAACTTGAGCACAATGCACAATGTAGGACCTTCTTGCGGCAACACCAGAGGCACTCCAAGTGGCCAGATACTGGTCAAAGGACATTTAATCAACTACCAAGCTTGCAAACCTTGTGTGTTGTGTGTGTTTGTTTGTTTTGTTAAAAATGTAATACAACTGTCTGGTTGCTCCTGGCATGATAAATAAATAACTGGAGGATCTTCAGGTACTCTAGTAGGACTCTGCTCAACTTCCAGCAGAAGTTGATCACAGAGTTGATTTGAAGATCCTAGGGAGAAAGTTTTAATCCAATCAAGGAATAATCAAATCTACAAAAATCAAACCTGCAAATGTGGAGGATCAATTGTATTTCAGTGCAATATCCAAACCAGATTGAGTGACACAGACCTAGTCATAGCTTTCTAGTCAGGAAAACCTTTGCTCTCTAGTTGAGCATTAGATAGGATTACACCACCATAGAAAAACACACCTTAAAAACCTTCAAACATTGAATAGTTCAAGCCTGATACATCCCTTGAAGTTACTACCAATAGCAAATCACCAGTCATATCTCATATTATGTAGTTGGACAGGTCTTAAATACATGGTATTCCTTGAATTCCAGCAGGCATGGCTTGAGGCTTAGTTGTCTGCGTCCTCTCCGCTGGCGTCCCTTGGCTGGCCTACTTAGTGAGTATGCTGATGCAAGTACAATCTTTGTAGTGTTTAAAGCTATTGCCAAGGATGTGCTCTTCTCATCTTATAGCCAGGAGGGCAGCCCAAAAGCCCTTATTCTGTATCCAGTAAGCTTCGCTGCACAGCATTTACTCTTGGCATCATTTCCCAGACTGCTATCATATCACTGCCGCAGACTCATTCAGCAACAGGGACCGAGCTGGATGTCTAGTTCGGGAAGTGATACTTCAGCAATGAGTGCTACAAGACAAATGGAACAAGTAACATTGGCAAAAGGCCCGGAGAGCAGAAGGAGGGCCAACAGCAACGGGGGAGATATAAATTCATGCTTGTGTCTCCAGGCTTATGCCCACCTGGCGTCCTTGGTCCAACCTCAATAAAATGGAAGTTGAATCATCCTAATGCTTGGGCATGTGCACTCAAGTGTTCCTTTACTATTAAAATGACCTTGATAGTCATTTTAATGTATTTAATTGCCTTTCCTAAGCTTTATGTCTACATGGTTAATTTATGTTATTAGTATAATTAGGTTTATCTGTTTATTTGTATTTGGTCCTCATTTTGGTGTTAATTTCTCTTTTGTCACAAGTTAATGGTAATTATTTTTGTATTATTGTGTTTATTTTAAAATGCTTGTATTTGAGTTGAGCATTGAATATTTGCCTTTTTTGTGTGTAAGCCACCCTGAGTCCTCTTGGGGAGAGAGGGCGGTCAATAAATAAAGTATTACTACTACTACTACTACTACTACTACTACTACTACTACTGTGGAAATAACATGTTTTGCCTTTTCTCACATTTATACAGATGATTGATTGCCGCTGATGTAACACAGTCAGAGTTCATTCTATATTGAGTCTATTAAAAAAATCAATTAAAAATAAACCTATCCTGTGTTGTGAACAATTCCTCCCAGAGAATTCACTGTTGTGTGGTCTAACAGCCACTTTAAAACTAGAAATTTTGATGAATGCTTAACAGCAGTTTCTGATAGTGTCATGCTTTAGGAATACAATTGATACAGATTGAATATGTAAAAGTGTGTTTGTGAAGAAATGAATAAGAACGGAATAGCAAAAAGAGGAGAATATGAACTGGGTTGAAAGACACTTGCTGGGACTCGTGTGAAGATAGTGACACACATCTGATATAAGAAAGGAGGAAACATACCTTGTCCTCCTGATTACGGTAATAGTAAAATATTTTCCCAATCAACACACACCAAACCAGCTTTGAGCGTCCATGTTTCACCTGTAGAATGAAAAGAACTCCTGTTGGTTTATTTGTAAACTTACATAAAGAAGTATATTTTTAGAGAGAAAACTACAACTATTGCATTTGGTAAAACACTAATTAAAATTTAGGACAAATCACTGCAGTTATTTTTGAATGTTTGCTGTTTGCATGCTGTGCTCTGCTCTGATTCCCCTTCAGGGTGAGAAGGCTGGAATATAAATGTTTTAAATAAATAAATAAATAAAGTTATTTAATGTATGGCAACTCTAACCAAGGATTTTGTTGACAAAATTAATTCAGAGGAGGTTTACCACTGCTTTTCTCTAGGGATGACAGTGTGACTTGGTAATACAGTGGGTTCCCACAGCTCAGAGGGATCCGAACGCTGTTTTCCTGCACTCCTAGCCCAACATTTGAACCACTATACGACGCTGCTCAATAAGTCAGAGTCAACTTGAAGGTACATAAAACAACAACTTAAAAGTCTAGAAACTAAAGTTATAGTTTCCAAAATGTTCTTTAAATTAAATGTCATTTAGTCCTAGGCTGAGAGAGGGTCTAGACTTCAATCTGAAGTCCAATAAATTGCTGTCCTGCAATCCTTTATCCTGTTTTGAAAGTTCTTCTTTTTGTGTGCCGTGACATAGAGGGGAGGGACTGATCAAAATGGCTCCACCAGTCTCTACCCTGAAGCAGTCCTCTGATCCATGTGGATGCCATGAACTGGCTTAGATAATATTCATTTGATCTGTCTTTGAGCTGTTGGGGTGAGTGTATCCAGCAAAATTATGAAAAAAGCAACTATTGAAAGAGCATGGATCACACTCTGTCACAGTGTTAACTCATCTGATCAACCCAGATTTGAGAGAATAAGTCAAGATGAGATGAAACAAAAGATGCTTTTGTTCGAGCAGGCTTTTCATATATTATTACTCTCAGAGAGGAAACTGGGATACATGCTCCGCTTTTAATGTTTTAAAATTTTGCATCTTTGTCTAAGGCTTTCATGGCCAGAATCACTGGGTTGTTGTAGGTTTTTTGGGCTATATGGCCATGTTCTAGAAGCATTCTCTCCTGACGTTTTGCCTGCATCTGACCTTAGACCTCACAACCTCTGAGGATGCTTGCCATAGATGCAGATGAAACATCAGGAGAGAATGCTTCTAGAACAAAGCCTGAAAAACCTACAACAACACAATATTTTTTACTGTTTATAATTGCTTTTAAAATTGTATTATTTTAATTGATTTTTTCTACTTTGGGAGGAAGGTGACATATAAAACAAACAAATACCCAAAACAGGGATAAAAATCCTGCAAAATTATACCTCCTTTCTGTTCCTTCTGCCTCTGTATTGTCTATCAAAAAAATGGCATTGAATGTTTGCCATGTATGTGTACGGTGATCCATTCCGAGTCCCCTTGGGGAGATAGGGCGGAATATAAATAAAGTGTTTTTTTATTATTATTATTATTATTATTATTATTATTATTATTATTATTATTATTATTATTATGCAAAGCCATTTTGCAGGCTTTGTGAACTGCACTGAACCTCTCCCACACATCAGTGGATTGCATTTGTTTTGCCAAAGAAAAGAAACTCCCTGCTCCTGGAAGCCTCCAGGGATGAAGATTTGAATCTAAACCAGAACGTTCCAAACTGAGTATCATGACACATTAATGTGTCAGCTGTACTGTGTACGAATATTGGAGCTGCGGTGGTGCAATGGGTTAAACCCTTGTGCCAGCTGAACCTCTGACCTGAAGACCTGAAAGTCAGTGGTTCAGATCCGTGAGATGGGGTGAGACCCCCTCCGTCGGCTCCAGCTTCCCATGCAGGGAGATGAGAGAAGCCTCCCACAGGATGGTAACACATCCAGGTGTCCCCTGGGCAATGTCCCTGCAGACAGCCAATTCTCTCACACTAGAAGCAACTTGCAGTATATTTTCAATTCGCTTCTGATACATGTGTTGCACAAACATAATGAGAAATGACAAATATCTTGGAAATGCATGTTAGTATTTTTCTAACCATATATTTGTGTATATATATATATATAGGAAAGGTTTTCATGAGATGTGTTGTGTCCCTGTACATTTCATTATGACAAATTATGTATATGCCTGTATCTCTTATAAGGGGTTGGTTTAACCTCATGTTCACTTGTCAAATTGAATTACTGTGTCATAAAATAACACATGTTTAACAAAGTGAGTCACCAACATGAAATATTTTGAAAGCTGTGGTCTAAACTGATGATAACATCCATGTTTCTGTGTGTGTGTTTGTGGGGGCATTCCCAGGTTCCCCCTCCAAAAACTGAAAGTGCATCTCTTGTCATTAATAATGTTGAAATAATTACATTCTCTGAGAGGTTGAAATCCATGGCAGATCCAGATAGTAAGAGAAGTAGGAAGATGATTTACAACCATTAAAATCCATTATAAGGCGCATCACCCTTATATCTTTTCAATGCGGCTAAATCTTTTGCATATTGCTTGAACTCAAAATTAATCAGTCTGTCGTCCCATGGTTAGTTTTGCATGCTGTTAAAAGAGAAGCCTTAACATAGTCTGGTAATGCAACTCCACAATTACCTTGGTGAGCCAGCCTTTCACAGAGGGTTTGGCATCTCGGAGAGACACCTGAGAGGCACTGGTCACTTGCACTTTCAGGATGTTTTGAAGGACACGGATCCACTCTTCCAAGATGTTAGGAGAGTCAGCTGTCAGGAAGTAAGTTCTTTTTTCAGTGATGAGCTGTGAAGAAAATGTCATGAACAAAAGGCATGAGCAATAGGAAGTCGGGAGAAAGCAGCAAATGTGTTAATGTCTGACATTTTGGCCGCATTCATTAAAAAAGGATTTCCTAAAGACAAAAGGATAGTTGGAAACGGCTATATGATTGTATAATTAATGTTATTGTTTTTAATCTATTGTGTATTTATGGTTTTATATTATAGTTTACGGTGATATTTGAGGCAATGAATTGTTGCCATCTTTAGCCGCTCTGAGTCTCCCCTGGGGGGAGGGGGGGGTTGAGATGGGTGGGGTAGAAATGTTGTAAATAAATAAATAAATAGTTCAATACTTCCTATGATGAACAGTTTAACATCTTCCTCTGATAGAGAAGACATATGGAGAGCAAGTCTGACTTGGAAGGGGAAATCAAACTTCAAGCTTCACACCTTTCCTGGCAGCATGGAAACTTCTTTTCAGATGGCAGAGGGAGGTGGAAAGGAGATGTGCCAGGGATATCTCAGGGGAGGATTTACAGCAAGGGCCCCCCAACTAAGATGCGGCCCTACAAGATCATTGTCCAGCCCCCACCCTAAATGTTAGACTTAAGATCACCCTAAGTCTGAAACAACTTGAAAGCACACAAAAACAACAATCTTAATTAACTTGACTATTTCATCAACCAAAAGCAGGCCCACACTCCCTATTGTTAGGTTTATGTTGGTTAAAATTGTTCTTCATTTTAAATATTGTACTGTTTTTTTCATGTCTTTTTCACTACAAATAAGACATGTGCAATGTGGATGGGAATTTGTTCTTTTTTTTCCAAACTATAATTCAATCCCCACAACAGTCTGAAAGACCGTAAACTAGCCCTCGGCTTTAAAAGTTTTCGGGCCTCTGATTTACATCCTCTCCCTGATTCCTATAGTCTCCAGATGTGGTTTGGTTGGATTCCTAGCCTTTATAACTCCGCAGCTTTGCTTCCAAAAGGAAGTAAACTGTGGATGTCTTTCAGAGCAAATATGTTGGCCATTGGTAACAACAGGAAAGTTTTATATTTAAATATGAATTCTATTGAAAAATTGCTTTGATGGTACTTGCTCTCTTCTGAGAAAAGCTTTGTTGGGCTTAGGCTGGAGTAACTCCTTTGCAACGTAACAGATGCGTCTAACTTTCTACCCTTTATGACTGCTCATTAAAAGCTCACAGATAATAAGCAATACCCAATAAGTCACCTGGAAAATGTGGGATCCTTCACACCTTACAATTTGGCAAGAAGGATTCAGTTCAATCCGCCCCTGTGGCTTACAGATAACATCGCTCTGAATAGAAAAGGACCAACAGATATAAATAAGAATGAGCAAATGGTATTATAGTATGCAAACTCTATAAAAATTGCAAGTTGTCAGAAATATTAAAAATTAACTAGGTATTTTTAATGACAAAAATGTGAATCAAGCACTGAAAGGGTTAAATGGATGCAATGACTCAGCAAAAGCTGCAGTTCTATATACGCAGGTGTGTCTGTAGCTTTTTAGCAGTCAGTCTGAAGTAAACCTCAGTGGGAGAAAGTCTCAGCCTGTGAGAAGGTCTCACAGTAGGCAGAGTATGAGAAGGCCTGCTGTGAGATGCTTCGGTGAGAGAAGCACCAAGTTGTAAAGCCTCGTGTGTGAAGCTCCAGTGTGTGAAGGCTGCTGTGTGTGAAGCTGCTGTATGAAGCTCCTGTGTAAGTTCAGTGTGAGAGGAAGCTCTGTGAGAGCAAAGCTAGAAGCTGTTCATCTGCATGAGAAAGAAGCCCAGCGTTGAAGCAAAGACAGAAATATAAATAACTTTCTTTGTGTTATGGAAACCTTGTTCTTGTAAATATTGTAACCATATTATTTTACTACAAATAAAAGCCTCCCATGGAAGATATAACATTGGTCTGTGTGTTTTTGTTCTTTTTATCACTTTGGGCTACTGGTGCTGGGTCATGCTGCTGCTAGTAAGTTACTCTGCTGTACGTTTACGGGGAGGGTCTTTTGTTAATAAGACTACTCACCCAACACAAGAAATTACCTGGATTTTTTAAAAACTAGAAATAAAGTCCATGCAACATGAAAGTTATACATACACACATATATCTGAAAGCATTGATTTGACAATAATCCATTGTAATTATTAATAGGAATCAGTTTTAGTAAATGGAATTTCTGTAGGGTCTTTTTGTGTGTGGGAGCAATGAAAAAAAGAGGGCAATGAAAAAATATTGAAGATAGCATAAGAATCAATGGTTTTCATTCAATAAAACCGCAAGCACGAGTGTTCTGTTATCAGCTCACCGGAGACTTATAATACATGATCTGTCCATTTCTCAAAACAAACCATCTTCTCTTCCATGCTTTTACCTGGTCACCCATTTTCAACAGATAACCAGATTTTTCTAACAGTTCCTAGAAAAGAGAAAACAAATGCATTTTCATGGGATTCAAGGCTCCTTTTGACTTGACTTGATACCCATTAAGGCCACAGCGTCTAACCACTTGGACAATTACTGTCACCAAGGCCCAGGCAAGGCAATTTCTAATGTAAACTTGTTTTAGGCACTGTCCTGAAACTGAAATTGAATGCCCATTTCTAAGCTTTAAAAATAAGATTGCAGTAAAGCTCATCATATTATTGCAACTGTGCAATAATACAAAAGCTTTATCCCACCTGTTTGGCTATTAGGCCACAATGTTAACCAGAAGTTCCCTTTGGGGTTGAGAAGGGTGGGGTATAAATACTGTAAATAATAAATAACTAAATAAATACTGTAAATAAATAATAAAAATAAGTTCATTTTAACATTGTTATTCATTATATAATTGCACATATATGGATCTGTATAAGTTGCCTTGACTTTGTAAATAACTAAGTGAATTGTACATGTATTTTAAAAATGCCATTTAAAAAAAACAAACAAACTAGGAAACATGACATACCCCACCATCAGTGGAATAAGATGATGTTCTCTGGAGTTTGTGCTCAGGTTCAGAATAGTCTTCCTCCAAGGAGTAAGCATCGGGAGGAATGGCATAATCACTTTCTGAGCTAACTGAAGACATAGAAACACCTGCTGGAAATATTTTTTGAAATTAGAAAACATGTAAAGTATTTCTTTGTGATCCTTAAAATGTACATACAACATCTACATCGATAAGTATATTTAATATCAAGAGTGTGGTTCTGTTTATGTGTACAGATGCCCATCTGTATCCATGGATTCAGTATCCAGAGATTAAAAATACTCGCACCCCACAAAAATTCCTAAAAGCAGACCTTGATTTTGCTGTTTTATATAAGAGACACCATTTTACTACCATGTTGCACACTTGACCACTCACAGATTTTGGAATCCATGGGGAGCAAGGGTTTCTGTAACCAAACCCCAATAGATACCAAGGACCCATTGTATTTAGAATAAGCTTCATTGCTAGGATCAGGTTATATGGTGTAGAACTACAACTATAAAACTTGGTTCTATTTTGTGGTTCAATTAAACACCAAGCCCTCAATAACTTTGTGAGATTTTCTTTTTAAAATAGATTGATTCATTTTTTTTGTTTAAATTTGACTGTAGTCTACAGGACCATTTTAATTCACTTGGTGGAATAGGTTTGTAACGTTTCCTAAAAGGAAAGCTAAACATGAGCCTACTGTTTTTAAATTTTTTCTTCCTTTCTTTGCTACTTGGTATCATATGAGTGAATATGCCAAATTCTGGAAACATAACACAGCCTGCTTCTAGATTTTGAAATCCTGAGGGTATAGGTTGGAGTGGGAATAATACAGCTCACCAGATATCATAGCATTGCAGCTCCTAGGATTCCTCACTCTTGGCTATAGTGGGTTCTACAGGACTTGTGGTACGACACAATCTGGAATGTTATGTGATTCTGGTTTCTAGCATAGTTAAAAGACTGCAAATGTTCACTCTTCATAAGATGAGAGACTATCTTATAATTATCGGTTATGTGGGCTGAAAACGGTCATAAGACTGGTACCTAACTTAGGCTGCAAACGTAAACACAGTTAACTGTGAGCAGAATTTAGAAAAATTACATTTTTGAGGCCATAATTCCTTGAATTCTCAAACCAGTGTGAAATTGTATTTTTCTGAGCTCATCCTGGGAGTGAATTCCACTGGACTTGAGCATATATACCAAGGTTGCACCATTGGAATATTTTATTGTTGTAACATAGAGCAGTTCTGCATTGTGGATATATTAGTCTGAATTGCTCTATGTGGGTGGTTCCCAACCTGTGAGCCGTGAGACATAAAATAATGTCCGCAGCTCTAGATTATTAAATATGGTTTTCTGTGGGCGAGCAGATGGTGACTATTGGATGGTATATGTTCTATATCAGAAAGTAGAGCTGACGTAGTCTATCAAAAGAAATTTTCTGAATCATCACCCCAAACAACCAAACAAAATCTAGAGTTCACCAAAAACTGATTTGTAACCCTTTTGGTACTCATGTTGCAGAGTGGTCCCTGGCCAAAGTGGTCCCTGGTCAAAAAAAGGTTGGGAACCACTGCTCTATGTAGAAGTTTTCAAAAATAATGTGACAATCATATAATTCAGCAATGTTGCATTTCTTTTCCTCTTTCTCTTTCTTTTTACCTCTTTTCACTGCACGAGGGCTGCCTGGCATGCTTGTTCTTCTGAGCTCGCATCCCGCATTGGAAGCACTGATGCTAACATGGGAGCTGCAGTCATCATCAGAGCCTGAGGACTCATCCATGAAAGGAGTGTTGCTGATTTGGGTGGCTTTCTGGAAATCAAGGTTCAGAAATTAGGATGAATGGGAAAGCAGCAACTAAGTGCCTCACAAACGCCACAAATTCTGCAGAACTAGCATAAGGGAAATCGTTAGGTTGCTCTGGCTCTGCACTTTGCCTTTCTATCAAAGTAAGGTAGCTCTATTGTTTATTCAACCCTTTATCTTGGATTTGCAAATAATTTTCTTTGTGTTTCAAATACTGAACTGTACAAATAAAATTAGTACAAAAATTGGCCATAGAGTCACGCTGGAGAATCTAGCAATGCCAAGAGAGGTATCCTCCCTAAGCATTACCTAGCTTCTCCAGCATGACTCTATAAGCAGTGGTTCTCAATGTGTGGGTCTCCAAATGTTTTGGACTACAATTCCCCAAAATCCCAGCCAGTTTACCAGCTGTTAGGATTTCTGGGAGTTGAAGGCCAAAACATCTGGGGACCCGCAGGTTGAGAACCACTGCTCTATAGTATGCTACCAGCAGAAGTAATTTGTTTGCTATTATCTGTGATTTTTGCTAACTGTTGTAAATCTGGAATTGTATCCCCCACAGATATGTTTTTTCCCCTGATGTTTTCCTAGAAATATTCTCATGCCTGTTCTACCAGAGTCTCCCATGACAAAATATACCTTAAAGTCCCATCACGATCTCCTTTAGATCTCATCCACATGGGTCAAAGGTGTTATAATTTGATTAGTGTGGTACCTGAACTTATCATAATTCTTTAAAATATCCACAGTGTACAATCCTGGTCTATTTCCTGCCACCAGTCTATTTCTAGAACTAGCCATATTTATGTTTTGAGCTCGGCAAGGATTTCTAGGGATTTCCCATACAGACAGGAGTAAATGCCCACATATATATCCACTGTCTTGGGGCTGAATCCTACTGATGGGGCTGAATGGGGTATATGACCCTTTTCATCAAATATAATTTTGCTAATAGTCAGAATTTAGATATTTTATTTAAAAAACTTAGGAACTTTCTCATCTCAACTTCACACTCTCTCCATGCATTCTTAGACCCCTGCCCCATTTTTCCCTTGACAGAAGAAATTATTCCTTACCCCTTTTAGCATAGTGTAGACAGGCACTGTGACATTTTTGTAAATGTGGCAAGTGTATGGCCCAGGTGATGAATACGTTGGGAAATTTGAAGCTAAGATGATTTGCATGGAATAAAAGACACAGGAGAAAATAAAGAAACATTAACCTTTAAAAAACAGAATATTTTAACAAATGTCTGTACAATTTGTTAGGGCTATGTTGAAAACAAGGAGTCTTCATTGAAATCAGCAACTGACCACTGAGTTTTTCAAATGCCAAAATATCTAAATAGAGCCAATTTTTCATCACAATCAAAGGGTTTGAGAAGAGAGTTCATGGCACAATGGATCTAAGCACCATTTGTCTTGAATACTTTGACTTATACGTACAGTTTTTAGACAAATTAAAGGCTGCAATCCTGGAGACATAATGGATATTAAATCTACTGAGGCCAATGGGATTTCTGAATATATGCTAGTATGCACTGCAATAGCACAAAATGAGCCTCAATGAAGCGACAAATCTGTGTTTGAGTTGTATTGCAAAGAATTGCTTGACTTAATGCCCTTCTATTCAAAAAGACTTTTGTTTTCCACATAGAATGCTAGACTTCGGAAAGCAAATGTCTAGCCTAGCCTTATCCTTGGTATTCTGGGTTTTAAAAAAGAAAACTATATGTGCACGTGTATGTTTAAAAGTATCCTGCAGTTGAGACCTCTAGTCTTATATGGTATAGCTTTATTTTTTGCCACGATGGCACAATGGGTCGGCGGTTCAAATCCTTGAGATGGGGTCAGCTCCAGCTTCGCATGCGGGGACATGAGGGAAGCCTCCAACAGGATGGTAAAACATCCGAGCATCTCCTGGGTAACGTCCTTGTAGATGACCAATTCTCTCACACCAGAAGCGACTTGCAGTTTCTCAAGTTGCTTCTGATATGAAAAAAATGGTATAGCTGAGACATGAGTTCATTTTTATAGGCAAACCTATTGCAAATTACAGATACTAGGGGCTGTTTATACACTGGGTCCTGCATCTAGCTGTAATTATTGGAAACTCTATGCCGCACACTTTCAAGTGGTAAGAGTTTTATTCATGGATGACTTGCAGTTAACAGAGGTATGGCGATTTCAAATTGGGTCCATCTTTTTGAAATATCCTGAGCCGGAATTAAGTTTTGATGCAGCTGCCCTCTATTGGATCACTAAATAGGACCACTCTATCTAGGTTTTAGTGCAAAACTATTCTAGGAAATATATGAGTGCATATGTATGAAGTTTGCCTACTTTTTATGGCTAAATGTGACTTATTACCACAGATATATCAATAAATGCAGTATGAATTCTACTGATAATACATTTACCAGGAAAAATGTCTGCAACAATACAATGTGATATCCAGTTAACATTTGTGGTAACTAGTCATGAGTAAAATCTGTGGGTTCACTGTAGTTAGTACTTACCATGGCTAGAAGAGTCACTCCCAAGAGCCACTTCTGAAAGTCTCATGCCAGACTTAGCTACTGCATAGATCCGACTCTCCTAAAATAAGTTAAAAAGATTAAAAGAAAAGGGAAAATGAAAAATATAGTTTGCTGACACCTTGTGTCGCTTTGCCCTTCCCCATGCACATTTACCTTATTCCCGAAAGCTACTAGCAGGAGGTATTCAAAGTGGAACAAAATTATTGATAATATGATTATCAACAGCAATAGCAGCAAATAAGGGCCCTCCCTCCATCTCAACTGCAGGTCCTTGAGGAAGAGAAGAAGAGACAGACACAACTCTGCCATCCAGAAAAGACAAAAGGCCCTCCCTCCATTCCAACTGCTATCTTGACCTTGGAGGGGGAAAAGAAGAGGCAGTATGTGCTGGACTTATTCCCCTTTTCCTTTGTATCATGCCCAAGGGTAGGGAGTTATTTTGTTGTCCTTTTACTTGTAAACAAAACAGACAAACAAATACAAATTGCTTTTTAATTGAAAAAAGATAAAATGGAAGTCCATTTAGACTTTAACTGGACAGATAATTTATTTGATAGCAGTAGAACTATACACTACTGCCTTTCATGCCATTGGAAAACAGACACAGACTCAACCAGGTTGACTGATGGCTCATCTACTCTAGACAGTTGAACCTGTTGTAGCTATACCACCATCCTGCCCCAGGCCAAAACTGGGGCCATGATCCAGACAGCCTGGGAGTGCATCCGCTCTGTGTTGCCACCATTCCTAGCCAACCACAGAGCTCCGTCTGAGCTCGTGGTCAAATTGGATGCCTCTGCTTATGTCACAACCAGCAAGGAGGAGGGGGTCAATTTTCATGTATTTAAGGGACAAAAACATGAAGTTCTTATAATGGATTTTCTACTATAATTTGCCAACTGTTTCATTTCTTTTACTTAGAGCTTCAAAGTTTGCCCCCAAGCTTGTTATATTAAGCAGTATATTAAAATCAAGTCCTACAGTGGTGCCTCATTGGATACATAGAATTTCAGAATATTGGATATATGTTCAGTTTAATCTGTAATGTGTTTTGTTATTGTTTCTTTTAAAATATTTTGAAATTAAATTGTGATTTTGTTTACCATATTCATTTATGATCGGCCCCAAAAAACTCAGAAGGAGATACAGAGGTACCTTCTTTCAATCAGTAGTGATGCCTTTCTGTCTCCAGAAAGCAGATCCTAAATCCAGATAAAATCCTGATTATCTTACCCAGGATGGAAATCTGTGCAATGGAGGGGTGGGTGGCTTGCCTCCTGGATCCAGGACTATGGTGGTTTCCGGAGTGTTGGTCTCACTTCTTGGACAAGACAATTGATGCATTTCCACCACACGGTCATCGGTTTCCATCTTCTCTGCTACCTCTTCATCGATATCTGTCTCCTCAACTTTTCCCTGGCAATGGGCAGTGGCTCTTTTAGGATGAAAAGTACTGATCTCAATGTTCACCACATGATGGAAGCAATCTGCTCCTGGCTGTGGTTGGCTATAATGCCTCTTGGCTAGCAGGATGCTGTCCCTTGGATTGCTAGGGGTCCGTACCTTAGGGAGAGTCATGCTGCTGCCTAGTCCACCTTCCTTCCCTGGAAAATGGGAGGGTATTGACATGATGGATTTTTGCAGCTTCAAAGCTGGGGCTGACGTTGAGATAGGACTGCTGCAGATGTTTCTGAGTTCCCCAGAGCAGGATGAGGTCCACCTAGAAGTGTTAATCTCAGAATTCATTTCATCTGGTTGCTTGTACAAGTTGTGCACTGTCTTGTCTGAGGCACTAGTCAAGTTCTTACATCCCTCCAGGGGAGATGGAAAAGTTAATGCTCCACGGATTTTCACAGCCTCGACTTTGTGTTTTAATGAAGTTGTGCAAAACGGAGACTCTGCCATGGAGACCAGGTCATTGGCTGAAGCGCTATTGTTATTTGAGGAGTCAGAGATAAGCCTCAGTGAACTTTGAGAAAGCACTGATTTATCCACCTCATCAGCTACAGAGGTGTCATCCATAAAGACCATACTTGCTATATATGGAATTCCTTGTGTAGATACACCCTGACAGGATTGTTTGATGTCCACAGCAAGAAACCTGGGATCCTGGTCTGAGTTTTCAAGGAGGCATGACAGCGGGTCTCTAAGTAGTCTGATATTACAGCTGGAAACGGATTCTTCAGACGAGACAGTTATTAGATCTACAGTATGGGATTAAAAAGCACACAGAACGTTGAACTGGATGCTATCTGACCCATCTTTTTACACAATTTATAGATTCAATCACTCTACACACATACAAAGTCAGTGTTTTCTTTACTTTTACTTGTCAGGTTGCCATACTGAGCAGTGGCATGGAAGATAAAGGATTAAGCCTTGGTTCAGATTAGCCCCTCAGATGGAGCCTCCAAATTGAACCAGACACAATGAGACAGTACAATTATTTGCAGGAGGCAATGTATCACTCAGAGCTGTCTGATTGGTGGCATTCTGGGAACACTTAATACCAGGTTATTATAGCAACCATCTCATTCTGTCAGAACAGATGAGGACAACCTGACTGTAAAGCTTCCAAATGGAATGATGCCTCCCTTTGCAGAGAAAGCTGAAGCACAGAGAAGTAGAAATGCAAACCATTCAGGAGCACCAGCACAAAACTGGCATTCTTATGTATTTGCATACTATAATGCTTCAGTTTGGTTGCCTGTGTGATATTGCTATGCCGAATAGGCTGCTGTAAAAAAAAAAAAAAAGCAATTTGGTAAATAAAATTCCCTAAGGCTCACCACTATGCTTCATCAAAAACAGTAATTAAAAATAATTAATTTTGGTTATTTATTATAATGTTTGACAAGCATGTTGTGTACAACAGTGCTGAAAAGTAACTAGCTTAACTGTTTGCATTTCTTGCTGAGTTTCTATTATGTTCTCTTACTTTTTCAAAAACAAAGCAAATCCAACAGTTTGGAATTAATGACAGCGGTATCAAATTTGAAAAGGTCCAGTAGAAATTGAAATGGTTGGTATCCCTTTTGTTTGGTACGTTTGAAATGTGAAATTACATCTCTCTTTGTTCTGAGCAGGGGGTTGAATCTGAAAGATGATAAGTCCTCTTCTAACTCTATTATTCTATACTTGAAAAGTAGAAATATAGTCAACTCTGTTAGGGAAAACTAACCTAAAATTACAGCAGAGCATCAAAAATCAAACAGGATACAAAGAGTTGAGCATCAGTTCATTAGCAAGCAAAGCGTGAAGTGCTTTATGGTGTGGCTGTAAAGAATTAAGAGCGTAGGCAGGAAAAGATGTAGAGTCCAATCTTAAAAATCATAAAACGTTTATTTGCAATAATAAGAACTGTCCACTGGAAAACCACTGTCCACCTTCATGATCCCCAGATATTTGCCAGTGAGCATCAGCTTCTGCTATTTCTGTCAATGAATCAGTGTGGCGCAGTGTTTAAAGAGTTGGTGTGGGATTGGACATGAAACTCACAGGATGACCCTGAGTAATTCATTCTCTCTCTCAGCCTGACTGACCTTCGCAGGATGGCTGGGACAAGGAAAGAGAAGAACCATATACCTTTCACTGATTTGACAAAAAGGCAGAATATTATGTAACCGCCCAGAGTCGCCTGCGGGCTGAGAGGGGCGGTATAAATATAGTAAACAAACAAATAAATAATAGTATAAAATAGCAATCATGTTAAGAACTACAAATATACAGACGTAAATAGCTGACACTGATGTATTATGCCTGTGAAAATAACCACTGTGCGTATTATTAACATGAAAATGACATGGCAACATCCTAAGTACAAGATGCCTTCTCGGGCCTTTATCTCCATTCTGCTAAAATGGCCATGCAATAAAATAGTATTGTTTATAAGTTTTGTGGTACAGTATGTTACCCAAACCAAAAGTAAAAATGGCTTGCTAAAGTTTGACATTACTAAACAAAATGCCTTGGAAATAACACACTGATCTTATGGACAGTCTGTTTGAAAGTATGCTTTTTTGAAAAAAGACACATGGAAAATGAGGGGGCTCATATTCTGGTAATGCTAGCTCTGGAAGGAAATCAAAATGGCCATTATGAAACTGATGCAGAAAATGCATTCTAAAATATTGCACAAAAACTATGGAGAAATCAAGAACAAATCTGAAAGCCCTTCATCTCTACTTTGATGATGATAACAAAACATATATTACCTTGTAGAGCTGCTTGAAGAGCTTTGATCTGCTCTGTTAACCTTGTGTTACAATCCTTAAGATAATGGTTTTCCAGCTCCAGCTGTGAAACAATAGAAAAAATCATGTGATGTATCCCTCCTTGAGAATTAATCCTATCCAACACACTGAAATCTCAAGAATATTATAGTAAGATATTTCACTGGAAATCCTTTCAAGGCCTATCTTTAGGAATGGTCCACTGTTCTATACTCTCTGTGGTGAATCACTTCTTCAGTCCAATCAAACCTGTAAACTTGGCCTATACTAGAGGTTCTCAACCTGTGAGTCCTCAGGTGTTTTGGCCTAAAACTCCCAGAAATCCCAGCCAGTTTACCAGCTGTTGGGATTTATGGAAGTTGAAGGTCAAAACATCTGGGGTCAAAACATCAGTCCACCAAGCTTTTATCTTTGGAAGTAAGCTTGAAATAATTTCCAAGTCTTAGGGAACTCCTGGGCTGGTCTGGAGCATCGTTTCTTTGGACCAGCCATGGATTCCGCAGTGCTGTTTAGACACTCTTCCTCTGAGCTACAGGAGCAATATGGACAGAGTCCAGACTGTTCAGTTGGGCTGAATTCAGTTCGGACGCCCTGGACAGTCACCCTCACCCATACTGTCATTTGTGTCACTGCGGCAGCCAGCCAAGAGCTCTGGAGAGCTTCCAGCCTATGCCGGGCATCTTTGCTGACACCAGCAAAGGCATCTGCATGATCAAGGAGAAGGTGTGGGGATTTCCCTCTCCTTTTTCCTTGCCATGTGGATGCCTTTGCTGATGTCAGGAAAGGGCATGATGACAACCAGGATCTCTCTAGAGCTCTGGTGACAGCAACAACATGGACCTGATCCACCCACGTTTTCTGTGCCATAGAGCACAGGGAAAAGGAAACTGTGGTGCCTGGCTCTGTGGACAGTGGGCTGATTTGAATTAGAGCTGTTCCAGCTTTCCATACTACCCTGGGGGAACTGGCTGCTTTGGAGTGTCACTTGAACTCTCTGACTTCTCATAATATGAGGTGAAACTGAGCTAACTCATTTTACCCTGTGTTACCAACTGAAAGGAGCCTCCGATGGCACAGTGGTTTAACCACGGAGCAGCTGAACTAGCAGTTCGAATCCAGAAAGCAGCGTAAGCACCCACTGTTAGCCCCAGCTTCTGCCAACCTAGCAGTTCAAAAACTTGCAAATGTGAGTAGATCAATAGGTACTGTTCTGGTAGGAAGGGAACAGCGCTTCATGCAGTCATGCTGGCCACATGATCTTGGAGGCATCTACGGACAATGCCGGCTCTTCAGCTTAGAAATGGAGATGAGCACCATCCCCCAGAGTCAGACACTACTAGACTTAATGTCAAGAGGAAACCTGTATGTTGTCCTGATGTCCAGGAGTAATGTCTGTTCAAATTGAAGTACAAGACCAGTGTAGAAAAGCTAAGGCTACTGAAGCAGTGACTGGCTTCTAATGCAGCCTTATATCACTTGAACATTTGGTGCTATTTTTAACGGTGCCTCCTTGGCACGGCCTTGAAATGAAACCCTAATGAACAGAGAGGTATAGCATTGAACAATTAAAAAGGCAATGTAGGAAAAGGTCCAGCTTAATGCATTTTACAGCATGCTGTAGAAGACTCAGCCCAGTCATGAACACTTATTTTTGTGACACTAATTTTTATAATGGAAGCAAGCAAGAAGCTTTGGCCAGCATTGCCCTAATCCAGTAATATAGATCTATAGAACAGGAGCATGGACAAAAATGCATGTCGTCACACTGATTAGATGCCACAGTCAATGAATAATTATATTCCATATATTCTCAATAAGAAAGTCTTCCTTGATCATAATGTTAATGCCCACAAAACTATCTTCTTGTATTCTATACCCCTGTAAAAACATGCACATATCCTATCCATTGACTCAGAAAAGAAAGAACTGGCAATCACCTCTCTTAGTTTAGCTGTCACCCAATCCTTAATTTTGGCTGCTTTTTCTTGGACAGATTTAGCTTCTTCTTCCCTTAGCTGTTTCTGTGAATAAAAACAAATGTGTTAAGAGTAGCAGAAGTTAACTTAGAATAACTAATTCTAACCAGTGACAAAACTAGCTACTTGTACCTAATATATTTTCCTCATAACAAAGACATTATTCAATAACAATTGTAACTTTTATAGCACAAGTCTGACATTAACATATGCAGAGATGTGATCTCACTAAAAAGTAGAGAAGGGGTCTCATATGGGTCCAGTAGTGACATGCTATGTCTCACATTGATGTCTTGGACTCTATTCTGGTTGCTCTGGAAACAATAAGATATATGGGAGGCAACTGTGCTTGATATCGGGGACTACATACTCAATCCACTATACCAGTGGTTCTCAACCTGTGGGTCCTCAGGTGTTTTGGCCTACAACTCCCAGAAATCTCAGCCAGTTTACCAGCTGTTAGGATTTCTGGGAGTTGAAGGTAAAAACATCTGGGGACCCACAGGTTGAGAATCACTGCACTACACCATGCTGACTCTCACTTTTTTCATAAATGCTGTATGTATTCTAAGTAACTGCAGTTTTACCTGCTTTTCCAGCTGGACCTCCAGTTTTTCAATCAGTTCATCCTTCTCTTGCACTCTGCTCATCATCTGCTGATATTTCTTGTATTCAGTTGATTCATTGGTTTTCATGTTGGCAAGTTTCAACTTCTCTTCCATGATTTCAACCTGAAAAATCCCCTCAACTTTTAATGCCATGAGAATGTGTGGGGAAAAGGAAGGCAACACATTGGATCTTGAATGAATGAAGTTTTTATTCACTGATGGAGTTACTTTTAGTGACAGTGACAATGGGGTTAGAGGTTGCTCTTCTTTAAGACTTAGAGTGTTTCTCATTTCTTCTAATCCCATGAACTACTGCATTGGAACCTATACTGAAAACCTCATATTGAAGGCTCAAAGGCTCAAAAAGGAGATCTTTTTCTTGATAAGGGAGAATTTGTGAGGTTGTAGAGAATGTTTTGTTACAGATGACCTACTCCTTCAAAAACAATCACCCTATTATGAAATAATGGAGTGGAGTGGTTATAACAATCTTTTTCCCATTTCATCTGAGTATAGAAGAAAACAGGACCTTCTTTCAATCTTTCTTTTCCTCTTTACTACTGCCACCTGCTCAGAGCCCCCAGTGGCAAAATGGGTTTTGCCACTTGTGCTGGCAAAACTGAAGACTGATAAGTTGGAGGTTCGAATCTGGGGAGAGTGTGGATGAGCTCCCTCTGTCAGCTCCAGCTCCCTATGCTGGGACATGAGAGAAGCCTCTAAGAAGGATGATAAAACATCAAAACATCTGGGTCTCCCCTGGGCAACATCCTTGCAGATGGCCAATTCTCTTACACCAGAAGCGACTTGCAGTTTCTCAAGTTACTCGGGCATGAAAAAAAACTGCACACTTTTCTCAGCATTTTCCCTTGAACCAATAACAGGGAGATGGCAAAGAAAAGGCCACTGCCAGGGTACATTCACCAAAACCTTTAATTTTTCATATCTCCACATTTCCTTCTCTCCATTTCATCATAAGTATTACCATTCCCAGGCTTTTGAGGAGAGATGGGAAACATTACTTCTCTGGAGTACGACTTTTGAAATTTCACACATTGGAGGCTTCAGGGAGTTGTAGTCTAAAAGAGGCATTTTTAAAGCTTATTTGGCTGTTCCTGAAATCAAGTGATCCTTCTCCGTGAGGCCAATCGTTTTCATTACCTCTCCCCCCCCCCCCCCCCCCCCCCCCCGCCGCCTTTTTTTCCTCTTTCAAAGCTCTGATGGCCACAGGACCAAAGTCTTCTGTCTTCCTCCACAAAGCCCTAGTCTGGCAATGCCATGCTGGGATACTTCCCAGTCTACATGCCAATTTCTCTGTGCAAACACATTATGCTCTAATGGACATTCCTCACCATAACGGCTGCAGAAAACTGTTTTGTCCTCCTGTCTGTCTGCATTAGACAGAGAGAGGCAAACAGCCGCTCCCCCGCCTTGAATCTGAAAGGCAAGCGCCTGGCATCCCAGCCAAAAAAATTTAGCCTGCTGAGCTGGATGTGTTTTTATTAGAGCTTTGGATAATTGCAACCCAAAAGAAAAGGCCCTTTCCATCTGTCTGAGGCTTGAGATCTGACTCTGTGTTGGAAGCTGTGAACAAGCAGAGGGACAGGACAACCATGTGACTTCCTTATCTGAGGACAACAGCTCTAGGGGGTCCATGGCATGGTCAGACCAGGCTCCAAACTCTTATGGTCAAAGAAGATGTCACCTTTCAAACTGAGCTTGTAGCCCTTTCATTTCCCATGTGTACTGCTTTTCTATGCAATACCTTTTGTAGGATGGCTTGCTGTTGCTATTGTGTGTTTTCAAGTCATTTCTGACTTATGGCGACTCTAAGGAGAATCTATCACAGTGTTTTCATAGCAGGGTCCATTCAGAAGAGGTTTGTCTTCCTTAGAAGGTGAGAATGTGTGACTTGCTGAAAGTCATCCACTGGGTTTCCATGGCTGAACAGGAATTCAAACCCTGGTTTCCCAGAGTGCTACAACACACTGACCACTCAAATCACTACAACGCACTGTGCAATTACTAAATTCTATTTCCCAGACATAAGTCCACTTGCAAAGATGTAAATTCCATGTCAACTTCCAGTCCCTTTTTAATATATTCACTTTTATTTCATTTCCAAAACTCTTGCTGTTTTTCCCTGTCGCAAAAATATTTCTCTTAAATCCTAATGAGTACAGTGGAACAAACACTAAATCAAATAAACTTCATGGCAGAAGTAAGAATCACGAAGACTTCCAGATATTGTTGAACTGCAGCTAACACAATTCCTCACAAGTGATTCTTCTGCCCAAGTCTCTTGGGATTTGCAGTTCAACAACACTGAAAGGGCCACATTATTCCCATTTATCCTGTGGGACAGAAGAGAGCAAAATGTAGTCTGCCCAGGGCCCTGTCAGTGTCAAAAATACTTTTTTTGGCACCAAAATGCCTCAAAATGACCTCCAGGAGGTATAGAGAGGATGTTTTCACCCTGTTTGGATGACTCCTGAACTGCTTTCCCTGGAATAATAAAATATTTTGCAGATTTTAAAAATATGGCCTCAAAATGCTCTTATAAAATAGGAAGGGCTAAAAAAACCCTCATGTTAAAATGCATCCATGTTTCCTAGAATCCATTTAGAAGGACATAATAATAATAATAATAATAATAATAATAGGAAAAGCTTACATGATATGAGGATTTAAAATCAGAACTGCAAAGATTCTGGCACAAGCTAGTAAAGGTGGTCCCAGTGGTGATCGGCACACTGGGTGCAGTGTCTAAAGACCTTGGCTTACACTTAAAAAAATTGGCCCTGACAAAATTACCACCTGCCAGCTGCAAAAGGCCACCCTACTTGGGTCTGCACGTAATACATCACACTGTCCTAGACACTTGGGAAGTGTCTAAGCATTTGATCCAATACAATAGCCAGCGTGGTGGTCTTGTTTGCTGTGTACCAATCTTGTTGTGTATCTAACAACAACAACAACAACAACAACATTATTATTATTGCAGGAGCAGGTCAGATGAGGGATGTAGCCACCAGCTTTAATTAAAGTTTTCCTAAAGATATTTTCCTTTCTTCCAAGATATCATGGTGGGTGGTGCCATTGGTAAGAGGCACCAACAATATCCAAGCTCCTGAGCTTGATTCATTCCACAGGTTTGGCCAGAATACAATAGTCCCGTGTAAGATATAATCTACTTGTTCTGTTCCATTCTGCCTTTAAAAGTTTGTTAGTAGAACAAGACACATGGGGTCCAGCTTCCGGTTGAATACTGCAGCTTCTTACGAATTAAAGATAGCAAGAATAACTAGACACAGAATCTCATCATATTAATTGTACTGAACGCCTCGCAGAAATGCCTCAGCAAGCTAGAGTCCAAAAGTGGCAGGCTAAAACCTGAAGCCTCAATCTGTGGCTGATACTAGATGAGAAACTCCTCCTAGGCACCAGAAGACTAGGCAACTTGGAAGACACTGAACAGACTGCGCTCTGGCACCATGAGATGCAAAGCTGACCTTAAGAAATGGGCCTACAAAGTGGAATCCACGACATGCGAATGTGGGGCAAACCACAGACCACTTGCTACAATGCAGCTAGAGCCCTGAAATGAAGAATGGAGGACCTCCTTACAGTGACACCAGAGGCACTGGAAATTTAGTATAATGCCAGGGTTCAACTTTGTGGTTTTTCTATACATTATAAGTATATTCTCAATTTGCTTCTGAAATACCAAATAAATACCAAGCCCCTCCTTAATTTCTCTCACTTTTGGTGCAAGCTTCACTGACAGCAATACTTCTCTCAAAAACTATAGCCCCTGTCCATAATATCGGAAAATCCTCTGTAAGAATAACTTTTTACTTATTATGCACGGTGAGTGGTTGGCCTCTCGTGATGCCACAGCAGCTGTGAAAGTTTTCACATTTTATTGAAATTACATCAGGAAAATGCTTACCTGCTTCTCTGCACTTTGGGCTCTGTGTTCTGCTTCGGCCACTCTTTGCTCCAGTTCTTGCATCTTTATGGCACAATATAAAGGGGAAAGGTTCAAAATTAGAAGGAAATACTGATCAATTCTCCATCACAATATAAGGTGTGGATCTTGGAATTTATTTCCTTTTTTCACAATATCACATGGGAAATAATGTAAATGATAAAAAATGAAACAATTAAATAGGAAAATGAGACAACAAAGCTATGTAATCTAATAATACCATTGGTCTTCCATACCCACAGATTCTGTATACATGGATTTGACCATCCCCTGCTTTAAAATGTTCCCAAAAATTGCTTCTCAGACTTTTGGTTAAGATCAAATGTAAAGTGCTTTTAAAAAACACAAAAAGCAGACCCTGATTCTGTCATGTTGTTTATTCGTTCAGTTGCTTCCGACTCTTCGTGACCTCATGGACCAGCCCATGCCAGAGCTCCCTGTTGGCCATCACCACCCCCAGCTCCTTCAGAGTCAAGGCATCTTGCCCTTGGTTGGCCCCTCTTCCTTTTTCCTTCCATTTTCCCCAGCATAATTGTCTTCTCTAAGCTTTCCTGTCTTCTCATTATATGGCCAAAGTACTTCATCTTTGCCTTAATATCCTTCCCTCCAGTGAGCAGTCGGGCTTTATTTCCTGTAGTATGGACTGGTTGGATCTTCTTGCGGTCCAAGGCGCTCTCAGAACTTTCCTCCAGCACCACAGTTCAAAAGCATCTATCTTCCTTTGCTCAGTCTTCCTTATGGTCCAGCTCTCACATTTGTAGGTAACTATGGGGAATACCATTGCTTTAACTATGCGGATCTTCTTGGCCAGTGTGATGTCTCTACTCCTCACTATTTTATCGAGATTGGTAATTGCTCTCCTCCCAAGAAGTAGATGTCTTCTGATTTCCTGGCTACAGTCTGCATCTGCAGTAATCTTCGCACCTAGAAATACAAAGTCTGTCACTGCCCCCACGTTTTCTCCCTCTATTTTACAGTTATCAATCACTCCAGTTGCCAAAATCGTGGGTTTTTTGATGTTTAACTGCAACCCAACTTTTGCACTTTCTTCTTTCACCTTGATTAGAAGGCTCCTTAGCTCCTCCTCGCTTTCAGCCATCAAAGTGGTATCATCTGCATATCTAAGGTTGTTAATGTTTCTTCCAGCAATTTTAACCCCAGCCTTGCATTCGTCAAGCCCTGCACATTGCATGATATGGTTCTGAATACAAGTTGAATAGGTTGGGTGAGAGTATACAACCCTCTGCCATAAGGGACAGTATTTTACTAGACTACTCTATGTAATGATTCTTAACATCCACAGGTTTAGCTATTCACAAAGAATCCAGGAACCAACCCCTTGTAGATACCAAGAGCACACTGTTTTTGGAAACTTGTTTCAAAAAGTTCTGTTTATCCTCATGTTTATTCTTTTGGAAAGTGATAATGACATTGCTCTCATTCCTCTGTGCCATCTTTCATAAGAATTATGTAAATCTTACTCTGATTTGAATGGCCCTTGAGGGCCATTTTCCACTGGCGACTACATTCTTTTAATCCTCTCTTGCTTTTGTCCTTCAATTACAGCACTAATAGGAATGTCCTCATTTCTTTCAGACATGCCTTCCTAATTAAAGTTTCTCAGGCTGTCAGCAATATTATCACCATGCCGTGGTATGACCACGCTGTAGCACTGACTCAGCATTACTTCTGGCAGATGAAATAAAAGTGTTTAGAAAGATCCCTTCAGACCTGATATCTAAATTTTGGATTGATTCACATTTTGCTGATCTTCACAGAACAGATTATGTTTACAGTATGAAATCAGTAATGAGAGAACAAAAGAAACAAAACTGGGGAGTACGCATTGAAACCCATAAAAGAAAGAAAAAATAAGATCCAGAGATGTTTTGTGTATTAGTTGAAAAGCCTACACATTTCAACAGCAGCCACTTTTAACACCTTTTTCAGGGCTATGGAGAATCAAAGCTTCAGAAATTTCTAAGCCAGGAATTCCAAAATCATTTACTGGGTGATTGAACACACCGACTTTCTCTAAACGACATCTGAGAGCTCATTCATACTACACAATTAAAGCACCATTTTTATATTTCAACATTTTTTCCCTTTCTTTTTTTTCCTTCTCTGTCACTTCTTTTTTTTTAAATCCTTTCATTTTCCAAGCTTTCTTATCCAAAAATTGTTCTCACTCTTTTGTTGTTTTACTTTCTATCAATGATACAACTCAATAAAATCTAATTAAGAATAATTAGATTTGTTCCACTTTAACTGCCATCGCTCCATCCTGTGGAGTCCTGGGGCTAGTAAGAGTGAAGCACAAGAGCACGCTGACTATATGTTCTAAACTGCATGCTCTAAACTAGTTAAAGTGGAACAATAGCATTATAATTTCACAGCGTGAATAGTCAACAGCTTCTTCTGGGTTGCTGTGAGTTTTCTGGGCTGTATGGCCATGTTTCATTTACGTCTATGGCAGGCATCCTCAGAATTTGTGAGATCTATTGGAAACTAGGCAAGTGAGATTTATATATCTGGGAATGTCCAGGGTGAGAGAAAGAACTCTTGTCTGTTGGAGGCAAGTGTGAATGATGCAATTGGCCACCTTAATTAGCATTGAATGGACTTGCAGCTTCAAAGCCTGGTTTGCATCCTGCATTGAGGCATCATTTGTTCAGAGGTGTTAGCTGGCCCTGATTGTTTCTTCTCTGGAATTCCCCTGTTTTTTTAGTGTTGTTCTTTATTTACAGTCCTGATTTTGGAGTTTTTAAAAAACTGGTAGCCTTCCTTCTGTCCTTGATTGGCACTAGGGTTCCTCGGCTTTTAAGGAGCTGTTCTCATTCATTTTCCTCATTGCTCTAACTTTTATCTAAAGATCAGTTATAACACCAGATAGGTCAGGGCAGTGTGGTGAGATGTGGGATGAAATGAAGAAAAAGTAGTGAGAGATCATAGTAAGATAATTAAGAAATGTGTTATCTTTGAACTCCTTAAATAAATTTAATTGTAGGATCCAATGATGTAAAAGAAGTTTCATGTCTAATACAATTCACAGTATCCATTTTTTCTCAAATCTATTCAGAAGTACATTTTGAGAACAATTCAAATAGTTTTGCTCAAATTCATAGTAACACTCATTAATATTTAAATTAGACTGATAAATTAATTCTGGGTAGGACTTCAAATTATTTACCTATCCAAATATATTTACACCCCAGTCTTCCAGTTCATCTCAAAATAACTTCCAAAAAGTCCAAAACAACTACAAAGCCATCCATGCAATAAAGCAATAAAACTGAAGCTAGAGCTTATAATAAAACCCTTAGGTTAAGTCAAATATCTGTGGGAAGAAGAATATCTTAACACAAGAGAGCTAGACATGAGGGGAATCTAGGGGTGTTTGCAAAAGAGTCTCTTTCCCACAAACCACTCAGAAACAAAGACTCTTCCTAGCAGATCTTAAATCAAAATTGGATTGGGAAATCACAATCTGCCCTTTTGGCCTCTGGTTGAAAAAAATCAATTTAGAAGTGTATCTGTGGGTCATTTGCAAAGATGTGGGACACTTAACATTTGCAAATGACTTGTGTTGTTCATTCGTTCAGTCGTCTCCGACTCTTCGTGACCTCATGGACCAGCCTACGCCAGAGCTCCCTGTCGGCCGTTACCACCCCCAGCTCCCTCAAGGTCAGTCCAGTCACTTCAAGGATGCCATCCATCCATCTTGCCCTTGGTCGGCCCCTCTTCCTTTTTCCTTCCACTTTCCCCAGCATAATTGTCTTCTCTAGCTTTCCTGTCTCCTCATTATGTGGCCAAAGTACTTCAACTTTGTCTCTAGTATCTTTCCCTCCAGTGAGCAGTCGGGCTTTATTTCCTGGAGGATGGACTGGTTGGATCTTCTCGCAGTCCAAGGCACTCTCAGCACTTTCCTCCAACACCACAGCTCAAAAGCATCGCTCTTCCTTCGCTCAGCCTTCCCTAAGGTCCAGCTCTCACATCCGTAGGTTACTACAGGGAATACCATGGCTTTGACTAGGCGGATCTTTGTTGCCAATCTGATGTCTCTACTCTTCACTATTTTATCGAGACTGGACATTGCTCTCCTCCCAAGAAGTAAGCGTCTTCTGATTTCCTGGCTACAGTCTGCATCTGCAGTAATCTTTGCACCTAGAAATACAAAGTCTGTCACGGCCTCCAATTTTCTCCCTCTATTTTCCAGTTGTCAATCATTCTTGTTGCCATAATCTTGGTTTTTTTGACTTTTTTTTCCAGTCCATTTCAGTTCGCTCATTCTTGTTGCCATAATCTTGGTTTTTTTTGTTTAGCTGCAACCCGGCTTTTGCGCTTTCTTCTTTCACCTTGATTAGAAGGCTCCTCAGCTCCTCCTCGCTTTCGGCCATCAGAGTGGTGTCATCTGCATATCTGAGGTTGTTAATGTTTCTTCCAGCCATTTTCACCCCAGCCTTGCATTCATCCAGCCCCGCACATCGCATGATGTGTTCTGCATACAAGTTAAAAAGGTTGGGTGAGAGGATGCAGCCTTGCCGTACGCCTTTCCCAATCTTGAACCAGTCTGTTGTTCCGTGGTCAGTTCTGACTGTTGCTACTTGGTCCTTGTACAGGTTCCTCAGGAGAGAGACAAGGTGGCTTGGGATGCCCATCCCACTAAGAACTTGCCACAATTTATTATGATCCACAAGTCAAAGGCACAGTCAAATGACTTGTGACGACGCCTGTATTCCAATGGTAACTCTTATAGCTTGGGAAATTGCCTTTAAAAAGTCTTGTAGTTCATTCTTAGTACAGTATTTAGAAAGTAGCCTGCTGTTATATACTACTGGGAAAAGTAGCTTGTTGCACTACTTGTTGCACTTCTCATTCCTATTTTGCTACTTGCACTATTTAAACAAAAACAACACTTGAGAGGTGTCAAGACAAGTGTATAAAACTCAGAAAAGAACTCAAAATGCTTCTCAAAATTCCATAATATACACTTTAAAAGTAACTTTTGAAAGTAACAAGAGAAA